TTCCAATGACGCCGAAGAAGGGGACGATGTTGTGGACGACTTGATCGTCGAGGACCTGCTTCTTCCCTCAGATGATGATGGCTCGAACGACAGTCGTGCCGCCTGGGAAATCCCAGACGACTGGAAACCCATCAAACGGAGGCGCATTGAATACAGCAAGAGCCCCTCTCCCGATATCGTCACTTACATGCCCAGCCAATCTTCCACTGCACAACGACCATCACCCACGCATGCTGCGGGGGTATCGTCACATCATGATACTCACCCGACCCCGCCACAAACCACGTCAGCAGCTTCTGGCACGGACGCGATCGGCGATGTAGCTCAAGAGCAACCAGGTCCAGCCACGATTCAAGGCAGCTCGGATGGCATCGTGCGCGCGACCGACACGAACGTCCCAACGGCTAGACTCTCCGAGGCGCCCTCACGCGCGGAAAGACATGCACGCTTCACGGGTCGTCGGCGTACGGTCTCCCCTGAGCACGCCCGACGCCGCTGCAGCCGTTCTCGATCTCCGACTGTGCCTCGCGTCCGGGCTAGATCCATCGAGGGATCGGTTCCTACTAGGGTTTCGACGAAGGCACGCTCCGTCAACTCCTCGGATCCACGCGTGGCAGGCGTAGGCCCTCCGATGGCTCGATTGCCTGAAACGCCTTCACGCGCGCAGAGAGCTGCGCGTCTTTTGGATCGTAGGGCTGCGACCTCCCCTGAGCGCGGTCGACGACGCCGCAGTCGCTCTGCGTCCCCGAACGGACCTCGCACCCGCCCAAGTCGACCCACGTCAAGGCGCCGTAGTCGCGGCCGTGCAGGGCCTGGGCCGGGCCTGTCCACTGTGATTGAGGGTGCGGTCGATGCATCAGCAGTAGAGCGAATGACCTTGCCACTCGGCGAGGTCGCCCCACAGTCGTTGGATTCGAGCGAGTCTGCGTCGGCCAGCCATACAGCCTTGTCGTCTTTGCAGGTGTCAGACACGCCCGCGCGTGGTGTACTGGAGTCGGGCATGAGCAGCAAGGATCAAGCTGAAGTGACCATCGAGCCAACAGAACAGGCCACTGGCACCGGGCCAGGAGAACATGCCACCGCGGTCAGCCAAGACAGTTCACCGCAATACCTTCACTTGATTCGAGGAAGCTCACCTGATGGGCGGATTTTGCAACCACAGCCACCTGACGCCTCTGCCGCTGAACCCAGCACCGCGCGTGGCGGGCACAACGCGCTGCAGCGTCACCGGAGCGCGTCAATGGACGACAGGCCTCGTCATGGCGGGCTGGTGCCTTCAGGAGCTGATGTTCGTCTGTTGCGGCCATCGTACCCACTCGTCGCTCCGCGTGATGACGGAGCTGATCATCGAACAGCTCTGAGCGAAGGGCGAATAGTTCAAGGCGGTCGGAGTGACATCGCGGAACTTGTACCCGGTTCGTTTGGCGATTATCCCCGTGTTGTGATTCTGATTGTGTCAATCTGCAGCTTTGCGCAATGAAGAGGCCACGTCAATTTCTTACGCTACGTATCCTGCTGGTCGTGTCACAAACACAGATGAAGAGATAGTGTATGCCACCGGCGCGCGTCATATGCATGTCCAATCCCCGGGCTATGTAAATTTGGAACCAGTTTCTTCAGACAGTCAACGCGAAGGATCGCAGGCTGAAACCTCTAACGTCGCTTTGCAGCAACCAAGCCACGACCGTGTGGGCTCCAGCTCTAGGCATCATTCCTTGAGCAGAGCCGCCTCCTCTGATGCTCCAGCCGCCGGAGATGTGGGCCCTGGGGTTGGTTGGACAGGATATGTAGAGAGCGTGCTGGATGGTCCACTTGGAGAATCGAGCAATGCCCGTTCTGACGCTCGCAGCGAGGTACGCCGTGTCGTTCTCCTTGAGGGGGCAATATATTGAATACAAGCTTCAGCCTCGCGCCGATGACGACGTAATTGTGTTGGGAGAGCGTCACGAAACACCGTTGTCGGACGCTCATATCTCTACGGTGCCGGTCGCTCATGTCGACGACACCATATTATATCCGCGTGAGGAGGAACACGATGCGGCCGACGGCGAGTCACCAACTAGACCGCCCGTCCTGGAATTGAACTCGATGCCTAGCGGCTCCACGCTAGCCTCTTACGGACTAGTTACGCTCAGCGTAGGCGAAGACACATCGTCGGCATTGACTCAGATACCAGCGCTGGCTGAATCGCGCGCTGGTATGGGCTCACACAGCGCACGGCGCATTCGCCAGCCGACACCTGGAGGGATGGTCCCCGGTCCTCATTTCCTGAACACCCCGCTCGAATCCTCTCGGGAATCTGGCCATAACCGCCACCAAACGTCCGCAGGAGGTACTATCTCACCGGAGAGGCCGAGCCTCGATCGCCGGAACCGAGCTATTTCGTTGTTGGATGGGATTACCTCGTCGATTAGCCGCGTATCGGGGTCGTCTCCTTCAGCCTCAGGCTCCGGGATAATACCGGGGCCTACAGCGTTCGGCTCGTCTTCCGTGAATACGGTTCACCAGACCCAGCACGCACCGGGCTCCGATGTCGATGTATCCCTCCCCGCGCAGGGCGATGATGTGCCACCACGTCCCCGGAAGCCCGCATTCAACAGCCCGCATTTTGACAGTTTCCTTGAACCGACCGCCCGTACACCGGATGACGCAATGATTGGGCCTCCAGGTCGAGCGGCAGCTACGGGCGCTGGCGACCTCCTACTATCGGAACGGAACACACCGCGCGACATTGACCGACTCCTTGCGAGACAGCAGCGCGGTCCTCCAGTGACTGACGAAGACGTGGATATGGGTTCGGATCGCCAGATGCCTATCAACCGTGATGTCATGGAAAACGAGATCGTCCCCGATGTTGCGGAAGGCATCCCAGACGGCCATGCCGCTGCATCCACGCAAGACGTCCAGATGGCCGACGAGGACCTCGGATGCAGCCGAGAAGAACCAGTCAGTGAATTCCCCGGCCCAGAGGCGAGGCGCACACAGAGTCCCTCAGTTACTCAAGACGCGCCCAACCAAGTCGACGCCCGTCCTGCACAGCAGAACGGTGTTGACCCAGACAGCGCTGAAATCCATAGGCCCGAGCCTTCAGGAGGGCACACCTGGGGCGGTCGTACTGTGAGTGTGAACGCGATTCCCGAGCGTCGTTGATTAACGTCTGCGCGTAGGTCATACCTGCGTCTCGAGACGACATTCACCGGATCGACAAGGAGATGGGCGCCATTCACGGGGAGGTCAAGGCGATAAGAGAAGTACTAACGAGCAAGCTTGGAAAAGGAAAAGGAAAAGGCAGAGCAGAGAATGACTCGGATGCTGACGATGAAAGCGACGAACCGAGTCTGCCACTCAAGCGACCCAAGAAGTATGGATTTCCTAAGCGCCGACCTGCGGATGCAACGGAACTCGCGGTGCGATTCCTCATACTTCAATCCCACAAAGTTAGCTTAACTCGTTGTCAGTCTGATGTTCGGAGCCACACCCGTGTGCTCATGAAGCGCGAGACGCGTGACTCCCGTATCCGGCGTCGATCAGTCGCGACACCGGAAGAGCTTGAAGGCTTCCAAGAAGGCCGCTGTTGTACTGCGAAGAAGTTCAAACTAGACTTGAAGGGCACGGCGGCCAACAAATGGAACAAGTCCGCAACGGAGGTGTTTACTGACAATTTCCTAGAATGCAAGCAATACCAGTGTAAGAAGAGGTCAGAGATATCGGCGGCGTTTAGGTCCCACTTGCGGGGGCTAATCAAGAAGTACGAGGAGCAACTGTTGAAACCGACCCCGGAAGCCGTCCTTGCGAAGAAATGGCAGCACAGTCGCCTGCAGCGGAAGCAGAACGTGAGTGTCTCAGTATCATGGGTTGCATGATACCTAAGTCATGAGCATAGAAATTTCAACGGCGACTCGCCTCTTGTCTAATGTACGACCAGCTGCTCCCTCATCAAGAATTCTTGAGAATTCTTGGTCCCAACGGCATGAGCTCGGACGAGCCTGACAGTACCCCAGGACAGTTCCGTGTGCTGCTTAAGCCGTGGAGACAATCGCAAATCTCTCGGTTTATGGGTGTCTTCGATGCTGCATACGAAAGATACAGGGCTCCACCAGGCCTGCCGGTGACGCGCGGTGCCTTGCCCGGTCGCCGCGTAGCCTCTGATCCAGTCGCAATCGACGACAACCAACCGGCCGTCAAGGGACTACCGATCAACGCCTATGACCCGCATTGGTATGGTCGGCTTTCAAGCATCCAGAAACAAGAATTGCGCGTCGTCTCTAAGCCTTACGACTTCAGCATCGAGTCCGACTTCTTGCGGTGAGGGTGTACTATTTCTTGACATGCGTAACCACGTCTGACAGCTACACATCAGGGATATGGGTCTGCGACCTATCGTTTGGCCCAGTCTGATATCAGACAGTGCGCTTGAAGAGGAACCTGAAAACGCGGAAGCGGGGCCGAGCAACTTGCGGCGATAGGGACTTATGTTGGCACTCGCGACGATCGGGCGCATGGTACGTATGCGGCGTGGACAGTAGGCGGCATGGAGACAGTATGTGGCGTGGAGACAGTACACTACATCGACGCGTACACCTTGGAGAAAGCTATGTCATTATAATGGTATGAGTCAATGCCGGGGCCGTATCCGAGGTGTCAAACGCGCACGAGTCTGGCTGTGCGTCTGAGACTGATACTGACCGCGCATCCTCCGAGTGGCTCAACATGTAAGTTACACGCAGACTCAGGTGGGTCGATGCAGCCATACCAGCGCGCCTCGCGCATGGAACCGAGTCGTTCCGGAGCGTACTAGATACGGCGAAGCTGTGTTTCGGTTTCTGCTTTTGTTCTCACTGACAATACAAGCTTTCCTTCAGGTCGGCGAATGCTACACGTCAGCGCATTGCCATGGACAATGCGTCGTGACATGTGGACGTTGTTTATTGGTCGGCCACCGAACACTTAAGCTCGCAGAGAAGCGACGTAGGTACGTGCACTTGCTCCCGAATCTCACTATGCCCACCGAACATACTGACCTCAACTTGTCTGACAAAAGGGTTATCCTCACGTGTGCAGTTTTGGACCCCCACACCATACCTGCAGATGGTGTTTACCTTGAAGTCATTGCCACACTTGTGAGTGACATTGTTATGCGCACGACTCCGAGCTAATCCTCGTGGCATCCATAGCGCCGTTTTGAGCTTGATGGCGAACTCGCCTGTCATATTACAACCACAGCCACAACCGACAAGTTCACCAGCCTGCCGTTCGATGACCGCTCGCAGTTTGCACGAGATCGCCTGAGTGGCACTGCCGAGGAAGGTGGTGACAAAGAGACGAGCGAGTCGAGAGTCAACGATATCAATACCAGCTCGTTTCTAACGGCCCTCGATGATGTCACGGGTGAAGACCAGGCAGCTATTTTCACTCCAATGACCCATATTGACGAAGACGACGACGACGGCTTTTGGGAGATGATTCGTCGTGCTACTGGTTGTGCGTATTGTTGTATTGTTTCGATTAAAGTATAGATGTGGCATCTAACATTGTGCACAGATTACTTGTATGATCACCCTGAGAAGTTCGCTGAAGCCCAGGAGGTATACATGGTGCGGGTTCCATACTGGGTAAGATCTCAGATGGTTTCGACCCCGGGTGCGGCCTTCATTATCGTAGCATAGATCGAGGACCGCTGGACCATCCGCTTCTACGTCAAGAAGGAGGTCAATGACGCTCTCACGACTTGCATAACCAGCCCTCCACTTGCCTACTATTGGACAGGCATTGTGGAGCGACAATCTGAAGAGGTGCGTGCCGACTTGCATATTTACGGACACCGTGTCTCATTGTGACCCCCATCTATCAGGCTTCTGTGTCACGGTGGTTCTGCATTACCGCCATTTCTCTGTACGAGTTTTGCCCACCGCCCCTTGGCGAGGACGCCGGCGAAGAGTCTCGGGCTACTGAAGAAGACGAAGCCACTGACGTGCAAGATGAAGAGGAGATCGAGCTCACATCCTCCATATTCGACGGACCTCCTGCAGAACGACCCCTGTCTGCGTCTCGTTAGAATTACAGAGAACTATGGTTACTACTAGCCGCATCGACTCTCAAGGCCATACACTTGTATCATACCGTCTTTGCTTACTTGTCACCTACCAGATTGGCTGCCGCCCCAAAGCTGAGAACGTTCCATCGTACTTACGACCATCCGAAACATCACCGCCGGCACTGAGCCCGGTGACGACTGCGAGACGTCCGCCCACCGGCCCGAACCGGCGAGGCGCACGTCCGTGGTGGTGAACTTGATGAACGTCCATTAATATTGGCGGGCCTTTCGCGCCACGCGCCTTTGCCACATCGCGTCTCGCGTCTGCCTCCTCGTTCCCCACCCAGCTCTCTCTTTGCTCGCTGTATGAGCTCGGAAGGCTTGTATATGCACTCTACACATTCATCGACACCGCTCTTGTGTCTGTATCCTGCGCCCACACACACTCTCCTCCCATCCCATCCCATCCCCGTCTCGCCACGCCGGTCTCGCCACATCGTCCGTCTAGCGGCACACGCGTACGACGTCTCCCTCTCTCACTTCTCACACCAGACGGCGGCCCGACCGGCGTTGAGTTCGCCGCGGAGCTCCACGACTTGCTGCACACGGAGGTGCAGCGACACTTCTCGGGGGATGAACCGGTTCGCGCGGATAAGTACCAAAGAGAGGACATCCGACTGCTCACGACGCACCACGTCGAGCGTGTCGAGCCCGTAAGTCGCCGCCGATAGCGCTGCGTCTTGTATCGCGCTGTTCGCATACCTCGCGTCACAGGGCAAGATGTATGTCAAGGAGCAGGATGAAGGCACACCTCGCTCTGTTGCGGTCGCCTTCTGAGCTGACCGACTCTACGCACTTCGGTTTTCTCGTCGAACCCGCTCTTAGAGAGCATTACGGAGATTGAAAGGGATAAAAAACGTAGAGGTATGTACTATATGTCTATTGGTAGACTCGTAGAAGGGCTTACGGGCGCATACAGCTTGATCACCGACGAGCATCTGAAAGTCATACTGAAGGGAACAGGCAACCCCGACCCGAACGTTTGGGCTCTAGGCGACGCGGCGATGATCAAAGAGATGCCTCTCCCCGCCACCGCGCAAGGTATGCCCGCTCTCCTTCTCCCTCGTCCCACGGGCGCACCACTCACGCGTCCGCCCATCCGGTAGTGGCCAACTAAAAGGCAAAGTACCTCTGGAAGAAGCTGAACGCGTTCGCGAAGGACCTCCGCGGCGGATCCGTTCCGGTTCCACAACGTAGGCTCGCTCGCGTACGTCGGCGACTGGCAGGTGGTGTACGACCGCACGCGCACGGAGAAGGCGAAGGCGAAGGAGGCGGGGCGGTTCGCGCGGCTGCTGTGGCACTCGGCGCACTTCACGATGACGCTGAGCTGAAAGAATAAGTGAGTCCCTCGTTCGTTGGGCTTCGCTCCCCTTCTGTTCGGCTTCTGTGACTCGGGAGAGTGAAGTGGTGCTGACCGTGCCTCGCGACACAGGATTTCCGTGCCGTTCTATTGGTGAGTGGGCGTGCTGGACGCTGATGGGTCCTGTGGCAGGTTCATGAATTGGATCTTCGGCCGGGACATGAGCCGCTTCTGAATGGGTCGGCGCTGGTGCGGTGGGTGTGGGACGGTGGGACGTGGGGATCATTGATGCCATACGGTCTGATAGGAGAAGCACGAGGATCAGACGTGACGATCGGGTGAGGTGGAGGGTGGCTGGACTGATGATAGGGGAGCGAGAGGTGAGTCGTGCTCGGACTGTACGGGCAACCAACAGCAGCCCGCGGCAGTAGCCCTGACCGCCTCATACCACAGTATTGCGAGTCTTAGAGTATCACCAAAACACCAACAATGTATTTCCTGCACCTATCTGCATACATGGCGCACACACGGCACGCCCTCCTCATTGCTGTTCAAGGGACGAGGAGGAGGAGACAGACGCGAGACGCGGTGTGGCAAAGGCGCGTGGCGCGAGAAGGCCCAACCTCGGACTAGCAGGTAACCGTAGACGTGGCATGGTAACCGTAGACGTGGCATGTTAACGTGTATGCTAACGTGTATCTTCTCCCTGCAGATCAGTGTACATCACATGGCCACGGACGATTGTCGAAGTCGGCCCGCACAATATTAATGGTCAATGCATACGTGAAGGCGTGCGCGTCTTTAGGTGCGCCGAGCTATAAAAGCAAGGCCGTTTGTCACGGTTTCATACTCACAGCTACTCCCTTCTCTTCAACATGACTGAAGTGGCTGAAGCTCCTCGTGACGCCGACATATCGAACTACAGCGTCACTCTGACAGGCTTCGTCCCCTCGGCCAAAAGCCGCTATGCACGGATGAACTTCGAAGTGTTGGCGACCATTGTGAGTGGCTTTCATCGTTTTATGTATTCCATTGTCTCATGGTGGTGATTGATTATAGCGTCCCTTCATCGACTTTAGTACTCATGCCACCTTCTTGTCCGTCTCTACGACCTCATTCTCCCCGGAATTCCGATGGTTTATCTTCTGCTTCAACTGGGGGCAGCCCATCACCCCCGACGGAGGCAATGCCGCCCAGCCCGACGAGCTCGAGACCGTCCACGGAGGCATAATCTTGTTTTCCAATGAATGCCAGTTCTGGAATGGGCTAATTGCCAGAGCTGCCCGTGCGTCCATTTCTATTTGATCACGCCACACCCAAGTCTGACTTCACGATTGGTCACAGACTACATACAGCGTTACCCGGAGAAGTTCCAGGGTGCAAAGGAAGCATATCTCGTCAGGCTGGTGGTACGTACAGTTTAACTATGCGGTGACCGACGACAACTGAGTTGCTGCTTCCTGCTTCCAGACCACAACCAGCTGTGTCAGTACCTTGTATGTGCACAAGGAAGTGGAGGGCCGCGATGTGAGCTGCCTCGTTAACCCTGTTCTGGCCTATACGCCGCTCTGAAACGATGGCCGTCGGTTTGGCGGGGTCGAGGCCGGTGGTCTTTGCATCAGACGCGTTCGTGCCGACGCAGTAGTGTGCTCGTCGCCGGGTCGCCGGGTGAATGTATGTTATGCGTGCGATGTATGTACAAGTAGTGAACCCAATGCTCCAGCGATGCTCGCGAATCCATCAGTTGCGTACGATATGAACTTGCGCGAAGAATCAAAGAACGAGCACAATTGGCCTCGAGTGGCCTCGGCGCTTCCCTGTTCTCGACAGTACGTCCATGACTGCAACACGGTCGCCCGACTGAACATCACAAAGGCTCTCGCGCGCACAGCCTCAACGCGTTAGCTAGTCCTCTGCCACGATTCGGCTAGTAGCACCACGGCGGCGCTCCAGGCATCTCGTGCATCGAGTCTCGATGGCCGCTCACCCTCTACCCCGAGCCACTCCGGAACGAGCGCGAGGACCGTTCACGACCCTGGTGCAAGGCGACTCAGGATGCGGATGCGGCCAGGCCTAGGATTGGAAAAGAGAAGGAGCACCCGTACCGCTGTGACGGGTCTGTACCGAGGCGGGTAAGGGTACAGGTCGATGGGACTCCGGTCAACGGAGAGGATTTCTGGCACACGGTGCGCATCAGCAAATCAGGCAACTTCTGAGCATCTGACAGGCTGGTGGAAACCCCTCAGAGCAACTCAGTGCAACAGATAGCTCAGGATCCTCAGAGCATTTCAGACTTGTCAGATGATCAAATGAGCCTAAAGGTTCATAGGATGAGACACTCGATTCAATATTCGATAATTACAATAGCCACGATATCATTGCTCGTACATCAATGGCTCGAGAGCTCTGACCTAATTTATTGTACGTAGAGACTCGAGAGTACATATTGGGTAATAGCACTAGAGCAGATCGTCGTCGTCGACACAGGCTCATGAGTCACATACCGACTGCTTGTCTCAGTCAATTACACCTATTACGGCACACCCTATTATGGAGTAGTGGTCTGCTCTCTCGCTCCCTACGACATCCTGTTCCCTTCGCAGCAGCCAAAACAGATCTACGGCAGATCACACATGCATCAGGGAACTCCGAAGTCACAGCCAAGGCTTCAATGGCTCACCTTCGCCCTTCATTGCAAGCACCGACGACGCCGAGCACTTAACGCCGTACACGACGGCCCACACATGTTGCCCATCGTCATGGAACGCTTGCTCGGCGAGCGCGCCTGCTCTGCCAGGATCTCTGCACACGCCTACTCGACCTGGTCAAGAATGTGACTCACCGACGTCTTGTTCGTCCCGCAGCCCTCCGCTTTATACATCACTCGGAGGGGCTCGTCTGCGCGGTGACAGAAGCCAAGGCAGCGTGCCTTTCCGGCACACGATGTCCACGGAAGCTAGCACGGCGCCGCCAGGATGGCGGCCTCTTCCGTGACACAGACGCGGTCGTTCTGGCCTCTGCTCGATGGCCCGGGTGTGTGTTACGTGCGCGTTGATCCGGCAAGGCTTGCGAACGCTCTCCTCTTTGGGCCGCGAGAGGATGCTTCGTGGGGGCGCCGTGGTGGGCAGGAGCCGGGCGTGACTGCTTTGTACGTCGCGGTGAGTTGACTCGGATTCACCCACCGAGCAGCCCGAAAGACGACGGAACTCACCACCTCTCAGGTAGACGGCCGAGTCGGAGTCCTAAGGCCAAGCACAGGTACCCTTGGGTATCCCGAGATCGACCCATACCCGTAAGCCGCCCAGGCACAGACCCGCCTGAGCGGGCACGGATTTCGCGCGGGTGAAGGCCAGTTTGCCATGGGTAAGCGAGCAAGCGGGAGCATGGGAAAGAGGAAATGGGAGCGGTCAAGTGAGCGAACGGGTGGGCGGGCGAGGGGGCGGCCTGGCGGGCGAACTGGCGGGCGAACTGGCGGGCGAACTGGCGGGCGAACTGGCAGGCGGGTGAACTGGCGGACGGGCAGACAAGCGGCAGCCGAGGGGAGGTGAATGGGCGAGCGAGCTGGTGGGATGATGCGTGTCCGGGCGGGCAAGATACCGAGGACGACGGTGGACGGGCACGAGCAGACAGTCGAGAACGGGTGAGAAGGCGAGACTAGACGGACGAGAGCGAGCCGGCGGGCGGAGCAGTGACGAGCAGGGGAATGACAAGCAGGAGAGAACGTGCGAGCGGGCGAACCAGCAAGAAGGTTAGCACGAGCGGGCAAGCCAGCGAGGGCGAGTGTGCGAGTGAGTATGTAGGCGGGCGAACCAAGCAAGCAGGTGAGAATGCACGCACTCACCTACACTACCCCTTACTTCCTCCAGCTCCGTCTTTCCCTCGTTTCTCCGTCGCAGTTTGCGTGTGCCTTGACGCTGTGGTCTACCGCGCGGTATTGAAGTTGAGTCGACGTCGCCGTGGAGGCTGCAACTCGCGAGAAGTGCTAAGCGCCTCAGCCACGACACGTCACGCGCGCTCGCGACTTCGAGTCTCAACGATCCTCAACGATCTCAACCTCTCACCTCGTCCGCCTTCACTGTCAGCTCGCTCCTCCCTCTCTGTTTCGCCCTTGCTTGCCCACCGCCGACCTCCAGTGCAGACCTATGGACCCGTCCGCAAGAGAAGGCGTGTGCATCGGACCACTGCGCGGCTCAAGATCGCGCTGTACGCGACTACAACGAGCCCCAGCGACGTGCCACAGTGTCGTTGGAGGCTCGCGAAGGGCTAACATGCAGGGAGGAACACGGGTTGTGGCCAACAGGGCCAGCGAGCCAAGTGAGTACATCGCTTTCCAACTCGACTCCGGGATTAATGCCCACTCAGGACGAGTGGAAGGAGTCGAACACGACGGAGACAGCCCCGGTGCACGTTCGCCCAACGAGCACAAGCGCATACGGATACGACGCGCACTGGTACGACAAGGCCAGCTCGTCGCGCACCAATGCGATGTGCCCAAGTCCGGTATGATACCGTTCAACGAGCAGGACCGCGGTGCGCAACAGCCTGCCAGGCACTCGGCGCGGCGTGCAAGGGCCCGCCGAGCATCAGCCCGGCATGCCCCAGTCCGACGCGCATAGGCTTGGTGAGGACGGGCACCCCACGGTGTCCCCTTACTGGGTTGTCTGCTAAATCGCTCGCTCGCCGACTCAGTCACCCGCTTTCGCCCTCGCTCTCTCCCTAGCTCGCCCCGCTCGCCTGCTGTCTTGCTTACCCGTTATTCCACTCACCTGCCATTTCACGCGCCTGCCGCTCCACTCGCCCATTCTTCAATTCGCCTGTCGCTCCCCTCGCCCGCCGTCCTGCTCACCCACCGTCTCGCTCTCCCTGTCGCCCCTTACACTTGTGTCCCTCTCGCCGCCCTACTTACTCGCCGTGTCGCTCACCCACCATCTCGCATGCCCGAACAAACCCGTGCATGACCCCTCAGACCCGCTGACCGCGCAGTACCCGTACTCGCCGTGGCGTGTTTGTACCGGTGCTGGTATGGGTCCGGGTCCGGGTCGAGGGTCGAGTCTGGCACATGCGAGCCCGACAGATGGTCGACACGCATGTTCCTCATCTCGCGGACGCTGCGCCACATACCGCGGATGGACCCACCAGCATCGAAGGATCAGCCGCTTACAGATACGGATCACGAACCGATGCGCACTGGTATGACGCGAGCCAATTCGCCATACATAACGTGCCCAAGCCCGGTACGACACAACTCAATGAGCAGCATTGCGACAAGCAATACTCCACCAGGCACCCGGCGCGGCATGCAAGGGCCTGCCGAGCCCCAGCTCGACGCGCATAGGCCCGTGAAGGATGAGTGTGCCGCACCGCAGCCCAAGGAGCTCGGCCGCCGAGTACGAACACAACAAGTGGGGGAGCGAGTCCGCCACGTACATTCACTGGGCAGATGGTAGCTCGTACAAGCGTACAATTAGCAAGCACGATTTTGTACAGTAGTAGCAATCAATAGAATATGATTGAATTGATTTCTACATCCTGGCTGATCTGGCTGATCTGGCTGATGAGCTGGGTAGTCTGACAGGGTGTCTGAACACTCTGAAAATCCTGTCTGACGAGTTAGCATCGAAAAAAATTGAGGTCATGAGGGCTGAAAATCTGAAGCAATCTGGGGCAATCTGAAGGCTTCTGAAGGCTTCTGAAGCCCCTGACATGGCCCTCAGACAGATTGCATGATTTCCTGATGCGTCGTAGAAAGTTGTGAAGTCGTCTCGGTACTCATATATCATACCTCGCCCTAGATGTGACTGAGCTGGGATTCCATGATACACTTGTCTGCCCTGCCAGTGCCAGTGGCGTCCGTTGCGTCTGCCTTCCTGTCCGCCACATCCATCCTGCCGTCCACCGAGCTTGCGCCATCGGCGTGTACGTGCCCTCGACCGTCCCGCTGGGCCTATTCTACGCAGCTCTCACGCTGTACATCGCCTCGCTCGTCCTAGTCGCGATCACCCCATGTGGGCTGCCACTGCACTTCCCGCCGGAGCAGATCTTCCCGGGGAAGGTCACCGCGAAGACTGGCGACCTGCGGATCGTGCTCGCGGGCATGCGCGCGACGACGATCTTCCGGAACATGCGCGGCGCGATGAAGAAGCACCATCTGCGTGCTCCGGAGTCGGCGGCCGCAGAGAACGGTGCCACCGACAGTGCGAATGCGGAAAACGGGGAGTTGAAGAGCGACGAAGACGGCGTCTTGGGCAAGGGTCGGATGTGGATCGCGTCAATGAATTCGCATGGCACTTGTTTACGTTGTTTGGTATACACCCTGTCGCCCCTCTCCCTTTGTGTGCGTCGGCGCGGGCGCTTGCGGTCTCTGGTCCGCTCTCCCGCTGCGGTGTCTACGGTGCATCGCCTGCCCTGATCGTACACCCTGCCTGTCGACGTCCGCTCGCCCGCTTCAATCCTTCCACATCGGGCAGCCGCGCCGAGGTTGCAGGCAGGCTGTGAGGTCCTGCGCACGTTCTCAATACACAGATTTGATGAGGTGGCCGAGCCCGCATCTGTCGCTCGCGTCTGCGGTAACACGACGGACGAGTAAGTAAAGTACGCGACTCTCTCGCAAGCGGTCCATTACTTATCTTCGTTGTTTGCTTCGGTAGACATGTCCCGGCTTCGGCATAGCGGTAGCTAGGAAAACAACAGATGGCACCAACATCAGGCTCGCGTACGGTCGCAGGTCAGCATTTATGGCTGTCACTGACCCAGTGCTCGCCATCTCCACGGCCCCTCCGAGCCATCTAAACTCAGTCAACATGAGTTTTGCGCAGGACGGCGTATACCAGTCGGCGATAACGCGGCATAGTGAGTAATGACCGTTTATGCATGACTATCACTGACCACTCACCATCTTTCCATGGGGTTCGCCACGATACGTCGCCCTCGCCCATCAGTGCAATACCGCCTCGTGATGACCGTTTGGCCTGCTGTTTCGCTTGTCGATCTGTCGCATCGCCGATTGCGACGTCCCCCGACATCCGTCAAGAGCCCCCGCGATAGATGCCGTGGCGGGCCACTGAAGGTAGATTCGTGAAGGTCGCAGTTTTTGTATGAAGGTCGGTCCACCGGACGGTGATCTGTCATGGTCTGCACTAAGTTTCGTTGATTCTATTGATTTTGTTGATTTCCATAATGGATTGACTTCACTGAGTTTCATGGATTGTGTTGAATTGAGTACATAGGCTAGCTGTACTGAATTTGGTGGATTGTATTGGATAGACTACATAGGCTGGCTGTACTGAATTTATATGATTGCATGATTGTGATGAACAAAGTACATAGGCTGGTTGTACTGATTTTGTTGAATAGGGTATACAGGCTGTCTGTACTGATTGTGCTGATTTTGTTGAATAGGGTATACAGGTTGTTTGTACTGAAGAAACCACTTAGGCTGGTTGTACTGATTGTGCTGATTTTGTTGAATAGAGTGTACAGGTTGTTTGTGCTGAAAAGACTGCATAGGCTGGTTGTACTGATTGTGCTGATTTAGCTGAACAGAGTATACAAGTTGACTGTGCTGAATAGACCACATAGGTTGGGTGTACTGATTTTGTTGAATGATTGGAAAATGTAGGCTGGTTCAAGTCTGGACCAGATATGAAGGGCTATTTCATTTTGTGATTACTATGAGTCCATCTGATTGATTTCCAAAGAATACTCATCATGCCACCACTACATACATGTGAGCTATCATAGGATATTCGATTTGAGGCCCAAGTAATGATCATATGTAAGTGGCTGCATTATCCATACTATACTTTTGTGCTCATTTTGATCTCCATACATTGATACATGTGAGCCTCAGTCTGGGCTTACTCAGGGGGTCATTTTGAATATTACCCCAGTAAGACTTAAGTGGCCTCTGAATGACTCCTAGTGTTACATTGTGATTTCATACTGGAGACATTCAGAATGAAATCAAGATGATCCTCATATGCAAGTGGCTGCCTCATGCCAGCTATACCTGGGGTTCATTTTAATTGTGTTCAGCATGAGGCTTGTGAGATACTCTTGGACATATGGTAAGTTTATATAGAATGTGTTCATAATGTTCACCTTGTTTTGCAGCCGTGATGCGGCGTGATTCATTGTAAATTAACCCAACGTATTATCGGCTTAGTTAATGTAGGTAATATGCCGACTCTTTCACCCATAAAATGCGCATGCTGCGCCTTGATTCATTGGGTCACGTCTCCGGTGAAACACACTCCTTCTTCATCCACCTCGCGCCACGCTCAATAGCGCACCGTAGGCTGTCCTCTTTGTATGCGGCATGTCTGCATATCGCAGGACTGGCTATACCCCTGGAGAATACACTAGCGACCTCCGGCTGATGGGTGCGTGCTCGCTCGAATTCTCGCCCCCGAGTCTCTTTGTCTACTCGAGCTCTCGTCCTCGCCTGCGTCTCCCGCGAACGATCCGTCCGCCCTCTTGCTACCGGTGATCCTCGCATTCTTGCGTCTAACGCTGATCACGACTACACCCAGCATCCATAGTATTCGCGTCCTTCAATACCCTCGCATCAAGAGCAGCGTATGGTCAAAAGCCTTCGTGGTGGTCCTCGGAGCCTTGACAGGCCGCACGTCACGCGGAACGGCAGGTGCATTTCTGGTACGTCTTGTGCGACACAACAACATCGATCTGGAAATGTATACATTGCTGGATCAACAGATCAAGGGCGCGCGTATGCTCCCTTAGTTGGACATAGCGCGAGGTATTCCGTGGGGTGCCTTCGTAGACCGTGCCTCAGGTCTGACCATCAACACGATCATAAATGGGCGAAGTATCTCTTCGCTAAACTGATCTCGACGCTGAAGCGGAAGGCCTCCGGCCCTACCCTTACCGCGCATATACTCAACACGTACGTCACCCGAATGTCTCGCGACGTTACTCCCGTTCAACGAGCCTCATCGCGTGCGCGACGCCTAGTTATTGTAACACTTACGTCAATAGGAAGCGCGCACGTGGTAGAACCCAGGACATGGAAGACCTGCTCTCCATGCAGAGTTCCGATCGTGTTCTGATGCGTGAGGTCCGGGCCACTTTGTTCGCAATTTGAATGAACTGGTTGAGACGCATCCGCGTCTCGCTCTCGGAAGGGCCCGGCTGCGCACCACCCAATATTCTGAGAGGATTTTGCGTACGATTGTTTCGAGCAACTGAGAACGCCTTGATGTACTTACCGAGAGCCCATGATGAGAGGTCAAGAATAAATCTGCGCTTTGATCTGCTTTATGGGATTGAATAGCCAACTGGCACCAAGGCTGTGCATTGACAGGACGAGTTGACTGTCTCGTCGGCGCACAGACGGTCAAAATGTCCAGATTCATGTTATGATGACCTTCCCGCACAGAACTCTGTACGTCGTGTCGGTCAACATGAACTGCTCCAAAAGGGATGCTGCAGAACGTCGTTAACACTGCCACGAACAGAGTTTTGATGGACACATACCCGTGAGCATGGAAGGGACCACGCGCCTGGGCTGTATCGAGCAATCATGTCGCTCACAAATGCGGGACGATGCTAACGCAACTAAGACATGCGTTGGCACTCTTGAGAAGGCACGCCCCAGCCGCGAAGCCCGGGACACAGCCGCCGACTAGAGGCGTGGTCTTATATGTGCGCCCATCTGGGTCCAAGACGCTGAGAATGCGCTGATCCAACGCGCATGAGCCCTTCCAAGGAAGAAACAAAACACGGAAGATGAGTCGTGGGCGGGACGACAGACGGTAGGCCTGAGCGCAGAGGAGGATGTCAGACGTGATGACAACTCGCGCGTCTACGCGTGATGCATGCGTCCACCGACGTCGTGGATCCTCCGAGCACTTCAGTATCACCGTGTCCTCGACGCCTCATCGAGCCACAGTCATGGCTCGAGTCTGCATCCGACCATCAGCTGGAGCTCTCGTCAATACTCGCTTCTCTCGAAGACCGACGTATATTCCAACTCACGGCAACTGCTGTGCGCACTGCGGCGCACTGGTCCTGAGCCACCCCTGTTCCACCAGCGTGCAAGGTTACGTCGCATTGCCTTATACTTGTGCTTGGACCTCAAAGGAGCACTGCACGGCCCGTTCCATGGGTACGATGAAGCGCAGTGCGTGTATTCCGCATCGCATAGCCTCGTCTCGCCTGTGTGGGCAGTGGCTAAATGAATCACTTGATAACCACGTTGATCCTATAATGTACTTTCGTCTGAGCGGAGACACATCAAGGGCCTCAGTAGGGTTTTATCAGAGGTCGGAGTGTTGGCTCACCACATTGAAGGTATCAGGCACTAGCTGCATGCGTTCCGGCGCGAGAAGACCCTAGGATAGTTCAGATAGTGTCTCGAACCTGTATATTCCAGTTGAGAAGAAGGAACCTGAACGCGGGCATTGACGCGTTGAATGTTGTCATACGGATTGTCCAGAGTACTAGGGGACAGGTCCGCTCAGACCATAGCGCGGAGTAGGAGGAACACTCCCAGTCATATAGGTCCCAGTTTCCCAGACATCGAACGTTATAGCTTTGAATTGACAAATTCTGTACGTTTGACACCTAGCTTATCAAACCCTTCGCGCATACCAGAACCGATCGGCGTGCTTCGTCTACTCTCGCTGTCCACGAAGACATGCGTGTACCCGCCCACTGCACTAGCCGCGTCCTTTCCCTCCTCAAACACGGCCACTTCGTATGCCACGGAGCTGTTCCCGAGGCTCGTTACGCGTAGGCCGAGGTCAACCACGGTCGGGAATGACACGGGCGCGAAGAATCGGCACCAGGACGAGACGACGAGCCCGATCTGCTGTGAGTGTGTCGGGGACAGCCCACAGCGCGTGATCAGGTAGGTGTTCACGATGGAGTCGAATAGGTGGTAGTATACGGAGTTGTTCATGTGCCCGTACTGGTCGTTGTCGCTCCTGCGGAGGGATAAGAGTCAGACCGAGTACGCGACGCAGTGTTTGTACGAACCAGCGCGTACGGTAGGTCAGGAAGTACGGATAGTCGGAGCGGCGGCGCTGCTTCAGTTTGTCGCCGTCGTGACTCATATCAGGGGCAGTGAGTAGCGCAGTGACTACAGCAGCGCGAATGCGGGACTGTACTATTTGAAGACGACGGTTGACTGCAAGCAGTTAGCCTAGTACGCGGGAGGCCGCTGTCGCAGTGCGTGCGCACGTGAGGAACGCGACGGTGGCGCGCTTCAGCCGCGGCGGTCGTCTTCGTACATACGACCGCCTTGACTCAGCAGTTCTGGTACGTCCCGGTTCCACGTAGTTCTCGAGGAATATTCGGGACGCTGACACGGAGATGTTCACCATAGCAGAGAATATGTTCATTGGTTCGCTGCTACAGACCGTGACCAATTCGCTATGTATCAACTGCTTGTACATTGTGCTTACATATTGCGGGGTTACTGCGCACAGGCGGCCTGTTTCAGGCCTCGCATATGTATGCATCGCACAACTGCAGATCCGAGCCTTACGCTCATATGAGTACACATCACTCGCACCGGTGCTTCCTGGACCACCGACTATGCGTGGGCAGCGGACTCGGGTCCGTCGCGTTTATAACACATGTCGTGTATTCTTTAGAGCCGAGAGGAGTATCGCCTTCGCATAAGAATCATGATGGGCCCGTCCTCCAACCGATCAGTAAGCGTCTATAAGCAGTACTTAAGCACTTGCAGACCTACTAATTCGAATCTCTGCGTAGCACTTTGACCTCCAATCTTCCGACATTCTCCTTCATCGACATTTACGAGCAAAATCATGGACGCTTTCACAGGGACCGTAAAACCGCTGTTGGTGAGCCAAGTTAACAATGGTGACGGCATACGTTCAATTGAAAAAATTCTCAGCAACCGCTCACTGCGAAATCGCTCACTATCCATGGCCTCGTGAAGGACTATAGCGGCAAAGCTGCTGCTCTCAGAATGCCGAGAGAGATTTCACATCTGCGACAGTGGTATACGGCGGCTGTGTCCTATGAATCCGAGCCCAAGGATCTTAGTCCGCCAGATTCCCCGTCCATACTCTCACCCGACAGCCATCTCGATCTTCATCTGCATGTTGGTGAAGTCTTGCGTGACGGGGAGAGCCACACTATCTACAGGGTCTGTCATGGGGTGTCGCATGAACCCTCTGAGGCGGCCTACAGTTTTCCGCCCATGGTGATCAAGGTCTCCGCGGAATTAGAAGGCCAGCATCTGGCGGAAGAGGCAGCGATGTACGACTATCTGCACTCTTTGCAAGGCGTCGTCATTCCGCGCTGTTATGGCTACTTCCGGTGCTTCGTCAACCTCCTCGAGCACGTCGTCATCCCGTGGGCCCCGGAGTGCACGTTCCCGCGGGATAAGAAAACGATCAACATGTTCAGGATGCCCAATCAAATGGCGAGCTTGAACGTCCTGCTGTTGGAGGATGTAGGCGAACCTCTTCCATTATATTCGACCCCCCAGCAACTCAAAGAGCTCGAGTGAGTCTTGACGGACACGAAGTGCAGTGAATCGTTAAATCTGATTCCGACTTAGGCAGGACTTATTCGACATGAGCAAGGAGCTGTGCCAACTGCAGGTTGACTATACCGATTGGGAGTGTTCCAACATCCTTCGCGCGTACGAGCAGCCTAAAGGCATCGCCGGCCTTCCGTCTTCCAGGAACAACCGCACCTACAAATACCGCATCATCGATTTCGAGACGGCTTGTACAACTGAGGCAATCCGCCCGGAGGCGATCCACAAGAGGTGTAGGTCCTTCTATAACGAAATTATCGCGAAAGTCCGGAACAGCAGTATACAGTCTATGGGCTAGAGCTATCAACATCGGTCACTTGGTAGGATATTATACTGGTGTAGGGATATCAGCTGTGTTATCTTCACATACAACGTCGATTTGATGAACTCTCGCCGTACGTCTCCCCTAGGCAGACTCTCAATACGACAAGACGTCTCGAAGTCGAGTCCACTGGCAGCTGGAGCCACGTCATCGCCGAAAGCTAACCCGGCCTATAAGGCCATACAAGACCCTTATAAGCGGCGGAATCAATGTAAGGGCTCGTAATAATTGTACATACCCTTGCACCCCAATATGTGGGTTGCTCGGTTTGGCAATATGTACCAGCAGTGTAAGGGCATGCCGGACTGACAGTATGATATAATAGCATATAAGGATGTCCCAGCCCGGGTACATCTTCTAAAGACATACTCTCGTGGTTTATTTTAGTCGATTTCTAGATGTTTGAAAATGTCATGACTAGCGATCGCAACAGTCAAGCCGGAACCGCTGGAGTCGTCACGCAGAACGTCAGCCATCTTACCAAAGTGGTAGGTGGGCCGTGGACGAAGGTATCCCACCATGTCGAGTATATAGGTGGCAGATCGGGAACTCCTCCGAGTCGTGTGTGAGTACTGACCGCTGGACGAAATTGCTTTCTTCAGTTCCTTTGACAGGGAGGCCCGGTACCGTGGTTGCGCCACAGAAGCCGGGCACACAGAAAGTACATCAGCGCAAGCGAAATTCCCATCGGTGTACCACATTGATAAAGACTGGAACGATACAGTAGGTATTTACCCGTGAGCAAACGCGGTACTCACGCAACTCCGAGAGGCTCCGCGCTCTCCCGGGGAGTCGTCTTACACGGCCTCACGATCAGCTTCATCTTTTCTAAATTCAACTCATGCTCCTCCATCATCCACCGTGGTTTTCCCTGTCTCACACCGCAGGCCCGTCGGGGATTGTTGAATTGTCTCAAGAGTTCCGTGTAGTACGCTACTCACGCGCCGAAGCACGTGACCGCGACGCGACGACTGAATCGAACCGAACAGTGTCATTCCAGAGACCAAACGCTGGTCGCTCACTTTGCATTCACTACTTCACAGTCATTGCATAGGCTCTCCCTTGCTCTCCTAGATCTCTTCACGCACCGTCATCATCATAAGATACGCGGTCTCCTCAAGACTCAACGCAAACAAACATGCCTCCGGCACCCAGTCATACAGGTTTAACATCTACGCCTGGGATACCTTTGTCTGGGCATCCACATCTGTCGCCGACGCTCCTCTGGTCTCTCGTTGCGATTATCCTCGTGAACGTGCTACTACTTGTTCTCTGGTTCATCACTCGGTATCGTCGCGCGGCGGCTCGGAAGGCCGAAATTTTAGGTCTGCAAGAAGCGAGCACCTCAGCGGGCGCGCCACGCGTTCGAAGGTTCTGGTCGTGCGGTCTTTCGCGGTTCACTCGGAGGACAAGTGAAGTCGGAGGAGCTATGGAAACCGCCGAGCCCAAGGCAGATTCGAGCGTCTCTGAAACGCTCAGCTCGGCGGACCTCGAGGCGGGCATGGTGGTTGTCCTTGAGGTGCGTGCTCTTCGTTCGCTCGATGTATATGTTTCGATGCTCAGTGCGTCTCCCTATTAGGAGGCATCCTCGCCTCAGAAAGACAGCGATAAACTCCATCTTTCCCCTGCCTGGCAGTACCCTCACCTGGAGGTGCATTCGGAGCCTGGCACCCCCGCTCTCACTATCGGCACGAGCTGCAGGAGCACGCCCGAGCCTCTGCAAGACACCGTCTCCACCTTCTCCGTCTACTCTCAGGCATCCTGGCCAGACGACTACTCGGCTTTCATGCGGTGCGACCCCATCGTTGGCGGAACTGGAATCACCGAGAAGGCGGACCTCGGTATAAAACTGGACGAGGAAACGAATCAGGGATCTGACAAGCAGGCGACGCACTCGGAGGTCTCTAGAATCATCGTTGAAGACCCGGACTTTTTGCCCACGACGCTCTCCAACGGCTCGCCCGGTACGAGCTTCGCATCGGAACTCTTCCAGGACTCGAAACCTGAGCCCGCGTTCGAGCTGGCGGTCGCTGCGGTGGAATCATTGCCTTTGGGTCTTGACAAGCTTGCGTGGGCCTCTCCTGTTCCCTCTGTCTCGAACGCGGCCAGTCTTCCACCGGACATCCTGCTCAACGGCGCTACCTTCTCTGCACTGTCTCCTCCATGGGTCCTCCACCTCGGTGGGGAGCCTTTTTCCGCCTCGTTCTCACTCGCGGTTTCTGGGGATACTCGGAAGGTCGGCACCGATGTGTCTGTGTACACGAAGTTTCGGACAATGCCTTCGCATTTACCGTCTCCCTGGTCGACTTTCAGGGCTCTCGCTGAGCACTCGACCGACGCCTGAACTTGGCTTCGTTAAACTTCAGAGGACCACTCGATTCACATTCTTCCCGACTTCAACATCAATCCGCAAGATTCTCCTCGCGCTTGGATCCCGTCTGCAAGCTTTACCGTGACCTCTCGGCTTTCCGGCTTTCCGGCTTTCTGAACGCTCCAAATCATTGCGCTACCCTGCCCTGCCTGTCGTCCCAAGTTCTCGACGCTGTCCTCGTTTGGCTCGCTCTCGCTGGTTTCTCTTTCGGGCTTTAAGCGGTTCGGTTCAAGTTGATATCTTGTACAGTATGATACTTCTGCGTCTTTAGGACGACCTACCGTAACCATGTCGGTTTCTGCGGCTGCGCATCTTTAGTGCCTTCCGATACAACAGTATGCCCTACCGTCAGAGTAGGGCTGTATGAATACCATGGCACGGAGCGAAGTTCCATTGCACAGAGGAGACTGCTCAGACCGAGCGCGAGCGCCTTGACAGAATGACCGCTTGCCAGTCTGACTGAAATCGTCGCACCGTGTCTGTTTTCTTTCTTGCGATCATCACAGACCTGAATATGATCCCTTCGTTTTAAATCCACCCACAAATTTACGAGTGAGTTTCGATGACAAGGGCAATACTACATGCATAACCGAACACAATCGACTTGTAACCGCACTGCGCAGTTGCGAGAAGCGCGTTCGGTCGCGGGTCCGTCAACACCGTCACGAACGATGAGCACCGTTCTCCTCACTCATCTCCTCTGACCATACATCAACCATCGAGCACGGATATTCAAGTCGTCGGCATGGACAAGTTTACCACCCTCGAGCCCGTCCGACTTTACAACTCTTCCACCTCGCCACCATCGGCTTCGTCCAAGAACCGCCTTTCACGCTTCTCGCCTCTAACGCCACGCCCAGCAGCACCCTCGAGCTCGCCTTTCGTCAATGCACACGCCCGCCAGCGCGGGCCCGCGCCGTTCGAACGGATCGGCCGGCTTCCCGCCGACCTGCACATCGTCGTGCTCACACACCTCGCCGTGCCCGACCTGCCCGCGTACGCGCAGGCATGCCGGGCGACGGGCGCGCTCGTGCGCGACGAGCGTGTGTGGGAGGCGAGATGGCGGCTGTTCGGGCTGGACGACGGGCTGGGGGACGACGTGCAGGGTTACGGAAAGCATGCGGGTGCAGGTGGGCGCGCGAGCACGGACACGGGCAAGAAAGGGAAGGGTCACCTGCACGAGGTGCTGGGCGTGCTGGAGGAGCGGGAGAGAGAGCGCAACGGGGTGAGCAAGGGCGGCGCGCCCCCGACGCTGACGGTCGACATCGGCGACGACGACTTTGGCGACTTCGCGTCCGGCGGGCAGGGCTCGGCGGTATTGAATGCGCCTGCGGATGAGATGGGCGACTTTGTCGGTGAGTAGCACACTATCTCATGTCCGTGCGCACTCTGGCAGTGGGAAACTGCAGCAGGTTATGCTATGCTAGAGTATGCCTGGAGCATGTCCCGCTTCTCCATATTCACCTCTCCTCCTCTTCATCGACCCCTCCTCTCTACAAAGACCCGTTACTGAGTCCATCCTAGGGGCATTGTCAAATTCAACCTTTGGCACACCTCGTCCAGGCTCTGCCTTCCCTAGCTTTGCGACGCCAACGTCACCAGGTCCGCCGCCGAAACCGACCTATCGCGCGCAGTACATCCGCGTACACACCCTCCTCAAACCACTTGTCCCCGCGCTCTACGCACCCCCACATGCTGTTCTCTCCACCCTGTTTCCTCCAGCCTCCGCACCCTTGCCTTCGCCGTTTCAGACGCCTCTGCAGCAAGCCCACACGTTACGCCTCCTAGCACTATTTCTCTCTCCACGCGTGAAGCCACTGCGTTCTTGGTCAGCACTCTCGGCTGCCCTGCGAGCAGCGACGGACCGTTTTGAAGACACCCTGCTCACTGCGTTCGACGTTGCGGATGGACGAGCAGACGAAGCCGGGATGCGCGAGGCGGCCGAGGCAAGCTGGGAAGTGTTGGATCGGAGTGGTGGCGAGGGGAGGAGCGTCGGCTTCGGGGAGACAGATAGAGGGAGCAGTGAGGTGCGCTGGGAGCTGGGCACGGTGTGGATCGAGAAGCGGGAGATCTTCTATGAGCAAGCGAAGTGGCGCCCGCTGGACAACTTCGCGGAGGACGGCCAACTCGACTTCGACGCGATGGACGCGTTTATGGGCGAGATCCTCGCGGCACTTCGGGAACACGGCGCGAGAGCGGTTCGCGTGTTCCCGCCCGCGACGGGTGTGCTACTCGCGTTTGCGGATCGGCTGGCGGGGGACGTGGTGAGTCTACAGTGACGATTCCTAACGTCTGTATTAAAGTGGTGGTGTTAGGTAGGCGAGTACGTCGCGCCGCTCTTGACCCGCGCGCGCGAGCTGAGCAACGAAACGTTTCTCAAGGCGTGCGCCGCGTCGTTCAGGGAGGCGTGGCGGATGACCGACGCCATTTTCGAGGTCGCGTCCGAGCGGAGCGACTCGCTGGTAACGAAGGCACAGGCGGAGGACGTCGCGTCAGTACACATTCGTAGCGTTCCATCCGCAGCGTAGGACTAATGATCGAATGCAGGTATCGTATGTTCGAGCCGAACATGGACGAGTATCTCGACGAGGAGATTGAATTCGTCAAAGCATGCTTCGAGCGAACGTGTCGGGCCTGGGAAGTACAGGTACGCTCTCTTATACATTACCCTGCCTTGGCTCTTATCCCGCTCTCAGTTCCTCCAGCGGTCCGGGCCAGCCATCCCCGGGCAGCAGACGACTGCAGAACACACGCAGGTGCGCTTCATCGGGTCGTCGAACCCTGCGCAGGTGAAGCGCAACGTGCTCGCGTCCTTCACGGATGTACTCCTCCTTCCCGTGACGATTGTCCCGCGCACAGCGGCTACCGTCGGCAAGGCCGTCGCGGCGGGCGGGTCCGCGGCTGTCCAGGGCATCTCGATGCTGAACCCGCAGAAGTGGGGTGCGAGCGCGGCGGGTGACGCGGACAGTGTTGGAGGAGGTGGTAGTGGAGGAGGGATTGGGAAGCGGTTCTCGAAGCTCGGCTCATGGAGGCAGTCTCGGGGAGGGAGTGTGGACTACAAGAAGAACTGGTATACACAAGACTTCGAGAAGGGCCAGGATGGAAGCACGTTGTTCGAGATCGGGGATGTGGACGAGGATGCGGACGGGGATGTGGGGGATCAGGACGAAGATGAGTTCGCAAACGAGAAGGATATGGAGATCGAGAGTGAGAAGACAGACAGATGTGAGTGTACGCCTGTAAGTGCTTGCTTGGGTATTGACAAATACACCAGGGTCCGTGTCGTCGAGTACGACCGCCCACTCCCAGCTTACACCATCTATCTTCTCGAAGACGACCTCCTCCTCAACCTCGACTTCTACGCGCACTTCCACTCCGCTACCCGCGCCGCAGCCGACGACCTTCGATAAATTTGATCTTTTGCTCTCGCTCGACATCGCCCTCGAGCTCATCCACGCCGATCGCGAGTCCCTCAAGCGTGCGGAGACGTTCTCGGGATACCCGGGGCAGTACGGCCACCGAGTACGGGACACGATCGAGGAGATCTTCGTTCTCCTGCTGCAAGCGATCGGCGAGCGGCACGTCAAGCCCGGGTTTGATACGTGTGTACCTCGTCGACGTGTGATGGAGAAATGTGTGAGATGCTGATGCGTATAAACAGAGCGACACAGCAAATGAGGACGTACCAGCCGGCGGAGCACGAAGAGACGAGGAGCGTCGCACCGCTGCTCCAGTTCTTCGAGCTGGTGCATGTGGGCGACACCATCCAGAGTATGGTCCAGGTGTACTTCGACAAGGAACTGGTGAGTTCGGCGTGTGTTCACATTTTGAGCATTCTCGGGCTGAGCACGCGGTATAGGCACCCCACATTGACCGTACCGACTTCCTGAACGCCGTGGTACGTGAGAAGAAGCGCTTTGAAGACGTGCTCGATGATTGCGTCGCTGCCGGGCTTAACGCTGGCACTGATGCACTAATGAACCAAGTATGATATCGTCTACCGGGATGACTCTTGCGGCGTTTGACTCATCGACGGTTCGCGTAGGTGGAGCACATCATCATGAAGCTCACGGGGCCCCGCGCATACTACCCGCAAGAGGGTTCTCCACTCGAGCTGGGACCGTCGAAGGGCTGCGTCGAGGCGATCCAGTGCCTGAAGATGCATTGCCAGCTGCTTAAGGGAGCACGAGCAAGGAAGTGCTCGAGGTCTTTTACCAGGAGATCGGTATTCGCTTGATTGCGTGAGTCGTTGCTCTGCCACCCGGTCGAGGCAGAGTTCTAACCCGGGCCCGCATTATTGCAGCATCCTCCAGAAGCATTTAAAGCGGCAGATCATATCGCTCAACGGTGGATTCCAGGTCATCGCTGACTTGAATGCGTATCATACATTCATTTCGTCATTGAAGGTATGATGTAAAGAGACAGGCTCGTATTCTGTACTGATCCCGGTGTAGGTCAGCAGCATCGCAGCTGAGTTTTCGTACCTCAAGATGCTCGGACACGTCTACGTGGTCGAGGATGCCAAAGACTTGGCCCAGATTGTCCGCGATGTGACGCGCTACGGGGGCGCGTACAAACCGGAGGTACGTGGACGTCACTCGAGATCTGGTTGCTAGTGATTGACATTCATGACATAGGACGTATATGAGTTCATTCAGCGACGGGCGGACTGGAAAAAGATCGAGAAGACGGTTGATAAGGCCATGTACAACCTCAGTTTTAAAGAGGACTGCGTGATCTGCTGACTACACCTGGGAGGCTCATTTCACGACGTAAGACAGCGGGCACTACTGCGTTCCGACCTTGCATCGCGATCTCTGTGCTGACGGTACACGTGAGACTGTTCAGTACACTGGCATTGCTCGTGCGCAGGATCAAGGCCAGCGAAGACACGTAAAGACAGCAGAGTCTTGGACCTGCGTTTGCGAACACTGGTGAGTAGAAGGTGCGACTCGGAGGACCTCAGAGCGGTTCTGTTAAGGTCCACCACAGATGTGTACCGAACTGGCAGTAGACGTTCCGGGCGAGAACTTCTGAGCCTGAATTTAATGACAGCTTGGAGACAGCTCACCTCATTCAAATTTCCTCTGTCGCTGACTGATCTCGGGGGAGGAGGGAGCTATACCCTTTCCTCAGCCGTCGAGACATCGTACACACGAGAGGGCGCTTATCCCCTCTCCGCGCTGGCCAGTTCCCTCACGCTCGAAAACATCTTTCTTCCGTCTTGCTAATATTGGCATGAATGGTCTATATAGAGGCTGTTACCAAGCGCGTATCGCGAGTATTGCGTCAGTCAGTCAGTCAGGATAGTCGAACGCCGGTGATCCAACGCCATCACCTGACGCAAGCGCGTCGCGCGAAACGCCCAGCCCCAGTTGGACTTTGCATCGGACAACCGCACATAGCGCACCAGAAATCCATCCTTTTGCCCCCGTATCCTTGCCTGACACTCTGGTTCTTGAGCCCGGGCTCTAAAAGAAAGGTCCATATCCTTCAGAACAACTGTGCAACACGCTGATACTGAATTTCGCAGCTCACTGGTAGTACTGGCATCCTGCTTTCAATGTAACTTAGCACGATCGTTCTGAGCACGAAGCACGGACAGTGACTCATCTGTCCATGATGTGCTACGGGGTCTGTTGAAGAACATTCGCTGACAGAGTGTTTTGCAGACAGCGCTGAGTGAGCCAGAGTGACTGGGCGGCCACAGTGGTCTTGATGGACTCATTTAAGGTCTCGCGCCAACAGCAGTTGCCGGCATTCCAGTGCTTCAGCAGTGTCTGGAAATACACCGTCAGATCTACCGTCGCACAACTCGTTACAACTCAACGCAATGACGCTTCCTGACACCGACCATATCATCTTTTACGACATCCCCGGGACCGTGCCCGGCACCGCCTGGTCGCCCAACAGCTGGAAGACGAGGTGAGCATCTTCCCATTTAACTGCGTTTACTCGCTCAGACCTCCACAATCCAGATTCGCCCTCAACTACAAGGCCCTCCCGTACCGCACGCAATTCGTCGAGTACCCGGACATCGCGTCCGTCCTCACCGCCCTCGGAGTCGAGCCGAACCCGCCGTCCGTCGCGCCGTGGCCGTACACGCTCCCCGCGATCTACGACCCGCGCACGCGCACGGTGGTCACGGAGTCCGCCAGGATCGCGCGCTACCTCGACGAGACCTACCCCGTCACGCCCGCGCTCCTCCCCGCGGACTCGCGCGCCCTCCAGGCGGGCTTCGTGCAGGCGTTCGCCACGGAGTTGCACCAGAAGCTCATGCCGCTGGTGCTGCACGCCATCGCGACGGCGCTGAGCCCGCGGAGCGCGGAGTATTTCTTCGAGACGCGCGAGAAGTCGCTGGGGTGCAAGCTGGAGGAGCTCAGCCCGCCCCGGTCGGAGAAGCGCGCGGAGCAGTGGGTGGTCGCGGAGAAGGCGTTCAGCGTCGTTGCGTCGTGGTTTGACGCGGCTGGCAATGGAAGGCTGTTGCTGAGCGGCGGGGGGCCTGGCGGCGACGACGGCAAGGTCACCCATGCCGACACGTATGTCGCTGGGGTGCTGATCTGGTTGCGCATCATGTTGGACAGCGAAGACTGGAAGCGCATCGAGAGCTTTGACGCAGGCCGCTGGAAGCGTTACCTGGCTCTCTTCGACAACTGGGCCGACACGAGCCGCTGAAAGCCTGGCAGATGGTACATATTGGGGCGACGTCGTTAAAGTTTGGCTGTGTGTTCGAGGAGGGCGAGACAATATACTCAGCGTTCGTGCGACCCCATTGAGCATTCCTCTGTAACCACATCTCCCGAGAACCAGTCGTGATGAGCGCATAACTGGTGAGATCTTGAGACGTGAGGAGTTGACACGCGTCGCCAGAAACAAACAGGATGCTAGAGAATTTATATGATATTGTACCGTCAGCGCTGCAGCAGTGCTAGCTGTGACCACCCTCTGATAGCTGCTTCTGGGTTATCTGTTGCAATATTTGGCAGATCAGTACTTACAGACTTGCAGTGCCCCGGTCCTACCTGGTAGGTAGTACGCACGATGCACATGTAAGGCTACGATACTTTCCGAGTTCGTACCCCTTCAAAGGAACCCTTAGGCAATATCCGCGTACTGATTTGGCCTTCATCTACGACGAAGTCAGTACCCATGTATCTTCAGAGTAATTACAGCCAAAAATCTACCGCACATTTGTTTGAGTTCTTACCTCGAGCGTGCCTAGTAATGACGTGCCAGGCCCAATCAGGAGGGCAGTGGCGCTTCCGCCACAACCGCGCATGAGCGCGTCCGGCCGAGTGGCACGTATCCGGAGGCTCACAACGCGCATTATAAGCTGCGGATAACGATCGCACGTACCAATCGCGCCTTCACCCATACCCACAGCCAACCTCCGTTCGTAGTCCCTGCACGCTCAGTGTCCCGACGAAACCACCATGGCCCCGACCGAGTTCTCGCTCCGCCTGCAACACGGTCAGCCACAGTTTGTCTTGATCATGCGAGCAGACATCGACTCACACATCTACGATTACCTATAGGGATCACCGGAGGCTTCGCTCCTCCCACCCCGAGCGCGATCTACACGATCACCGGAACACCCTCGCAGCCCAGCTGGAATATCACCGCCGCCGTGCGTCCCGACGGGACGCCCTCCCTGGGCGATGAGGAGCGCAAGGCGTTGTCAGCCACCGACACAGGGGCGACGACGCTCGTCGGCGAGCTGCACGATATCCTCAAATCGATCCCGACGGAGCAGCCGCCGGGGAGCGAGGACATTTACGGGCTGGACACGAGCATCGCGTTCGGGAGCGACGACCTTATGTGGATGAATGGCGGGCCCGCGGGATGCGGGACTGGGACGAGCACGGTGCAGGCGACAGCGGAGGACAAAGCGAAGTTCAAGAGGGCGGTAAAGATCGTGCAGGAGCTGATCACGAAGGCATCGTGAGGACGCGTGGAAGGTGATCAACTTGCCAGTGTACAGCATGTATCTTTGTATCTTCGACCGAACATACCCTATCTTACCGTATCGTCCCAATACTCGTCAACGCGCCTTACCGATCGTGCGCAGGAAGTGTCTGCGGCTGCTGGTGTTGTCCAGCCTACTAGTCCTCCCCGTTCGGTTTCTCCGCCTGCATAGCAGATGCGACTGCGCCACCTCCAACGACCGCACCTCCCTCTCGCACCAGGCTCTCCCGTGCTTCCACCAGAGCCTTCTCTCGCTCGCCGAGAGTGGATTTGTGAGAGGCGACGGCGGAATGAAGCGAGGCGTACAGGGACAGCTTCGCACTATGCTTCAAGCATCAGCGATCACTCACGAGTGAACTCGGGGACTGCAGTGTGGGCAAAGAGTGGAACGCACGTCATGTGGTCCTTGACCTGGTACGATCATGAGCAGCATGCTTACACGGAGAGTAAAGGTAGCACGTACAAAATCCAACATCTTGGAGAATTTCGTTGTCAACTCTGCATGCGCCTCGCATGAGCCACCCTTCACGCAGGTTCGAAGTAAGCGCTACGCAAACTCACCGTCTGCGCCAGCCGTCCACTCCTCCATCGAACACTCCGACCACCTCTTCTTCGCCTCCTCGTACGCGTCCACATGGCCCTCCACGAACTCGCCGAGGTCCTGTCCCATGAGCTTGTACAACGCCTCCCCGCGTCCCGTAGGGTCCAAGGGTGCGGGCTGAGCCTGTGGATGAACGTGCGCCTCGGACATGCGGGAGTAAGGCCTGTCGGGCTGCTGCGAATGCGCGCGAGGGTCAGGGACGCCGCGCTCGTAGTCTTCGGGAGCGATGTACCCGCGGACGTCGGGGGTCGGTCCGCGGGAGTAGCGCGCTGCGAGGTCGTCCTGTGCGGGATGTCAGCAGGGTAATGACGTCGGCACCAGGGAATCCGCTGGTGCTACGCAGCCACGACCTCGATACACGGGTGCAAAGCGCGCCTCGAAGACAGGCTAAACTCACCGCGAGGCCTTGCCCGTCCAGCTTGTACCGCTTCGACTGAGTCCCGTACGCGAACTCTTCCTCCTCGAAGTCTTGCTGATGGATGCGTTTGACCGACCTACGCAAGCCAGGCTGAGACGCCTCGGAAGGAGCGTCGTCCGAGCCCGCGTGGGCATCATCCGGGAAGGACCCGGAGGCCCGTTGGCCATGGGCACCGCCTGGGTGACCTCGGTCGTCCTCGTCTTCATCCTCATTGATCTTCTCGAGAGACGGATGAGAGGAGACGCGCGGGCGAGCATGGGCGCGCTCGGGATTGTTCGAGCCCAGTGAACGGAGGTCGTTGTATCTGTCGCCGTTCGTAGAGTGCGCTTCAGAGGTGTTGCCGTCGCCAGCACCATCCGAGGTGACTATATGCGCGTTATTACCGTTCAGGTTATCCCCAGAGCCCGAGGTCTGCAGCTTGGACGGCACAGGCAGCATCGGCGGGCGGAATCCGTTCACAGACAAGAACTCAGAACCAGATCCAGTGCCTGAGACGGTGCTTCCGAGGAAGAACGGAGAAGACGGACGAGGGCCCGACAGACGGTGAGCCTGGCTCGGAGGCAAGAAAGGCCTGGTCGAGCGAGCATCGGCTCCAGAGCTATCAAAGGACTTGCGGTTCGTACCCAGTCCGGAGACCCCGTTAGACTGAGGGACGGGTTTGCGCTTCGCGAGGCCGGATACGTTGAGCGGCTTGTTTGTCGCAGCCTTTAGTGCAGCTTCGGCGCTGTGTTGGGTGGCTATATGCGGGTCTTTTGGAGCGGACCCGTCGTTGTACGAGTATGTAGGGGCCGAGTGACTGCCAGAAAGCAGCCCGTTTGGGCGAAACGAGTCGTGAGCGACGGTACTAGAGAGCGAAGGAGCCGAGGTTTCAGGGCGAGCTGACGCAGGCCGCTGAGGCATAAAGGGAACGCGAGCACTCATTCTCGAGCAGAGCAAAAGCAGCAGTATGGAAAATGAACACAAGGGAGCAGAGACCCGGATGAAGACTGAAGATGCAGCGAGACCGTTGTTGGATGCTTGATTCGTCGTGAGCCTCAGACTATAATCGACGAGTGTTGCTACCAATATGTGGGAAGCTATTGCGGCGCACAGGCAGGTAAGAACAGTGAGGACGGCGGAGGAGGAGGAGGAGGGTATTCCATTTAGTCACGACATCTAGACGCCTCGGCGTTTTCGATGTGTGACAGCGCTCACTACGGTTGTACGAAGACAACCGCTGAAGCTTAAGCGCGCCATCCTGGACACAGACGTGCTTGTCACGTGCGCACGCGCTGAGCGGATGGTCAATGACCAGCAAGTCACCCTCCAGAGTCCATCTCGCCTTCCTCTCGTCTACGGTCGTATTCCACAGCGCGGCGTGCTTGAACGTACGTACCCTATTATTCCTCATTCCACGATAGCCTACGAATCCTGCGTATCCTGCCAACTTCGCACCGGGTGCGGTACAAGCTCAAGGTGAGATTCATGCAGCATATGGTACTTATATCTCGCGTCTCTAACTGACCAATGGTCTATGTGACTGACCTTCCATCCAGTGAAAATGGCTCCAGCTTCTTCCGAGTCTCCGAGCCCGATCCCTCTCACACGACGGTTACGCGCGCCCAAAGTGAGTTCTGTCTGCTTGGATAGGAGCGTGATCCCAACCGTCTGACTGTGGAATGGCTATAATAATGACGGAGAAATTCTATCAAGGTAGGAACTGCGAAGTCAGGGTACACACGGAGTGCACGACTCGGATACGATGCCCTCGAAGTCCGTAGAATTCCATTCACGTCTTCTACATGGTATCCTCGATCAAGTGGGTCTGTCCCCGTCCTCGCGAGTGCTGAAAACGACGTACTGATTCCAGCCGCCCTCACCTACAGCCAGAGTTGCCCGCGTCTCCCGCCTGAGCGTATTCTTGGATTTCGCAAGTATACGGGACAAACCGAAGAACAGAAGCTACTCTTCCAGGATTTCAAGACCCCGAACCTTGTCGACGATGTGGCACATACCAATATGCTTCTGCTCGGGATTACAGAGCGTCGAGATGCGGTGTATCGATTGGTCGACTAGTGGGCCGCACCCTCATTTCTTCAACCGCCTCTCACATTGCGCTGACATGCAATACCTCCGTCTCTGCGGATGTCGCTTCGCGGAACATCGGAGCTCTGCAGGATGATCAATGCGTTGCCTCGTCTCCGGGTGCTGTGGCTCTGGAAGATCACCTTTGACCAGCCGCTGGCGAAGCATCTTCCAACCCGCTCCTTCTCTCGCACTCTCGGACGCGTCGGCTTCGAGGAAACTTAAGTTAATCGATGTCGAGTCTATCGACGATGTCCAGGCTCGTGGCAAACGCAAGCCTGGACGTCGTCGCTAGACTCGACATCGATCTGTGCCACTGCTCGTTGATTTCGCAACTCAGGCTGTTCCTACTCCGGTTTCCTTGCCTGTCTTCCTTGTGGGTATGCAACGCATTCGACTCGGGCTTGGATTCATCAACAGCGGGCATGGTTCCGCATATGGCGCGTACACCTGCATGTGCGCTGTCGGCCTTCCACCTCAGGAACTTGCCCGTGACCTGCGCGTCGCAACTTCAACAACTGTTGTCTACCGCGCAGACATGTCTGTCACAAGCTGGAGGCGTTGACGATCAATCTCTCAGACGAGCCGTCCCCTGGGTTCCCGCAATGCGTCATGGTTGTCATGCGTCTATCCGGAGCTGTGCTCAAAACGTTGCTACTGAGTTGCAACATCGACATTGGTAAGACCGTCACTCATAGCCGTTCCCACACGCGATTGACCATGCAAATTGTAGACTCAGACGTCCGTCCGCAACTTGCAGCAAACACGTCGCTGGAAAACCGTGAACTCTGCATGACCTTTTGCCATGCCGCGTCCTCGCCACAGGAAATACAGAGGGCCCTCGGTGACCTGTTATCGGACATCAGAACCCACGTTTACTATCGCTTCGTATCATCCTCGATCTAGGTCACTCTGAGGCTACGCAAGACAGAGACGAAGCATCGCCTACGAGCACAGGCTCTGACGACTCCGCCTTTACTTTCCACGGCATTCTCTCCCGCGGCGTCTTTGACAGGCTTCCACCGTTCGGACGGTACAAATCCGGTGTATATGTCGTACTCAAGATGCTGGAGCTACGAACGGGTGCGGGGTCTGCGATTGAGCACCATATGACCGCTCTGTTCGCACCGTGGGTGGATCGCGGAGTCTTCGAGCTCAGGTGCGACCCCGACCCTGATGGTGAGTACGTTGGTCTTCTGTCGAATGTGAAGAGGGCATGCGCTGCGCACACGGAGATGCCAAAAGAGAGAAGGAATAGGCGGTGTTGATCGAAGCGGGCGACGGTCGCGGCCGTGCAGGACGAACGAAGTGTGTACCCTCGTGCTTCTGCGGAGCGTTTGGTGCATGATACAGCTATCCGGAATCGGGTATAGGTGGATGAAGGCATATGGTAGTGTCACTTCATACTGATTGTTGCTCAAGTGCGAACACTTACGGGATCAACAGTAGACTTGCGGTATGTGCTGCGTGTCAGCCTGAGCACAGATAGAAATACATCGCATAATCGGCTTACAGCGGAATGTAGACTGCATGGGAGAAACGTGCACCACTAGCTGGTTTAAAGACACTTCTATCTCGTATCTCGACCCATGTGGATTCAGTTGAAGAGGTTGTCTGGGAACAGAAGCATCGACACGAGGGGAGTCGTAGGCCATGAGGCAAATGCGTGTTCTACCTCAGAGACCGTTGTCGAGTATTCAGGCTTGATCCCTTCACACTTCGCTTCTCCTTCGCCATTTCTCTGGTCTCCAGCAAAGACTGCCTCATGCGTAGTTCCTAATCTGCGCTTGCATCCAACGTAGGGTCACACACACTAAAGGACGAACACGACGACTCATCGAGGTGAGTTCACAATGACATGATAGTAGAGAACACGATTTAATACGTTCTCCGTTCAGGTTTCCCTGTCTCCGGTATCTGTTTTACTGTACTGCGTCGCCGCTTTTCCAATTGTCGACATGTGCGTAGTATGTCTTCCTCATTGTCTCCTGGCTCCCACGAAATCGTTCACCTCCCGGCCAGATGGATAACACTGTAGCCATCAACAAAGCCAAGAGTCCGGTGCGGCCGATTGAGACTGGCGACGAGGAGAGCCCGATCGAATTTAGGCCACTAACATACTCAAGGTTTGTTATGCGCTTCCTCCGTCCGATTTCGGTGACGCCGCCACCAGCAAATTCTGAGTGTTCGTTGCATTGACAGCAACCTGCCCCCACACCTTCCATACGAGCTACACGAATACATCTGCAAGCTCATCCGATACGACCTCCCCACGCTCGCGAGCTGCTGCCTCGTTTGTCACGCGTGGTACTGCATGGCACGTAGATGCTTGCCTTCGAGGTCAAATGGCTTCAGGTTCAGTCGGAAGAACACATTCGACAATTATGCACGCCTCGTCACGCCTCAGAGAAACTGGCCATTTTTCAAACGTAACCTCTTTTCTCTTGAGTTCGTAGACAATCCCGAGGAGGCGTTCGTGCACACCTGGGTGTTGCACATTCCCAAGTATCTGCTATCAATCCTGGTGATCCTCAAACTCCGGAATCTGAACTGGACGACTACTAGACCTCACCCTTACTTCTTCCAACGTTTCTCCTACTGCACCTCGGTAGCTATTTTGACCCTCAATAGGTGCCGCTTTCGCCATGCATTCGAGCTTCGCAAACTCATCAACGCGCTGCCGAGTCTCCAATATCTCACACTCGAAGGTGTATCGCTTGAACAACCTCTCACACTATCCTTCCCAGCACCACCATATACGATGCTCGGTCGCAGACTCGGGCACATTTCTTTGGGGGGCATCGAATCTTGCAACGAGGCTTCATATGATCATTTCAAGCAACCACATCCGAGTCTACTGGGCCTGCTGCAGCTATGTGCAACGTATCAAACGGTCCATAATCTCACATTGGACTTGCAGCACTTCTCTTCATTCCCTCGTCTAGAGCACTTCATATCACCATTTCGAAACCTCTCCTGCTTGACCGTCAAAAATACTTCCCACTTCGACTCTAGGACGGAACCCAGTCTACAGGGTGGCATAGCCCCCGAGCCCAATGCGGCAGACGCGACACCATCATACCCCCACTCGCCGTTTAGTCTCCAGGTCGAGAGTACATCCACGGCTTCTGCATTGCGGCTCCTGCTGCAGCTCAGCCCGCATATGTGTTACAAGTTGAACGGTCTGGACGTCCGGCTTGTAGACGCGCCGTCCGCAGAGCTCCTACTTCGTGTCGCGCATATGCTGCGTTGGGCAGGAGCTGGGCTCCAGAACTTCCATTGGGAATGTAATCTCGAAGACGGTAGTACCACTCCCTGTCAATCAATACTATGAGTCCACATTTGCTCATCAAGTACTTGGTAGACTTCGCTGTTGTACCGCAACTCACAGCAAATACGGGGCTACACCGACTGTACATGACATTCCGCCGTGTTTCACCCTCGCTGCAGAGGATCAAAGCGATGATCAAAGCCCCGTTATCTGATCTTACAACCCTGCACCTGGAACATATCGACCTCAGCATCTATCTGACCCACCCCGAGCTGCTTCAAGGCAGAGAAGAAGCACCACTTACCGAGACAGACACTCCGGCTCCCACCTATGTGTCTCACGATATTTTCCACCGAAATGGCTTGAACCGGCAGCAAGGTAAACTCGAGCGAACTATACAAATCCACCTCTACACAGACGAGCTGCAAAATCATACCACATTGATCTCAGCCATGAAAGCCTACACGGCTGCTTCTTTCATGCCATGGTTGGATCACGGAGTCTTGGATCTCAACTCCAGCCCCGATCCTAATGATCAAGACGCTATTATGACTCATTCTCTCTGAATACTATTCCCGGCAGACTCATAGGTTCGTCGTCCATGACCCTCCAAGGGTGTAGATACACCCTTCCTAACATGCTCCTCAGCTCGCAAATATGCATCAAACAACAGTGACGAACATATTGCAAACCGTTGCATGATGGACGCATGACAATCGGAGCAGATGGGATAGAATTCAAGGAGTGATTGACGAAACGAAGAGGCAGAGGAGCAGTAGTAAACTGCAAGACGGACGGTGTTGACTCGCATCAATAGAACGGTGTGATTAACATATCTCCCGGTCGAAACCATGAACACATTAGAGGGATAGAAGAAATATAGGCACGTACGTTGTGGCCTTCCTTAGACCTGTTCGACATTCGGCAGCCGGCGGACAAGTACTATTGGATGATCCACGACGAGAAGGTCAGTCATTCAGCGTGCCCCGTGACACAACGCAAGAGCTACTTACCAGATACACTGACTGATCGTCGGAGGAGCCAGACACTCATCGACGACTAGAACATACAGAACATGACCCCAAGTCAAACACTCCGTTCGACAAACTTTGAGCCAGGGCACGTCCTCAACTTGTACGATGCACCTCACCGGCCCCACAGGAATCGTGTCTACATACGCCCTCGGAACGTATTCGCAAGCCCCATGGGTCGAAGACGAAGGAGTCCTGAGTGATAGATCTGCCACGCCAGAGCAGTTACAGCAACTGTCTGACAGTTCTGATCCGGGATTAACCTCTCACGGATCGTGAATGATGTGCAGAAGACATGCGTACCATCCATCAACGTCCCTCCATCCATAACTAGGCAGACGGCGGGACTACCGCCAGGAAATGCTCCACGCGCGGCGCCTGCCAAACACCCAGAGACGCGATTCGAGTGTTGCTGACCATGTCACGTTCGTGACACTTGTAGAGCACCGGTAGCCAGTCATGGTCGATGTGCCAGCAGACCGCATCGTACGCACAATCAGGAAAATGAACATTGAACGGCAATGCCATGAGGTAGGGTGGGTCGACGGACGCGGTAGATATTGGCGTAGACGTGCCGGCGGAGCACGCGGTGACCCAAAACGACGAAAGAAAGGTGTGATGATGGCTATATGCGCAACAGATGTCACTCGAGACGAGGGAGTTGCTGGAGCGCAAACACAGGTACGCACCATGAAGGCCAGATCGAGTGGTGTGGTCCTAGCACTTAAGCCATGCGCATACACGGCTACGCCGCACGCGTGGCGGGACACCTGCGAAGCAGTCCTAGGCGTGAGGTCAAGTAAAAGTAGCAAGAATATAGCTCACCGACCGAGTGACCATGCCCGTCATCTACGGGGACGACGCACGACCTCATTTGTGAAGCCTCAACAGCGGATGCGCTTGGGGCTGCTGAACGACATGCCGACTGCCAGTTGTCCTAAGGCAAGTGTTCCTAATGGGTGTGACTCAGTGTCGCCGAAACAAAGGGAGCCACGACAGAACACGGCAGTAAACTCACTGGGCTTGCCGGGAGATCTGTATGGCTGCTCACTGGCAGTCGCCAGCCTACAACTTACGAGGTTATGTGCGCAACGCGAGTCCTGATAGGTATTCTGCAGACAGTCAAGGTGAGAACGAGAATAGGAAGTATCGGTAGGAGGGGCGCGTATACAGAAGTCTAATTGAGACGGGGTGGGGGAGGAGGACAACACGGCGAGTCGGGCGACGACCGTCCGCAAGGCGCATCCATCACGCGCAGACCGCGACGCGAGTGACAGTCATCGTGTCAGTTCCGAGAATACGCAGTCATACGGCGTGCACAGAAGACGGCCTACGGGGGCCTTTGAGTGTGAGGTCGAGTGGGATGGAGGAGGATCGTGCTTACAACCGACCAAGTGACCGTGTCCGCCCGCGTTAATACACCTCCAGTGACCGGGGATGCAGGACGTCCTCACGCCCTCTAGTCTTTTGCACATAGATGCGGTTGTAAGCTTGGTATACATGGGACGCACGCTCGCAGCAGCCTGAGCAAGGATCTGATGAGCACTCTTCAAGCTCGAAACAAGTAGCAATAGAACCGACTCGAAACTCACCGGGTCGAACTCGTCACCCTCCCCTATCAGTAACATCCACAGATTCAAATTGGAACTATATTCAAGCGCGGACACGGGATCGCGGGTTGCGTGAGCGGCATTGAGGTGGAACGGAGAGAATAGCTTGGTCGGGCGTGTGTCGGGGCGAATGGGCTTGGGACAGCAATTAGATGCGATGATGGGAAGCGGTAAAGGTCTGCACACTGTATGTTAGACATGGGTCAGAATTGCCCACGGAGCTCTTGAGTCGCGCCGAGGAGGCCTTTGGACGTTGGTGAGACTGCAGAAACATGGGACGGCGACGCGTTGGCGTGAGAGGACGGCATCACGGATGAAAGAGGGCGGGCACTACGTCCACGCCGGCGCCTCTCTTAGGCTCTTGTCGTTCACCCTCTCTCCCGACGTCCGACTCTTTCGTACTGCACGTTCTCTGCGCAGCTCGCATTGCTGCACTCGTCGCCGATATCTCTGTGCCACTTGATGCGAACTTCAGCCAGCCCCTTCAAGAATCCTTTGTTCCTGTTCCAATAATTAGCATCGAGGATCGTCGACCTCACGTTGTCCTCAGTCGCGATGAATACTCACAACGATGACCACGGCATAACACTAGCCGTGCTACGTAGATACAACATGCTCAATATCGTCGACACGATGCATGATCGTCCCGCTGGAGGGCATTACGCGGTGCGTCTTCGGTGTCACGATGTCGTCCATCCCTCTTCGCCCTGCCGCACTATATGTATGCGTTGCGTACCAGTATTTCGTCGGTCCGAGTCGTAATTGTATCCGTTCTACCACCGTTACTATGCGAGGCTTGCCGGGCTCGTCGCACGGCTGAAGCTGTGTGGACGCATCAAACAGGCAGGTCAGTCTTCATGGCGGTGTTGGCAGGAGTCGACCATGCATCTGTGAGAGTCGGCGGAGTCTTTCTACGCGACAGAAAGTGATTTTGCAGCTTGTGTTGCTCAGTTCGGTCAATCATACTCGAGTACGTACTCGTTTCTGACTCGTATGCGTACCGTAGCTGATTTGATGCCTCAGCATACAGCATATCATACCCGTCTAAGCCTGCAGGGAGTGGCTCGCGCATATATGTGCGCGGTCCTGGTTATACCTGGCCGAGGATAGGCACCGCTTTGTACGCAACCAAGCCGACGCCGGCAATGACGGAGATGGGCCTGCGGCGACCAACACATCCGCTGCTTTGCTGACGGTGTTTGCAACAACATCGCCGCGTCTTCGCATACCTCTCGTTCTGCGCCCCGTTCCCTGGTCTCTCGGAGCTCGCTTCGACAATTGCTCTGATTGACTGCGTACCAGCTACCTTCGTAGGGCCCGGGAGAGTCACACAGGCACGAGTTAAAAGCCCTGGCCCGCACCAATACACTCTGCAAGGCGCACCGCAACTCCGCGATGCAACTCGTCATCACAGATTGCTCGAAGAGTTGGAGGAATGCTCCGAGTCCTGTCCAGGCACCGGCTATGCTCGCCCAAGGCGATGTCGTGCTGACCCTGAGGAACGTACCTCCTTCCTCAACATGAATCACTCCCGCGACCTCCGAGTCAAACCGAACAACGAGCAGAGAGACTCGGACGCCGAGGCTCAACGGCTGTGCAGACAGGTAAGTCATGGTACACGTCGGAAAGCACGAAGCACAGCGCTCACCCACGCGAGACACTACCATGTACTCTCTAAAGCTCCTGACGTGGCTTTGAGAGCAGCGATGCATTTCAACGCCTTGACCTCGACAGAGACTGCATCATACTCGGCTCTAACCCACAGACGCAGACACGCGGCCCGGTGCGTACAACTCGAGCGCAAGCACTCGTTACTCCAGACGTGTCTCAAACTTCCCATGTTGCGACGGGGCGTGCTAGGCCTACATAATTAGTAGGATGCGGCGGAGCCTTTGCCAGAGCCTACGAGCAACGAGAAGCGCCGCGGTGAACGAGAGGACCGTCTCGTAAGCCGAGTACGCAAAGTGATGTAACCGTGTATCTAATCCATTCCATTCCAGGTCCATTAATCGTACATAATCATAAACACCAAGTGGTCGACATACACTATACAGCACTCACCAACCACCCACCACACGCGGAGAACCACGGTTGGCCTCACACAGGGCTCGTCTGCCCTCCCAACGTGATCCCGGGCTCACACTCCGCCGATCTCTCGTCACCGCGGGCTCCGGCGCCGCTACGCCCTCCCCATCCCTATTACCGCTCACGCCCCTCGTTGGCGAGCTCACCACGCCCCTCCGACCGCTCCGACTCCGCACCCACCAGCTCCCGTCGCTCGCCGTCCTCCGGTGCTCCGCCCCCTCTGTGTCTCGCCAGTCTACCGAGCGCCGCGCGTCCAGGTCCCGCCGCAGGCCCTCGTCCACCGTCGTCGGCAGCGCAGGCGGGTCGTACTTCCCCTCGCGAATGCGCAATCTTCGCGCGCGGTGCACCTCCTCCATACGCGCGACCCACTCGCGACGCTCGCGCGCGAGCTCGTTGTGCACCCGCACGACGGTCACTGCGGTCATGAGCAGCGCCCAGAGCCACGGGATCCCGTAGCCGATCCCGTAGCCCGTGTCTACGCTCGCGGTCCAGCACGCTGCGAGCACGCCGGCGGCGACGATCAGGCCCGAGACTCCCCAGAGAACGGAGAGCTGGCGGACCATGTGTCGAATGACCTGTGATTCTTCGTAGCGAGTACGCCAAGCCTGACAGAATGTAAGTGGTTAGCGAGAGCAGACGGCGAGAACACTACCAATTCACCTGTCGGAACTGCGTGCAGCCGCCCCCGTCGACAGCGACAATGTCCTCGACATAGCAATATCCGAGGGGAGGGAGGGGCTGACGTGGCGGGAAGGAAGAGACACGCCACGGTACGCGAATCCGGTAAGGGAAGACACCGGTGATGAGGAGCGGTAGGGTCAGGACGAGCATGACGCATGGCAAAGCCATCGCGGTAATTCGCGGACTCCCCGGGTTTCTGCACGGGAGGATCAGAACAGCAACATCGAGGAAAGAAGTGAGAACGTACACCGAGGAACCGATGATGAGTGGGATGAAGAACGCTGCCATGGCGAAGCTCAGAATGTATCTGCACGTTGAGGTCAGGAGGGTGAGCACTACGAAGATGTGATTGCTACGCACTGGAAGAAGTCGATACCCCAGCGTCCAACACCGATCGGTCTCCGACTGACGTGGTCACGGATGAACCACAAGAACCACATTCGTTGCGCGAACTTGAAACCGGACACGGTGCCGATGAGGCTTGTGATGATGGCAAGGTTCTTCGTGGTGCTCAGATGCGCGCCCCAGGAGAGTGAATAGAACAGAATGAGGGGAAGGATGCCAGACTCGACGAAGAGAAGAGTAAACCAGATGATTATGGCACGCTCGCGGCTGCCAGTCTTGATGGTATACTTGAGTGGAGGTGGCTCGTCGTAGAAGAGAATGGGTTCGTATGTATCGTTCGAGTTTGGATGTGTTACTGCGACAGTAGGTCGCTCCTTCCTAACGGATGACTGCTTCTCGGAGACATTCTGCGAGTCTTGGTGGTCGGGTGCATGGCCGCGCCCGCGGTCGTCGACGGCAGTAGGTGTGGTGGACACCTGCGAGCTCGGTCGGTCGGCCATGGCGAGGGTTGCGGGGTATAGCGTCGAGCGGTCGTTACGGATCGTGAACAAGGACAGGAACGATCGAGAAAGGATTGGGGCTTGTAGGGCCCCTCCTCGCCTATAACCACACGGCCTGTGGAGTGCGTTGAGGCGCTTGACGTCAGCCTCGTCGTTGCTGTCAAGATGCTGCCACGCACCTGCGACGGTTGACTTCCTGGAAGTTGTTGACATGGTGCGCCGCGCCGCTGCTGGTGCGCGACGAGAATAACACGGTGCCGCAGTGTCGGCACCCGACGCGGACGCGTTTGCACGTCCTCGCGGTCACGTGGAAGGCGCGTTGGCTCCGACACCATACACGCTCATTGCGCAGGACTCGGCGAACCAATCTTCCACATGGGATAGGGTGGGAGTACGAGGTCAAGAGCGCAGGTCTCAAGCCAGGATCGCACTTTCAGCTTTAAGTACCGTGCGTCTGACACAAACCGAGCTACAGAAGAACCGTCCGAGTCGGAGTCTATGTATAGAACAGCAAGGAACGTACAGTGACAACAGTTGCCAAATTGGGATGGGTACGGACGAAGTCTGTGTCTAGCAGTCAGATCGGATGTGGTAGCGACGGTTCCAGAGAAGTTGTTGAAGGAGCGGGATGGCTGCTAGGTGTGTCCTGCACTGAGTCTTGCGATGTGTAAGGTGTGGGGAACTCGAACTACAGCGGGCGCCATATTCCGGAGACTGCCGACGATCGATTCATCGGGCTCCTCCTCCTCGTCGACCTCCTCGTCGACCCTGTTTCGACTGGGACCAGTCTTGACCAGATCGTTACCAACCGTATCGCCACGCACCTTTTCTCAACATGAGCGTCACAAGACCGTTCAAAGCAACGGATATGTTTAAATTCAACCACATATGAGAGTGCGCGCTTCATTACAGGTCGTACGTTGACCATATTCAGCAACCTCGATTTGTGGACGGAGACCGTGATTCGACTCGCTATCCGAACGAAAACCTCTTCTGAATGGGTTTGTTTCTAGTATGGCATCAACTTCTACTTACAGTACCTGTCGCGTTGGCCGGACTTGTGCTCTTCAGAAGAGTCTCCGAACGGGCGTATGATGGGCTACAGTACGTTCATTCTTCGTCCTTTCCGATAGAGGTACTGACATCCTACGCCCTACACTAGTTCTGGGAAAGGCTGAAGGCCAAGACACAGAATGGCACGGACACATCACTGCCCTCACTGTCGCGCCCGAATACCGCCGGCTCTCGCTCGCCCGCAAAATGATCGACTACCTCGAGCGCGTCTCGGGCAAGAACTATCGCGGGTTCTTCGTGGACCTCTACGTCCGGTGCACGAACGACGTCGCGATAGGCATGTACGAGGGGTTGGGGTACAGCGTATACCGGAGGGTGCGGGAGTACTATGGGAGTCTGGGGCTGGGCCGGAACTCGTGGGACGAGGAGGATGCCTTTGGTGCGTGCTCGGCTTCGCTTATGCGCGTATGGAGCTGGGCTCATTTGACGTTGGCAGATATGCGCAAGCCGTTGTCTCGAGACCCAATGCGGCGCTCCGTGAGGCCAAATGGACGAGAGATCTCTGTGAGTGCACATGATGCTTCATAGCCTCACCTACGATAGTAGCCTCTCGTTCAATGTCATCGCCATGCGGCGTGATTTGATACTTAACGCCAGCTTATATCTCGACCGAAGGCTTCGCCTCTTGGCGTTCCTTCACAATCTCCTTCACGTGTCGCAGTCTTTCATCAATGGTTGGAATGCTGCTGCCTCGGTGCATACTGCACAACTACTCGGAAGCCAGCTCGCGCGCGCGAGGCCTAGATGCGCAACATCAATACCGTCGCTTATGCTTGCCTCTCTGCTACTAGGGTTGGTCGTGACTATCGTCGGCGGTGTAGTGAGTCTTCACGTCCTACGCCGGTCTCGCTCGCCAGAAGCGAAACCGCATGTCTGGCCTTCCGCTCATGGCAGACCGAGATGCAACTTGAAGTTGAAGACGACGACCGACCCGTGGCGTCCGGCCTATGCTACTTTGGCTTCGTTCGGTCGCTTCTGTACGGGACCAACGTTCCCCAGATAGCTCTGCGTCTGAGAAGCCCAATATCGTGGAGTGCTCTGTACAAGACGGATGAGGCGGATCTTGAGGTATGACCGTGAGCAAAGTACGTCCGACTAGAAGCCGTCTACGTGGTCATCGAGCTACGTCCCTGTCTAATACAGATCTGGCCAAATGCAAACGGTGGCAGTACGCGGCATAGCTCGCGTGGTAGCGCCCAGATCACCGTGTACGCGTGCGAGGGCACCACGCCCTCATCGCATCGTGGCGATGCTCTATCTCACGTAGAGGGAAGGAGCTGTTGCTCTCGCCTTCTCGTCCCCGCATCCTCACTATCGACATCTGACGCTGTCGCTCGTCCCGCTTCAGCCTAGCTCCTCTCAAACACCTGACCCTACCGATCGGTCGAATGTATGTATGATGCTCCAGAAGCATCCATATACGAATTTGTGTTGATTGACTCTTGCCTGCGTCTAGGACCTCGAAACACGAGTGTCGTGACTCGGGTACGAGTTGCGGGGACATGAATGCTGTTTATGAGATGATGATGAAATCCTTTTGGCGTGAGATTCGCTACAAACCGCCCATCCATACGAGGTGCCGTATTCTCGTAGCTATCTTCATTTAGTCCGCTGATTGTGTCAGTAGCGACGCACTCCCAATCCTCACGCAAGAACTCATAGACCTTATCATCGATTTCCTGTGGGACGAACCTGTACAGCTCGCCAGGTGCTGCCTCGTATGCCGAGCTTGGTATTGCAGCGCGAGGCATCACCTTCGCCGGTATACCATCCGAAGTAGCAGGGATTTGGGTGATCTCGTAGAGATACTAATGTCCAAGCACAACAAATGCTATGGACGTGCACTTGATTCCCTGCGCATCGAAGACCATCCGGACAAGCCGTTTGCGCATACCTTTCCGGTGCGCATACCTGGACGTCTACTGTCCCAGTTGGAGAGCCTCAAATTCTCGCAGCTCGATTGGACAAGCGCACGGCCTCACCTATCCTTCTTTACTCACCTCTCCTATTTCTCGTCCGTCACTCGCTTGTCACTCAGGCGATGTCGATTACGCCGTGCCGACGAGATCTGGATGATCACCCGTGCTCTACCTGGTCTGGAAGTCCTCCGTCTTCGCTCAATTGCCGTCGAGTCTGTAGCCCTGGATAGCACATCGCCGCCTCGCTCCCCTATTGCTGTCAACCAGAAGCTCCGTGAGATACACCTCCGGGACTACGATGGTTGTGAATGTCCCCTGGGGATGTGTGACAGGCAGCACCTCGCTTCGAGTCTGCTCGATGTTCTCTCGTCGTACACAACTGTGGACACCATCTTCCTCCGGTATACTGGTTTCCTCTCCGCTTCGGAATTCCATTCTTTTGTCTATGCGCTCCCGGCCCTTCGCAACATGCGTATAGATGGTGACCTGTTGCCAGAAGACTTGGGGTCTCCGATGACCCCGGCTGAAACGGTCGCACTGGCGACAGGCGTGAATGCTGGTATTTCATGGGCCTCCGTCCACCTGTGGCAAGTATCCTCAGCTTTTGCCTCTATGTTCTTCGAGCTATTTGCACAGCAGTGTCGCAAGCTCGAAGAGCTGCACATCGATCTCCTGGAACCACCCTCATCCGCAATGGTTCAGACCATCAGCCAAATTCTACGAGATTCCGGGCCGGCATTGGGGGAGTTCGAATGGAGTCACCCTGGTTGGATTGATGCTTTCCTTCCCCATGTGAGTCGCTGTGCGCGTGCCAGTCGCGTCGCATACTGACTCGGACGTTCTCGTACAGCATGTTCCAGGCCGTCTTCCACCTTCGCTGTCATATAACGCCAGTCTGGCAGTTCTGACCATAGACTTTACTTCTCCCTCGTCGCTGAACATGCCTTGGGTCTACGGAACTCTCCTGAGCCTGTTCACGCAACTTGGGAGCACGCATTTGCAAAGCGCACACGTTTCCTTCCTAACCTTCCACGGTACAGACGGTTCCGCATGCGCGATCACGGCGGAGGCCATTGCAGCGTTTCATGCCGCTCTCTCCCGTAACGTATTTGCAAGGTTGTCCTATGCGGCTGTCACCTTCCGCGTCAGCATGGGCTCGAACCAAGAACACGCTTCAAACTGCGTTGCAGAAACGCTATGCACGTCGGCTACCGTCAAGTCCTTCCTCGTTCCCCTCTTTAGTCCTTGGCTGGCTCGTGGAGTCATTGCGCTGGAACTTCCTGATGGATCGCGTATCTAGGACCCAGGAGAACCCAGTGCATGAGATAGAAAGTGCCGGAGGACGAGTTGAGCGACCTCTCTCGCTGCACGCTTGGCTCTATAGCGTCGATCCTGCGAACTATAAATGAGGAAAAGCAGGGGATCCTAGAGCATCGACGACGTTCGAACGCAGTCATCAATTTCTCGTTTCCGAGCCTACGCCCATTCCGGTCGATTTCGCTCCCAGAGCTCTGTTCAGACGATAGGCACCGGAGTCCACGCTACAAACACCAATCCACTCGGTCGATCATGTTCATCTTTGTCTTTCTTTGTTGTCTACTAGTAGTTGCTGCTCGTACCAGTCTCGATCCCACGCGTGACCATGTCTCGTCCTTGCGCCTCGCGTTTGACGAAACGGCTGTATGCAGTGCGCGGTTTTCTCTCGACTTCGGGTCCTCTGTCGTCGCAGTCAGCAGACTTCTTGCCGATGTCTCCGGAATTATTCATTTCGATAGTACTAGTACCCATGCACCACATGTACACGTAGTACCATTTCACCTAAGAATACACGCAGCGCTCTCGCATGATGGTACTTAGCGGGACAATCGATACTTTCGAAGCGCAGTCATCTGCGCTGGGGCAGTGATCAACTCGAGTTACGTGGCCGCATACATCACTCAGAATCACTCTCAGCTTCCGCATCGTGTGTGCAGACAAGATGACGACTATAGCGATACAAGCGTAAGTATGGTCTCGTAGTCACTGACGGCGGGGCACCTTTTCGCTACCTCCAGACTAGGACACGTCGACATGGATGGGTACGAATCAGGAACAATACTGTTCCTCGAATAATCGCGGACTTGGATACGGACAACACGAACTTGATCGGTGAACGAACATCGCATCATGTCATTGACAATAGGGTGTACGTGCGTCAAGTTCCCCAACAGATGTTACACATAAAGAGTACTGAGGAAGGAGTGATCCAGTAATCGAGAGCATGCGTAGCACTCACGTCGCTGATCGGTCCGCCCTAACTCCTCTCCCCTCTGGACTGGACCCCTGCGCGTCGTCCACGAGCCTCGTCCGTTCCGAAACCAAGCCCGCGCTGACCTCCGCCGCTCGCTCGCCGATGGAAGACAACATCTCGCGCTACGCCAGAGTTAACACGTCCCTCCGATCACCACGTTGCCGGACTTGAGACTGCAAGTGACGGGTCTATATGCGGGCCGTCACGCGTCATGGCGCACCTCCGCCGTGTTCGTTAGTCGCTCGAGTGATTAGAATGGCTCTTGAACGAGAAGAGGCCGTGATTGACACGTACGTCCAGTCGAGAAAACGACAGTGCGATCGGTCGATGCTAGGCAGATGACACCAGCGCAACATTAGTTACAGACGTCGATGCGGGACAAGCATGAACGGCAGAAATACTCGGATGCACCATTTTGTTCGTTCTGTAGCGATGATTGCTGCCATTGCGGTATTGTTTGCAGAGTGAACCAGTGCGAATTTGTATTGGTACATCGATTTCGCAGATACTGAGATTTGCGAGGGCCACGGCACGCAGTCGGGGGAAACGTGGGATGGCTGGGCGGCTGTTGAACCGAGCCTGGATGGGGCAATGGAACGGATGCCATGCTGTTAGGCCTGTAAAGACGTGGCGACGCCACCGCAAACGACGAACAGCATACACCAGAGGTTAGTGAGTCAGGAGACGCCTGAGCTCGCTTCTCGCCAGACCGCCCCTTCGAAATCATCAGCATCTGCCTCTCTAGCAAAAGAATGACAAACGCGCACAGTATGATGTTGGATCGCGACATCGCATGATCGGTATCGCGCGCATATATGCGCGAGCTGAGCGATGGATACATTATGCGGTATGCCTATGCAATAAATCAACCACGGTGCGCGTGATGGCCGGAACAGACTGTACGTTCAAGTCAAATCAACTGTATATACAGTCTGTACCTCGAGTTGCGTACGCTGCAAAACCCGCTTTGCTCCTTCACAGAAACACCCCGCTGACCCTCCACGGTTGACTTGTACGAAAAGATTCACTTCGTGTTCGACGCGTTCGTGCAGCTTCAACCGCTCGATGGGCCCGGCGAGTCCGCGTGACGCTGTAGCTGCCAGTACGATTGAGTACGTACCGGCGGGAAGCGCGTGCGGCGTATAGGACAGCAGGGTGGGGAGAGATGGGCGACAACTAGTGACGTGCATAACGCGTAGTGCCCTCCAGCTTGGCGACCACGCGCCAGGTCGACGACGTTAAGCGTGTGTTACTTATCTCGCAGACGCAGCCATTTAGTGACGTCGTGGTCAGTGTTCTGGATACCGGTCACTACCGAGGGCAGCGTATGTTGATCCTAGATGTTGATCTCGAAGGGCAGGATCGAAGGTCGGACCAGAGGAGGGATTGGATGCATTGCCGGCGATTCCAGCGCGGCGGACTACATAGAGGTGCACGATGCCAAACGGCGACTGAGTACTGAAAAGCGTAGTGGCGGCGGTGATCAAGAGAACGGAAGCGCCGGAGAACGACCTGGACGCGAGTGACCAAGACGCGACGCGGGCGCATCAATCCAGACCAACACCCTACCACTGGCACGCCCGTCGCTCATAACATTCGTTCGGAGTCAACTACGCTCTGTCTGAGCTCTACGCCGACAAGCTGTTATGATCGCACAGCTGGGATCGAGGAGGATGGGCGGACGGAGTCTGCCTGCTTTAATGTTGGGTATGCATGCGCCTCTCCCTGCTACCACGCAGTCCCTGATCGTGCCATCTGCGTTCATCAGTGGACAGCTCGTGCATGCCGGACGAGTTGTGAATCCGAGATACCCAGCTTGCGTGTAAGTAGGCGCAGAAGATATCAGGACGCCCGAGACCCGGAGACCGTACAACGCCAACGCGTCTGCCGACCGGGGCCGTCGGTGTTGGGCTGGCCTATCAACGACTATCAAGCAACTTTCGTCGATACCCTCGGATACGCGGAGAAGGCTCGCGAGGTGGTCTTGAAGGCGAGCAGCACGATGGCTACATACTAGGTGCGTATACTAGGTATATTTTGTAGCGACGTTCCCCGTGACAGTTGCAATCGTCCCTCCTTCCACCTCGGCGAGTGCGTTGCAGCGCATGCATGCGGTGCCTCGTATCTACGGGGAGACAAGGCATCGTATTCTCCGTCCACTCTCGCCGAAAACCGACCTACGAGGTTACGATACCGCGACGGAGTGGGTGGCGGGATATCTCGCCCAGTGAGTATTTCAGCCCGTTTGAAGTTTATAATCATACGTCACCTAATCCCTATTACAGTGGACTGCGTGTAGTGACTCTTCAAACGCGCGCCGACGGCGCGAGACCCTGTTTTGTGTCAAGTCGGTTGACGTGTATACGACTGCATGCGAGGTGCGTAACACGAGTATTTTTTTGTCCTGGTGTGCTTCGAGGCTACTCGCGAGTTAGCTTCCTCTCTTATGACGAACGTGCGCATACTTGGCTCGCACGTTTCGCCGCCGCGAGGTTCGTGCAACTCGGGCTGGGACCCTACGAAAATGAAGACGTCCACGGGAGTCCAGACCTTGAGCCTGGCTTCTGCGTATCCCGGGTACTCGCACTGAGTCGCAGCTCTGTGCATCGTGGTGCGTAATCTGCGGTTCTCTGTATGTGTGGTCAAATTGCGCTTCTGTGTCTACGAAGCTGATCTCGGAATCAGTCCTTCGAGCGCGCGGCACTCCGACTTCCTGGCAGTTGCGGGCGGTGATTCGGGCGGTCTACAAGCAACTGACTTGCGTAAACACCCTCTCCTCTGCGCTCTTCAATGGTGTGCACGGCGCATACACCGTGGCTCTCTCTAAGCTCGTATTCATCCGGGACACATGGAGTGTGTGGACGGGAAGCTGAGTATTCTAGGTGCTATTTGCGTCTCGGCGTCTCGCTCTAATTCACGAGGCCTCAATGATCATCCTTGGGAGCCCGTTGTGTCGTGCGTTCCAGCCTGCAGCCGCACGGTACCACACGCGCGCCAGTATCGAATTCTCGTATTGTACTCACCGTCTTCAAGTGCACTGATTTCCTCAGCCGCTTTGTAGTACGTACCCGCCAAAAAGTCTGGTCAGCGACCCGCCGCTTCATGGTACTACATCGGCGTATAACCCTTGAGCGTCCTGGCTCTTTGGTCGGTGAACATCTGACCTACAAGAGGGTATAACATCTCTTGCCACTCGTGGTCAGCATCGTGTTCCTGCACGTACGCTCGGCTTCGACTGCCTGCCTAATCCATTGAGCGACTTCGATCTCTCAACTGTTCATGACGCACAATTGACCCGTGTTGTCAGTAGTCGTGCATACCGGGACTGTTGCGAGTCGATTGGTCGCCACGCTAGGACGGTTCCCTTCGGTGACGGATGGCAATACGTAGAATGTGTCTCGCGGCGCGTGCCCTACGGCCAGTCATCGTCTCGACTTACGACTGGAAGGTACAGGAGCCCTGCAGGAGATCAGTGTACACTACTTGACGCGACACCATGACAAAGACACGACGTGAGTGCTCAGCGCTCAGCTTGTGCTTGTCTTTCCGAGACCCGTGTTTCTAGCGTAGCGTTTTGGAATAGATGATGAGTCGAAGGCATACAAACATTGCGCGGGACGTTCTGCACTCGCTCGTCTATCGTCTGCTGCTCCCGCTGCCTCCGCACACTCCACATCTACACTCCCCGATTTACGTCCTCGGGTTATTCGACGGTCCTGAGTACCTGATCTGGCGACGCCAGCTGGATTGAGCTGATCAGCGTACTGAGCAGGTCGTAGCCAATCTTCTGGACGACGCAGCATGAAACTCACCCGAAGATTCTAGCGATGTCAGGATCGGGACTGAACGTGAGTTCCAGAACTCCACGGTACAACCACGGTGCGAAGAGAATAACCAAGTGGGATTTGACCTGAGACATCACGGCGACGTGCCTAACCTCCGGGCTTGATCCCCACAGGTCAAATCGGACATCAACGCTGTTCTTTGGAAGCTGTGCATAGATTCCGCGTGAAAGGATGGCGTGGAATGTGGGGATATACTTCGTCGTGTCTGCTGGGGAGGCAGAGCGGACCTCATTCGCGTCCTGGATGATATCAGATTGATTGAGCCAGATGTAAAGCGAAATTCTTCGCAGATGCGGGCTGGTGATGTCGGACAGCAAGGCTTCGAGAGTCCTTTGTATGATCTGCGGCGACGAGGGAAGGGTCAGGATCATGTCCAGTTCCTTCAGCGCTGTGTTTGCTGATAACCGCGGTACAGCTTCGAAGGCTACGCTTACGTCGGTGAGCAAGCATGATACAGACACAGTAAGCGCTGTGGAACATTACCTCCACCAGACCCATGCCTCCAATCGAACGCCTCGAGTACAGCTCCTGAGATCTGCAGTATATTGGTCACCTTCGCTATAAGTTCTGCACATGGTGGGTCCGCGAGCTTGATAACCAATGTCCGCAGTCTCGGATGGCATGTTCGCGGACTGACCAGTGTCAGCAACTGTAACGCGCATCTCGAGGACACGAAGCCGATCTTGATTTCCGATAAAGAGTATCGAAGTGGATGGACTGGGTCTGTGTGCCCTCCGGCGGCCATATCAACTGGTGCGCTTTTCAGATCTGGGTACGTGTCATCTGCACAGTCTAGGTGTATTGACAAGCTAGATAAATTGCGAAAACGTCGTAGATAGTCCTCGATCTCCGGGAGAGAGGTGAAATGCCATAGGTCAAAGCTGAGGTCATTGATAGCTGGGTATGCGGAGCAGAGATCCAGAAAGCCCTGCAAGCGAACACGTCCAGATGCGATGGAATTTGTTGCGTCATAGCATGGGTTCCAGATACGCATCCCACGGAGCTTGTGATGGGCCATCTTGACGGTGGACATAGCCAGATCCGTCCTCGGTGGGGAAGGGTGCTGGAATGTTATTGCATCAAGGGTCACATCAGAGAGGTTGGGCAGTGCATTAATCATCCTGCGAAGGTCGAGTGTGCTGCGAAAGCGGCATCGGTAAAGTGCCAGGAATTGCAGGGAATCTTTGCAATGTGAGAGGCGGAGGAAGTGCTGAGGGTGGGGGTTGATAGTCGCCCAATCCACATCGCAGAACGTGAGGCGCATTATTTGCGGTAGCAAACATACGGGGATGTGCATCACCCAGGAGTGCGCGAACTGTCTATGAAGTTCAAGTGATGTGAGCTGAGCCTTGAAATACGGCCAGTTCCTTGGCCGGGCGAGGAGCCTCACGAATTGCATAAATCTGGTCTTATCTGTGAATTTGCGGTCGGTCATCGTAGGGAAGAGCGGGCGCGTGGCGCAATACCACGCGTGGCAAACGAGGCAGCACCCCGCAAACGCCCCGGGATCATCCCAAAGGAAGTCCATGATGCGCTCGATGAGTTCGTAGGGAAAGCGTGGATAAGCTTGCCTGCGCACACAACAGATTAGCATAATTGGCATGTGTCGACTTTGATGACACTTAGGACGGGATAGAATTGGGTACGCGCCTCGAGTACGTGGGCGGCTGGTAGTGAATCCAGCCAGGCTCGGACATGACATCTTTGCTGCTCTCCGACTCGGAGTCGGTAGTCTCCGTATCTTCATCGTTGTCCAAGTCCATCTAACGAACGGTCATGCGAGTTGATCATATGTGCTCGCAACTTATTGGGAAGGACTTACCTAGCTCAAGCCTGAGCTCCAATGCAACTCCAATGTCGTCAAAACGGATTACTTGCGGCAGACGTCAAGACACTGTACTGGCACCGAGCAATGATCAGATGATATCCTTCATAGCATGCGGTTGAGATCTCACCCAAGCAAGTCACCTCCTTGAGAACCGCGATCGATGGATGTGAGCGCGACAGAGACACGTCACACGACAGAGAAGCGACTTCGATGATGCGGCAGTTTGTTATGAATGTGGCAAATTGGGGGCGAAGGGATTTCCTGGTTGAGCAGCGTAGAGAGAGGATGGGTGATACAAAAGTGGCTCTCGAACTCATCGATAGTAGCCCCCCTTTATGATATATGACCGAATGCAACGTATCGTGCCGGCCACACGACCTCGAGCAGGCCTCGTGCGAGGTCTAAAAGCATATTAGGTTCTGTTCTGCTCGGCTCGGACCGCATCAGTATTGAGTCCACACAGACTGCGTGCTCGGGACGGTGATAGTGATGTAACCTAAGTAGCACGCACATAGCGCATGTACGGTGCATGCCGTACGACCTAGGTGCGTCAGTAGATAGATCGTCCTATCTTCCAACTGTCACTATATGCTCAGGCTTCCTGCCCTCTTCCGGCTGCAAAGCCGGGTATAGTAGAGGCACTCACCAGCGCACTCCACGAACGAATCCATTTCCATGGAGCTCCTGTCTCATGATTGCAGAATGATCGGACCACGGGAATTTGGTGGATCTGGGTCCTGTATGCCACCGGCGCCACGGCCAGAAGATCAGCAGAATGCTGTAACTCGCATCCCGTCTCTGGTATGACAGACAGGACTAGTACGCTTCATCGACATCCACTGTATACGGGACCTGGGCCCTACTTTGCTACGGTCACCTCTGGAGGTCTCGTTCCAGTAGCGCCGGCTTACCTGGCTGAGCGCAATAAGTGATCATACGGCGACTCGCATGATATGGCTTCTGTGGGCGTGTCAGTAAGTACGCCAGCCATATGGGTGCACACCTACTTATTCTGTAGCTCACTGGCGCGGCCTGCACTGCACGTCCATTTTTGGTGCTTCTAAGGGAAACACGCGAACCGGTGCCAATGGCGATCATGCTAATCAGGGTGAAATATTGGAAGGTGGCCATATATATTCCACAGAAGACACGTTTCACAGCGCTGGCGCAACTGTGTCTCTGCATGAGTACTTACCTCGAGTCAGTATGTAGCACCGTGACCCCACGTTCACTTCCTCTGTGACTAAGACCTTGGTATGAATCTCTTCTGTTGATATGTACCTGCGCGCACGAGATTGTTTGAAACGGCCTCAGTTTTCCTGTCTCTTCGCGTTGCTTTCGATGGGCTGTGCCAGTGCGACCGTATACGTAGACAAGAAGCAAGATGCACGATTGTCAGACACGATTTGAAATAACTGTCACGTCGCAGGCCGCACGTGATGAATGCGCGTCACGGACTGTCGCGGCGGTGACCTCCTGAGTCCTCCTGAGTCCTCCATCCACCCCGTCTCAATACGATCTCTGTATAGCTCCTGCCGATGCTTCCTATTTTCATTCTGAACTTGACTGTCTCCCTTGCTGGAGAATACCTATCGGTGATCACCTTGCGCGCACATAACCTCATAGGCCGACGACTGAGTAGCCATACAGATCACCCGGCAAGTCCAGCGGGGTTTACTGCCGTGTTTTGTCGTAGCTCCCCTTGTTTCTGGCGACACTCAGTCACGCCCATTGTAGATGTCTTGCTGTAGGACAATCAGCTCTCGGCATGTCGTTCAGCCTCCCCAAGCGCATCCGCTGTTACGGCTTCACAAATGATGACGTGTGTCGTCGGTGGCTCTATTTGCGCTACTTCTACTTACTCAACCCCACGCTCAGGACTGCCTAGCATTAGTCTCCCCTAGGAAGAAGACCTCTCTAACGGAGTGGAGGACGGTCTTCTATGGGCCTAGCATGTGACTCGCTACGCGTGCGGCATGGCTCCGTATGCACGCGGCTTTACTGCCCGGGACTACACTGTTTGATCTGGCCTTCATGGTGCGTGCCCGCATTTGTGCTCCAGCAACTTCCTTCTCGAGCGACTTCTGACGCGCGTATACCCACCTATTACTGTAAGTATCATGCCGTAACATCTATCCTTCGTCAGTTTGCTCCACCTCGTGCTCTACCGATACCTCTAGGCCAACACCTGCCGCTGCCGTCGACCCACCATACTTTATGGCATTGCCGTTCAATGTTCATTTTTCTTGATTGTGCGTGCACTGCGGTCCGCCACATCGACCGTGTCTGGTTACCCGGAGCTCTACAGGCGACACGAATGTGCCGTGGTTAGCAACAGTCGAACCACGTCTCCAGGTGTGTGGCTGGCGTCACGCGTGGAGAATTTCCTGGCGGTAGTCCCGCTGTCTGCCTACTAGCTATGGATGGAGGGACGTTGACTGATGGTACGCATGTCTTCTGCACGTCGTGCACGGTCTGCGCGCGTACGAGGCTAATCCCGTATGGGAACTGTCGGGACAGTCGCTGGAGTTGTTCATCACGGCCGGCTCCGGCGTCGATGTACATGCGTTCCCGATCCCCAGCCCTCCTCCCTCTCGTCTCCCTCATCGGCGAGCTACCACATCTCGCCCCGCACGGCTGCTGTGGCTCCGTATCCACCAGCTCCCGTCGCTCGCCGTCCTCCGATGCTCCGCCCCCTCCGCCGCCCACTAGTCCATCATCCGTCTCGCGTCCAAGTCCCTCCGCACGTTCTCGTCGTCGTTGGCAGCGCGGGTGGGTCGTAAGTCCCCGTATAGTTGAGCGGAGGTGGCTCGTCGTAGAAGAGGATGGTACTGTATGGCTTGTGTGAGTTTGGATGCGTTACTGTGACGGTGGGCCGCTTCTTCCTAGCTGTTGCCTGTTCCCGGAGCGGTTTTGCGAGTCTGGGTGGTCCGGTGCATGGCCGCGCCGGCGGTCGTCGACTGCAATATGTACGGTAGACGTCTGCGAGCTCGGTCGGTCGGCCATGGCGATGCTGCAGGTATAGCGTCCGGTGGTCGTTGCAGGTCGTGAAGAGGGACATGAACGAGCGGGAAAGGGAAAGAATTCCTCGCCTATAACTTGACGTCAGCCTCGTCTCTGGCAAGATGCTGCCACGGGTGCGTCGCGCCGCTGCTGGTGGCCATCGAGGAGCACGACAAGCAGGCCACTCCGACCCGTTACTAAACACCGTTAGACAAGGAGAGAGTGCGCTTGTCTGATGAGTCAAACACGATGACCTGCACGTGCTGGTTGCGGTTGCCTCCTCGTAAGTAGTCGGCACTACCTCGTACGACTCCGCGCTAGAATTGATGCTAACGATGGTCTGCAATTTGTCCTTGCGTACATAGGGCATCGTATTTTCCACAACTGGGTCGATGAATCGTCGGCCCGGCGAGCGTTTCGCCAGATGAAATGCATCGAAGCACCACCCTCATTTGGCGAGATGAGGCTGTTTGAAGACAGCGTTGGAACACGTGTACGCGGGGGCACTGCGCGGGGACACCATTGTCCTTGGGTCGTGCAAGTCCTCATCTTCCGTCTTGTGCGCCCGTCCATAACGACTACCGCAACACTGCCTGCCTTCGCCCTCTCGCGCTGGTTGTCAGGACCACCGCTGGGACTATTGTCTTACTGGTGAGGACCGTGAGGTAAGTGAGCGTGGGTGTTGCCGAATTATTTGATACTAATGCATGTCTGGATCCAGAGAGCCTTCTGTCCAGGCCACTAGCGGAACTTCCATTTTCCCTACATAACTGAGCCACATCACTTACAAGTAGTATGTCTGATCCCGCATCACACTTCCCGTTGTGCCCTAACGTGATGCCAGGTCAACGTTGAACGCGAGAAATGTCCGATGAAGCTACTAGTAATTGGATTTGGATTGACTTCAGACGGGCTGTCTACACGAGGTACGGTCCCGTAATCCGTTCACACCCATCAATACCCTGGTCGTTGATCATGCCCTCCCAGTGATGCGTCTCCAACTCTGCTGCACGAGATCATTCAGCTGATCGCCGACTTTCTATGGGACGAGCCCGTGCAGCTCTCTAGATGCTCCTTTGTCTGCCATGCCTGGTATTACGCTGCAAAGCGTCATCTCTCTCGGGGTGTGACAATTCGAAGCACGACAGCCCTGGGCGACTTTGTGCGTATTCTCGTGTCCAAGGCCAATGGACGGTATGGGCGAATGGTCCGATCACTCAACATTTGTGACAACGCCGAAGAGCCGTATGCACACACATTTTCTATGCGTGTCCGCGGATGCATTCTCTCGGCGATAAAGATCCTCGTTATCTCACAGCTAGATTGGAATACAAGGAGACTTCATACGACCTTTTTCACCTACCTCAAGTCTTTTGTGACAGTCACTTTGTTAACTCTCGAACAATGTCACTTCCGCCATGCCGAGGTATTCCGGACTATCATTGCCGCTCTGCCTAGTCTTATACACCTCCGACTCGCCTCGATCACGGTCCATTCTGTGCCTCCAACCTTCAATAATGCGGAGCAGAGCCCTGCGCAACAGAAGCTCCGTACACTATCACTGTCCGGATCTGTTGGCAGTGACTACGCCTCAGGGACTGCTCACATCGAATCGCTTCACCAAAGCGTGCTCAATGTCATGGCCTTATACACGAAAGTTAACAAGCTGTCGTTGGACACAACCCAATTCTTCTCGTGCTCACAACTCTTGCAGTTCCTTCGTACCTTCCCCAAACTCAAAAACATATGCTGTAGGAACGAGCCAGAATGGGAGCTTTTGTCTGACGAAGCTGTATTGGCTCCAGTGGTCAAAGACATGAAGGCATTCACCAATGTCTATCTTGATCGGGTGCCTTCAGCCTTTGCTGCAAAATTCTTCAAGCTGTTTGCGAACCAATGCCACGAGCTCCGAGAGCTTGATATTGCTCTCATAGACGCGCCTGGACCCAAATTACAAGCTGCCATCGACAAGGCTGGGGCAGCTCTTCGCACGTTCACATGCCGGTACGAACATCAGGAACCAACCATCCCACCACAAGTGAGTCTCGTGTATACCCACATGCTATAGGCGACATCCTAATGTTTCACAGTGTACCACCCCCTCGCTCATGTACAATACCGGACTAGAATCCCTGAATGTGACCTTCACTGTAGCCTCGTCACTGCGCATATCATGGATTCACGGGACACTCTCCTCTCTCTTCATGCAGCTTAGGAGCCCGTGTCTGGAGCGCATGATCATAGGTTTCTATTTTGAAGAGCCTGGCATCGACGCTGGTATGGACCTCGACACAGATCTGGAGACTGCTTCGTCGGACATGGCCATCTTCCGCGCTACAATCTCTCACGACATTTTTTCCGGCCTACCCCCTGGGAGTGTAACCCTGAGGTTCAATATCCAGACCAATATCGACGACTTGAGTGCGAGACCCTTTTATGCCGATCCAACACTCCCTGATCAGTCCATGTCCATGGCCATCCGATCATTTGTGGTGCCCCTCTTCATCCCATGGCTATCCCATGGGGTTATGAAGATTCAACTTCCGGATGGATCACTCGTCGTTGATCCACCAGGCCCGGACAGCGAAACTTCGGAGGTCCAGTCAGCCCCCTCCTCCGATCGCGCTGTCGTTCACCCTGTGTTAGTTTGCATCTAGTCAGTGTCATTGCGTACAGGTGAGGCTCACCATCACGCGGACGGTCAAATTCTTATCGCGTATCATGTATAGACATCAGCCGTGCTTTTGCCACAGCGGGAACTTGTTCGGCACGCAAAGCTCAGACAGGGTGATAGCCGTGTTATTGCCAGTGCCACCAGATCCTGGCATGCTCATGTATGAATACCTGTTGTTAGCACAAACAGATCATACATAAATCCCTGTACTTACAATGCCCCTTCATGTATGAAGGCGCAGTAATCACTGCAGCCGGTGCCCCGCTCGCTTCACGAAAGGGCAGCTGCCCTTTATGGACAGCCCAGGTCCACCGGCACCGGGGAGAGCTCGCCGCGGCGCCACCTACCCAAATTAGGTGCTGTTGCGCGCTCTTCCACTTTGGGTCCCGTCATCGGGCGAATGCGATCGCGATGTGCGATCAGTGAAATCTGACGTTGTCCGGGCCTAGGTACACCTTCCCGATTCGGAATGTTTGAGTCCCCGACATTTCGTTGCACTCTGACAAATGCTACATTCATTAAGACTGTCATATATTTGTGCAATGTAAGTACAGTACTACGCTGAGTGCTCCAGAATGAGCACCAACAAGGCCCCAAGCGAGCAGCCCCGCATGCTCAGCCTCGACGTCCTCCGTGCGCTTCGTCACCTCGACATCCCAATACCCTAAGCTTATAAGCTTGACAGACGGGGGTCCCCTGTCAAGCTAGTAAGCTTGCATAGGCGTAATCCCCACCACCGCCGGTAGCACCGCGGGTTCGCGACCGGTACTACTGGATATGGTGTTAGATGCTGCCGGGGCTATCGGGCCTGTTATCTACTGCGATAAGATCACCGTCCCGCCCTCGGGCGCCGTCGCTCCTGGGCCGAGTCCCGCTCCCCTCGGCGTTGTCTCGGCGGCGCTTCCCCGCCTCCCACGCGCCATCGCGCGCGCTGTCGTCCTCGTCGTCGGCCACAACGACGACGACTAACACCTTCCCTGGGTCCGTTTTCACCGGAGTTTTTTCACAGCCACCTATGACCCCTATATAAGATGCATATACACTGTTCTGAATGTGTATAATGTTATACTTAGGGGAGTTTTGTGCATTTTCTTCCTAGATCCCCCATCAAGATATTCATGACCTATATACAATACATGTGAACTCTGTATACGAGGCTAAAGGCTCTACTGAGATCACGATTGAAAGTCTCGTGACTCCGTCGCTTTGCGCGCCTCCAGAGCATGTTGAACTCGCAGTTCCCACGCACCGCTGTGCCCTTCATCCCAACATCGTACCGCACATCCTCGGACCCCACTACATCTATCTGACGCTTGCCAATCCCCTCGATGTCGTGGGCGAAACGAACCAAGACTCGGGCCATCTACTCGGCGCCATACAGTGTTACTGGCACCCAGTCCTCGCGGACCGCACGACGGCTTACAGTAGCAGACCTGCGGGAGGAGAGGCGGCTTGTTGCAGAGAGGAATAGAGACCGGGCTTCGTGTACGTCGTGCTCTCTCTCGGGATTCCTTTATGACCTGCTAACAATCACAGACATGACGGCAGAGGATCGCGACATCATCAACGAGATACAGGGAGAGGGAGAGCACCCCGGATCGGCCCCTCTGCAACACGACGATCAGGGAGGAGATGTACAGGACGCAATGGACGTGATGAATGATCTTGGGCAGAATGGGCAGAGCAGGGATGACGAGTGGGAGGACATGGTGCAGAACGACGAGGGCTTCATACTCGCGCTGCGGGACATAGTGAGTTCGAAGTATGTCTATGCCCCACGACCATAGAATGTGTTGTCTAAAGGTATTGTAGGTGGAAGCCGAAGAAGAAGGACACACGGACCTGGCGCAATCGCGTGGAGCGCATGCACGCAAATTGGAATAGTATCCTACCCGACCTCGTCGAGGCCTACATTAACTGGCAAGACTCGCCTCCCACCCCAGACTGCGATGAGCAGCTACCGCACTTCACAATTGACGTCTTCAATATCTTCACGCTGCAAACAACTGTGACCATCATCCTTGACGAAGAGGCCTCGAGCCCCCGGGCCCTACTCCGCAACGGCTACCTCGGCACATCACCTATTCAACCCACGCTAGCCATCTCCCTCTCGACGCTCGAACTCTTTCGTCGGATTCAACTCTTCAAGGCTTCTTTCAGTGTCGAGGCGTTCGCCAAACTCATGTGCCACTATTATAAGGTGCGTTTATGCGCGTCTGACTAGTCTAATTACTAACAGGTTGTAGATCGCATATCGCCGCCACTATCGCGCAATCGTCGCCGACGCCTATGAGGTCTACATCACAATCCTACGTGCTGTGCAGAAGCGCGTGGACAGGGTGCTCGGGCGCGATGTGCCTGACTGGCGAGTGATGAATGCATGTCCCCCCTGCGGATATGAGGTAAGTAGTACATGTGACGAGAGCTGTATTGTTGACTGAAAAATCCTCGTAGCTCGAAGATGAGCCCCCGATGACATGGTCACGAATGGTGTGCATGGACGGGAACATGTCGCTGAAACGTATTGCCTCCATCGGAGCCCGGGCTCGCGGCGATCTTCGCGTCCTTGGGGATAGTGATTACTTCCTCCCCTCAAGTTTCGTCGACCAGTTTGCCAACGAAGTCCGGTCGCACAAGCAAGTCAGCTTTACTGGCGACGAGGACCCTGACGAGGATGACAACGTCGACGCTCCACCCGACGATACTGGTGGCGACCCTACCGATGGCGCTGACCCCAGCCAGTGTACGAAGAACTGGAAGGCATCAGCATCCGAGGATAAGAAGGGCATGTGGGGCATATTCGATGAGACTGGTATCTTCGCGAGCGCGTGCCAGCATGGTATGATTCTTTGGCTGATCAACATGGTGCGGAGCGGCGAGCTGTGAGTGTCCTACCCTACAATCCATGTTGTCTACTGATTGCATTGCAGTGCAAAGTATCCATTAGCGATCGCCGCCAAGATTATCGATGTGCTTCCGCAAAAATGCCTCAATGGCTACGACATTGGCTGCGACTTCGCGAAGACACTTCAGAATAGCTCACTCGGAGAACGATGGCGTGTGCATGGGTCTCGATGCTGCGTCAACGCATTCCACGGGTGCAGCCATAACTACTGGTGCCAGCTCAATCACCATCCGAACGTCATCGTCGGCATGGGCATTGAAGACCTCGAGACCCTCGAACACGTCTTCAGCGCCTCCAACCAGCTTGCTTCCATTACGCGATACAGTTCCCCGTACCACCGCCGTCTCGCGATCGAGCAATACTTCCAGCAGTGGGATGCAGAAAAGTACGCGAACCTGAGTGTCATGATCTATAACAACTACGTCCAGGCCCTGAACATCATCGAGACGGACACTCTCGCACTAAACGAGGCTATGTCCTCCATGCACGTCACAGTCGATATGCTACGGCAATGGCAGGTCGAAGAGCACGAGTACTTCCGGACGCTTGGGCGCGAAGCTCCGTGGGACGTGCACGCCATGGCGTACGTTGAGAATCTGCAGGAGCTCCGTAGTTTACGGGCACAGCTCCAGAAGGCATCTACGCAGCTCGTCAACTCGATCCCGGCAGGCTACACCTTCGCACTGCCGCAATCTGGTTCGGTCAACTACAATGCGGAGACGTCGCGGATGCGGAAGGCGGAGACGGAGCGGCGCTATCTCGTTGAATGGGAGCGTGCCCTTGCAATTGAATGTACGGAGATGGAACTGCACATGGGTATCCCCGTTACTTGGGAGTCCACGGACGCCCTGTACCAGGAAACCTTGAGGTACATGGCAAATCGTACGTATGAGCGTGCCCTGGATAAACTGCAGCAGCTCGTCGTGAAGCGGCTCTTCGAGTTGCACAAGATGAATCTGTCGCAAACAGGTATGTTTCCACCCTAACAAGTGACCATGAGCTTACACTCGTTGAAGCATACCGGGTGCGAACACACATATCGAAATCACTACAGAAAAGATGCAAGGCGATTCGTACCGCGGTCAACTCGTACAACAAGGCAGCAGCCGAGCTCAATCCTCCGCGTGCTCCCCTTGACTGGCTGAAGGTATCGCATTACAACTTCCTCGATGAGTTCGAACTGCTCAAGGATACCCGAAATGACGTGCGCAAGAGGCCCTGGGTGCGACCGGATGCACGCGAGATGATGCGGCAACTCCGCCGCCTAGACCGTGCAAACGAGGAGATAGATCGCTGCAACGTACAAGCACGACGACTGTATACCGCTATTGCCGACGAGCACGATCAATTCCTCCGCGTCATCGGGGACCTCAAGGCTGCCGAAGATCCTCTGCATGGGATTGCGGTCGAGTACTGTGAGAGGCGCCTCAACGTGAACGTGCGGCACATCGAGCGGCTCCACCAGCTTGCCTCCTTGAAGGGGTTCACGGGGAATTTGAGCCGAGGACGTCGCAAGGGTGCACCACCTCCTACGCCTTCTCCGAGTGCCCATCCGCCGATCGCTCAGAACGGGCCCAATGTCACGGCCGAGTCGCCTGCTGGCAATGCTGCCGGCCTTACTGCATACAATATACCCTCACACAATCATATTCACAGTGACGACGGCGACGGTGGCGACAGCGATGGAGAGGATGATGACGAGACTCAGGGTGATGTCGGCAACCTAGTTGACTTCATGGGTAATGCGTCGAGGTAGACACTATTAGCTGTAATGTACAAACTATTCATGATGATGTTATTCTGCCATTTGTCGTGTTCGTGAATGTCGAAATCCTCCGCAATACGCTGTACAACATTGAAGTTGGTACAATGTCAAACTCGCGATTCACACACCTAGTACATTAGACCTCTCGGTCTTCCTGACGAATTGCACGGTCACGGTGAACAGCGATGTTTATCCATATACGAAGCATGCTACATCAAGTTTGAATCCGACACTAGGACTCGGCGGAACCACAATGCGTGAAGGTGAAGACACCAAACATCGCACAGTGGCACTAGGACGCCAATTGGCGTTCGACGTTCAACGCGCGCCACCATTCACTACTTCACTCATCACTCTCATCATCCCTCATCAGCTCTCATCGTGCTCACTCATCCTTTTCATCGATACTTCTTCGCCGTCGTGCAATGGATGCGAAATACTGGTGGGCGGTTCTGGGGAGTCATCATGCGGGGGTCTATCATGATCGGTGAGTGCGTCAGTCTGAGGTCGAGTATCTCCCACATCGACAACTGCAATACAGTCAAGAATGGATGCCCTATGGCAAATACCCCCACCCCTTCCCTATCCCGATACAATGCCGATCCAAGGAGGACGCAGAACGTGTTGTCGAGACATGTGAACCACTGCTTGCGGATGCACGCGGCGAGGTCAATGTCGATGACCATGTCTTGCACAATATCGTTCACGCCTTCTTGAGGTCACCCGGTGCACGTACGGTTCTTTCAAAATATCCCAAGCTGTATAGTGTGGCACACGGGTCTCAGTCGGGGATTGTGCAGAGTTGGTGCGTCTTCCATTGTTTTTACCCCTCGCCATCTCATAAACAGGGCTCAGGTACGGCCCCGGGCAGGCTGAGGAGCTCACGAAAGGGTTCGTGGGTCCTCTACATCGCCGACTCGACTTCTTCCCACTTGCAGCTGCCTTCTTCATGAACAAGGGCGCGAAGTTGCGCGGCACCGACATTGACACACAGGATGTGTTGGCCGAGATCTGCGCTGGCATTGCAGGTGGGGTGCCAGAGCAAGTCGTTGCCGATGATGAGCAGGCTTTGAACGCACTCCGCGGTACGTCCTATCTTTCGTGGATGTACTGCAATAATTCACCCTGTACTAATGTATTGATAGCATTGTCGGTAGGCTCAGAGCCGCGCACACCGCAGAGGAAGGACCACGGCACGTTCTCTCCGGGCCCCTCTCAACAGATTCGTACGACCGAACGTCGGCATGGACCACAGGCTTCGACGGCGTTCACACGCACAATCAGCTTACCAGCGACACCGACTGATCGCCAGGCACACTCGATGGGTGATCCGGAATCACCTTCCCGTCATTCATCACCGTATGCAACAAGCATACTGCGTGCTAGTCAGCTACGAGCGCCATCCCGAGGCGGAGCTACCACGTCGACTGCAGGGCGACCACATGCGCGTGGGACACCATCTATTGTGCCCAACCCGACAGCCCCTACATCGACATCTTCTATGCCACGACCTCTGCCAAATCCATCCCGTTCCCATGTACCTCTCACAAGTCTCGTACGCCCTGTGCCGCATCGGCACCTCAGCAATGTTGATCATGTCCAAACTGACCCAGATGACCCACCTTCATTTGGCCCGTGGGTCGATTCTTACCTCACGCATCATGGCTGGACTCTGCAGTCGCGCGAGTATATGTATGGGCTCTACCTGAAGATGCCCAGCGAGCAGGGCTTCGTTGATTGCCTCGTCGAGAGAGGTGCAATCGAGTGGGAGATGCAGTTCCTGCATCGCATGATCAAGGCAGAGCTTCGTGGAGATTTCGTGGACCGTGGTTGACTTCTCTTCAGTTCGAATAGACCCATTGTTTGTCTTGCTGTGCAGAGTACATCATCTGTACATGTACTACTAGGAATATGATTGGATGCGTATGTATGTCACGTGCTGGGAAATTGAATATTTGGTTGTGCTTTCACTTCTCCCTGACGATGAACTACAGTTGCCACGTACTCTCTATACCAATCACCCACCCTTCTCCTAGCTTATGCCATGCCTCTTCTGAGTAGTCGGAAGTTGACTGGCCTCCTGGATCGCCTTCCCGAGAAGGTGGTAAGGGATGGACAGCAGCTGACGCGCAAACCGTGGAGGCACAGGCATCGGTCGGGCCGGAAACTCTCTCCAGAAGCTAAGAAGATTCTCACCGTGGCACGAGTTCGAAGGGCAGAAGACATCGACACCGCACTTAAAGGCGTCAAGGAGCGCATGTGGACCGAAGCTGTGGCTCTTCGTGAGAAGTTCGGACGCAAGACTGTTCAGCATTACCACTGCTTGATCATGCAATGCCCCAACAAAACTGTCTACCAGAAAGCTACGTCGCCGTGGAATGCCTACATGTCTGCTGAAACGAAGCGGCGAAACAATGGCACGTCTTCTGCGTCGAGGCTGACTAATACACCCTGACATCTTGCCAGAGCTGCCGGAAGGCGCCCCGCGGATGAAGACCAGCGACCTCTCGAAGGAATTATCAGTTCTGTGGCATGCCATGTCGAAGGAGGAGCAGGCGGAGGCCACTCAGGAGGCTGTGAAGGAACTCGGAGCGAAACGAGCAAACCGAAAGTATGGGACACACAACAATGACGTGGCGTCGTATTCAGACACGCGTGCGTCGTTATCTGTCCAGAAAGGTGATGTGAGTACTGAAGTACTCTTTCCATTCTACGGAGCTTATGAACGCAACGGCTCATAGCTCGAGGCGTTAAAGTGCCGGACGACCACGGATAGTATTCTATTTGCATTCAGGGGCAGCCCCGACTCGCCTTCTATGCCCTTTGTCACATCCACTACACCGCGTGCAGCTGAGTTCATTGAGCTCGTGACAGGGATGAGTGTCATGGAGTTCGTAGTTCGAATGGAAGCCCATAATATATCTGGGGTAAAAGGTATGTCATGTTCGACGTGTTGTACTCGGAAGATAGCTCATGATATGTACAGGGGTTACCGCGAACTACAAGGAGGTGACACAGAATATCAAGAAACAACTCTCGAAGCTTGTGTTGGAGAAACTGAGTACGTCTTACATACTCGTTCACGACGCTGCCCTATTGACGAGTATGTAGATGCTGCCATCGACCCTGCCCATGTAACAACCATGAACTACCACTCCTTCCGTGCGCAGATCGGTGATCCTAACCATACCATCATGTTTGGCTGGCCGACTGGGATTCCCTTCGCGTGTCCTACCGACATCGGCAACAGGAACAACCTGAAGATCGTCGTTGCGGCTCTCGAGAATGGCGTCGCGGGCTTCCGGAAGCTGAATGACAGTGAGTGGAAGTTGTACCAGGAGGAGCGCAGGCGGAAGATCGAGGAGCTCGCAGCGGCGTCGGATGTGGAAGCTAGCAGTGTAGTGGTGGAGGGAGGGCAAGGGCAGGATGGCGAAGGTGGAGTATCGAACCAAGGTGCGCTGTACACACTCGTGAAGTGTTGTATTAGCACTCATACAAGTCTTACACGAATGTGCAGGTGACAGCTCCGTGGACCCAACTGCAGCACCCGACGTCACAGCAAGCCCACCCTCTACAGACTCAACTACTGGCAGGCCCAGTGTCACTGGCATGGATGCGAGTGAGGCGTCAGTCGGTGATAAGAGGAGTGCTCCCGACAGCCCTGGCGAAGGGGCACACCCCGAAAAGCGTCCGCGCGGTGGAGTACCCCTCGCCGACTTCGTCAGCATGAACATGTTCACCGACTCCGATGGAACTGTACGGCTAGTCAAGGAGAAGACGAGGAAGAGCCACGTGAAAGGCACTTCGACGCCGAAGGCTCCAAAGGCTGCAAAAAGCACTGCGTCGACGCCGAAGGCTCCGAAGAAGCGGAACACGAAGAAGGCGAGTCAGCAGAGCAACACACAGGCAACGAATGCTGCTTCGTCGACAACTGCTCCATCGCCGACAACTGCTCCAACGTCTACGCCGGGTGCTACATCGACCGCCGTGTCGAGCACCGTGCAGGGTGCCACATCAATGCCCACGTCAGACGCGCCGACCTTCGTGCAAGGAATGGTACCGGCCATCGCGCCAGGCCCTGCGTCGCCGTCGGCCGCTGCTTAGGATCGCGCCGATGACCACCGCAGCGCCGCGTCGACCAATGCATGCCGCGCTCTTAGGTTACCGTGCTCGTTCCCTCGTCCCCCGACGACCTCGCTGCTGTTGATGTCGATGGTAGTCGAGCTGGCTGTTGTCTTGTGCTCTCGTCCATGTCATCATGTAGTAGTCAGTATGTTTATAATGTCATGTCCTATTGCAAGTGGAACTCCAGCACGAGCATACTACTTACACCTGAGTCCCTACCTACGACACACGATGAATGAATCACAAAAGAAACGGGCAAAAACGGACCCAGGGAAGGTGTTAGTCGTCGTCGTTGTGGCCGACGACGAGGACGACAGCGCGCGCGATGGCGCGTGGGAGGCGGGGAAGCGCCGCCGAGACAACGCCGAGGGGAGCGGGACTCGGCCCAGGAGCGACGGCGCCCGAGGGCGGGACGGTGATCTTATCGCAGTAGATAACAGGCCCGATAGCCCCGGCAGCATCTAACACCATATCCAGTAGTACCGGTCGCGAACCCGCGGTGCTACCGGCGGTGGTGGGGATTACGCCTATGCAAGCTTACTAGCTTGACAGGGGACCCCCGTCTGTCAAGCTTATAAGCTTAGGGTATTGGGATGTCGAGGTGCGCTTCGTCCCGCACTTGCACTCTTCCACGACCTGCACGATGCGCTCGGGGACCTGCAACGGCAGCTGAGCGCGCACGCGGCGTGCGCAAGGAGCGCATACGTCATGGTGAGGTGGTGCATGCAGCCACAGTTCCGAGAAGTAGAGCCGTGGGGAGGTCGTGGTCGTGAATGCCGACGACTCTATATGTGGGACGGCAAAGAGCGAAATCGTAGATGGTGGGCGGGTGCGAGCCGCAGCAACTGGGGTGGTGGGTAGGCCTCAATTGCCTCGACTCCTTCGTAGTTCGTACCTACGCCAATACAGGCCGGGCGCGGCATGCTCCACGCTGTGCTCACCAAGCTCGGGTTCGCGGGCGTAGACGACGGCTCGTAGGCTCCTGGAGCACCAGGTACAGTGCGCATGCAGCTTCCCACGGAGGTCAAGTGTCAGCGACAGTGTTTGAGACGAGGCGGAGGGGACGTACGGGCTGCAGTCGACACCGTCGATGATCATGATATGCATGATGCTGCCCGTGTATTCCGCAGGGACCCTGCTGGTCGATACGCTGCTGTTCGTACCCGCAGACGCACCATTCGTCCCTGCAGACGCACTGTTCGTCTTTGTCAACGTGCCGCTGTTTGTACCCACTGAAATGGTCGCATTCGTACCTGCTTACGCGCCATTCGTGCTGGTCACCGCGCCGCTGCTTGTGCTGGTCGGCGCATCACCGTTCGTGCTGGTCCGAGGGTCAGGCTGGGGTGGGTAGAAGGAACAGCTATAGTAGTACCTGGGCGAACCTTGCGGGCGCCCGTAAACTCAACGTTTGTATCTATTTGTTGCCTCACCGCATTGGGCAACTCCGATGTGCTCGGGCTGTTCCTGGCCAATCACAATGTGTTTAACGGTCCTACTTAGGCCTGCAACATACGTGCGACTCGCGCTCTGGCCGTTTCGCAGTATACGTGCATGTCTTCTATGCTACAATAGTGAATAGATGCATGTCTAGTTACATATACTGAAGGAATACAACACATGAGGGTGCAGTACAACACACAAGCTATTCTCGTATTCGGTAGGGATGTCTATCTACACTAGTGTACTGGTTCTTTGAGTTGCGAGCGGTGAATCATTGACTTTGGGCTTGGCGGCGGTGGGTACTGTATATGCATAGAATACAATGTTATTACTACCATTACAAGGTCTCTATTTAGTGACATCTTGGCCGTATCTGCGTGCAGGGGCAGTAGGGCAGTTGCCCGGCGCAGTTGGTGTGCGTTGCGCGCCCCGGCCCTGCCCATCATTGCGGTCACTTATCACTGACGCGCCCGCCTTCCGTTCGTCGGCCATGCTTGCGTGCGGAGCAATTGCCCTGCACGCTCGCGGTCGCCGTGCGTGTGGTGCTGGTCCGCACTCTGTGTCCGCCTGCTTACCCTCTCGCCCTCGCGCCCTCTCGCAGTCTCGCACTCGCACTTTCCCGTTCACCTGCTTGTCCGTCTACTCACCCGCTCGCCCGCTTGTCTGCTTGTCAACGTATCAGTCTGCTCACCGGCTCGTCCACCTGCCGCTCGCCGGCTGCCCGCTGGTCCTCCCGCCGCTGATCCGCCTGCCCGCTGGTCCATCCGTCCGCTTGCTCGTCCACCCGCCGCTCGTCCGCCCGCCCACTCAACCGTCCGCCCTCCTGCTCTTTATCAGCTTGAGTGCCTGCGTCTGCAGTTGTCGGCTGCGTCTGCGTACTGGGCATTCGCTCAGCGCGCTCGCAGTGGACATGTGCTGTCGCCTGCCTGCTTACCTGTCTGCCCACTGTCCTACCCATCCGCGCATCCGCGCATCCACCCGTCCCCTTGTCTGCCCGTGTAGCTGACCGTGTGCTCGCCCGCCCATCCACCTGTCCGCCTGCACGCCCTCGCACCCACCCTCCCTCGCACCCACCTGCCCTCGCACCCACCCGCCCTCGCACCCGTGCCCGTGGTCCGCCCGTCGGCTGTGTTTGCACGCGAGACATGAGCCCTGCGTGCTCGCGGTCGACGTGCGGGTTGTTCTGCACGTCACCGCATCCTGTGGCCGTGGTCAGCTCGTTCGCTCGTGTGTGTGTACACTCACCCTCGCCCTTCGCTGTCACACCCGCTGCCCGTTCGTCGGCTGCATCTGCATGCGGGGCATTGGCCCTGCATGTTCACCATCGTCGTGCGCCCTGTGCTCCGACGACGCCGGTGACCGACGCGGGAATGGTGGAGGCCCAGTGAAAACGCCAAAGTTTCAGAGTGATCCGTGTGGATTGTCTGGTGTCAGACTGCTGGTGTTCGACCAAAATCGACATCAAAACCAAAATGAGACAAACATCGGATGATGTCGACTTCCATAGATTGTGGTCGACGTCAGTCACAAATTCTGAGTTGTTCGCTCACGACAGACAGAAGACGGCTCATATTGATGTAGCTATCGTTCGGTGTCGATTTGAGTAGTACCTAGCCAACAATTCTGGTAGATTGTCATAGAACTGATCCCAGATTGTGCTCCTCGAGCAACATATAATCCCATCGAATGGCATATATTCAGCAATCCGTAGCAGTGTGACAAACTACAGCATCATATACTACTAGTAGCATCGAGCGGCGAGTAGCATCGAGCTACAGGAACCCATGCCCATTAGTTAAAGTATTAGTTCGTAGCTCACTGCGAAATGCGCGTCTTCGTAGATCAATCCACTGGCATTGGCGCGAATCAGCGAGCCTTCGCCTTGCCCTTTGCATTCGTGCGCTGCGCCGAGGCAATTTGTTGAGATCAACATCATCGAAGACGGATGTAGTACACGCACCTTCGCCTTTGCTGCCTCAGTCTCCTTTCTTAAAGCCTACACAACCCAGGGTGAGCAATGACAACACATTCTATGACTCAATGACACATCGGTCTCACCGCGAGCTTCGTCTGGTCCTTCCGGTCATTCTTGTATGCCTCGCGCCAATCGCAAAGGAGTGCATCCTCGCCGTGAACTTGGATATACTTCGCCAGATGGACCTGTCTATAGAGATCAATGATCATCATTGTCAGCACAACAGGAAGACGGCAGGACAGTAAGTGGACAAACTTCTCATTGATCGTAGACCTCAGTTCGGTAGACGCTTTTACAGCCTCGTTCGACGTCGAAGCCTGCTCGTCTGTCCCAGAAGTCGCCATAGCTGGCTGCGGTGTATCGTGTGATTGTAACGCAGGATCGCGTTCGGCGGCCACGGGCACCGAGTCGGAGGTATCAGGCAATTGCCTAATAGGGCTCCTAGCCCTACGGGAAACTGGCCTACTCGGAATTGTAGTCAGTAAAGACATTGCGACACGCCTCGGGGGCAGCTTACATAGGTCTTGGCGGAGGTACAAATGTGTTCCGAGTCGCAGAGATCTGCGAACTATTAGTGGGAGCTGGCACTGGGGTGCTGGACAATGTAGGATCCGGTATAGTGCTGCTGCCGAGATTTGGGGCCTGGGAGCACACGTCATCCGGATTGGCCCTCTGTGGATCACTGACGTGACTCGAAACTAGCGCAGTACGAGGAGCAGGAGGCGGAGGGTGGCTGACACCATGAGTTGCTGAGGTCGACTGGTCGAAGGCGCCAATGTGAGTCGAAGTATCTGTCTCCGACGCGTTCAAGTCCATGCGAGTAGCTGTGCTCGGCGCCATCACAACAGGATTGGCGATCGATGGCTCGGGGACGCCGCGAGATGTAGGTGTGTTTCCGGGCACCGTGTTGCTCTCGACTTCGAGGCTGACCGGAAGCATGTCGGTGGCCTGAGTATCTACGCGAGGCCAGGTTAGCCTGGGAACACACTCAGATGGTAGGGTGTGGGTCGTACTAGTGTCCATCTCGCGCATCTCCTCGCTTATCGCGGCTTCACGACCGTTCGTTGTCACGACCGCCTCAGAGCTGCTGTGACCCGGGAGAGTCCGAGTCGGCAGCAAGCTATGATCCGGATGGACCACCTTGTTGACATGAGTGGTACTCGCTGCCACTGTCGCAGCAGCCTGAACAGGCATACTTCCTGGGGTGGCAGTGGCGTGAGGTTGTGGGAGGCTGTCAACGTAACTCAGGGCCGAGTCGGATCGAACGCGAGACCGCGACGTGTCAGCGGTGTCTGTCTCAACAACACGGATGGCGCCATCATCTGCAGTACAAGAGTGCATGTCGGGAGTGATCTGAGGGTAGGGGTGGGCAATAGACATTGAGGCGGGCACCAGGGGAGCGCAAGCCGTGGTACTAGATGTCGCAATGTTGCCCGGTGTCGCTGATGCCGAGACTTCGATATTGCTCGCAGGACTCGCAGGAGCTGCCAAGTCAGCCTGAGCCGGTGCACCCATAGGAACATCGCCGTCCGAGCCAGCAAGGTCGATGGTAACTGGCGCGTTATCTCGGGCCTTCTTGCGCCGCCGGTGCTTGTCGCCATGTCCTCTGGCAGGACGTTTGACGGGTTTGACAGGAGTGGCAGGGATCGCGGCTTCGGCGTCCGACTTGTCGTTGTCATCGTCGAACTTCTCCTCGGTGGGCTCCTGCTTCAGATCAAGCTCGCTTGGGCACCCTTTGTTGAGGACATGCCTCCTGTAGAACCCGGGATAATGCTGGCTAATGAAGTGGTCGATCTTCCAGGTGCCACCGACGCAGTAAAGGAGCATAGGGAAGTGTGTCGACAAGGAGACGTGGAGGTATACACGGGCTTCATGCGAGAGAGTCTGAGACGACGGGGCTGCCTGGCCACTCCAATGGAGTGAGTGAAACAATGCTTGGAGCATCGTACGCGCCTGTTTCGCCACATATCCTGATACTGGCTCTCCATTCTCATCCTCCATATAGTGCTGTGCTACGTTCTGATCTTCCGGCTGGGGTCCCTGCTTCCCTGCCTTCGTCTTGTCACGGGCAGTCCAGTCGGCTCGTGTCCAGTAGTGAATTGCAGGTGGCAAAGGTGGTGGGCAGGGTAGCTGGAGCCCAAGACCAAGAGTGACTCGGGAGTTCGCCCACGGAGCTACTCCTGGTGTGGGCGGCGTTGTATGGGCATGATTGGACCCGGTGGTAGCTGGCGTAGCATGCGCAGCCATGCCGATAAGTGATGGGATTCGCTCGATGATGTTGTTATATAACTTCCTATTGGACATCAAATAGGTTCGTAATTAGTACAACGAGAAGCATACACCGTGCAGGAAAGAACAAACTTGAAGATTAATAATTCCTGGTTCTCAGTATTAAGGCGTTCGATCTGCTGCAGCCGCATCTGATACGTGCGGTTTTGCGCACGCAATAACATATCGTGGCCAGCCTGTGACATATATACTTGAAAATTGTGTTCATTAAGGCTATGTGCACCGAAGCTTGCAGGGTTGGTCTGACATGTCACAACATTCAGACGATGGCTAGATTAGTGCAATCCGGTATTCCAAAGCATGGTGGCACGTACTTGTACAAATGAGTGTGGCTCCAATATGTTTCCATTAGGTAGTGTACTGCTTGCGCGTCGGGGAGGCGGCGTGAAAGGATCGTTGTAGTCGACTTCTAAGCTGAGGCCGGTGCCAGAGGAGAGCGGCGACGAGGAGCCTAAGAATGTTCCTGCATACTCGGTGCCAAATCCATAGTCTGGAGTAAAGAGCGGAGGCATGAGATGTGCAGCAGAGAGCACCAGCAACGTAGATATTGTTCTCTGCCACAGCAACCTACGTCGTGGCTGTCGCCGGCAGGTCGACTCAGAGACGACGCCACAACACAAGTACAGAGCGCCTAATTTAGTATACCGTACCTCGCTTGCTCTGCTCGGGCTTCCTGAATCCGACTGACACAATTGTATATGACTAGCTACTTCTACGACTACATATCCTCATCTTCGTCCATATTATATGTGTCAGTGCTGCTAAGACCACCCAGTACATCCATCTCCACGCCCATCTTGTCCATTGCAAAATATACCTTGTTTGTGTCAGAAACATCGAAGCCTGGTGGCGAGAATGGTATCATCGCTGAACATGCTATGATGTTCTTGACATCAATGACTGTAAGTGCATTATCACCTCCCGCATGGCAGGCCCATACAACCCCAGAGGACATCTCGAGTAAGCGACGATTTGGTGATCCATATTGAGCAACAAGAGCAAGTGTTTTGCAGCGCACATCGACTGTCTTGACCTGGAAATAATACAGTACTTCGCCATAGCTGATCTTGGATGCTGTTCTGTACTGTAGAGCTTCAGCTTAGAAATGCAATCGGACAGAATGATTACTAGAGGCTACCTTTACATTCCGCGAGATTCGTGTGACATGGTTCGGGACCTCCTTCCAAGAACTACGGCAGATTTGACCATTCGGAATACGGCAGCGAGCCCACCGCTGGACATGAACTTCATCTTCGTCTTCGTCCAGGTTCTCGACCACCGTGTAGCGGCGAAGGTATTGCATGATCGCACGAGCTTCACATTGGCGAACTAGGCGAGGGTGATCTTCGCGTGGATGTAGCAAGCTATATCCACCACCTAGATCACAGATAGGAACACGGTTAGAAGGACCGTGTTCGTCAGGATCGAGGTCCGGGAACATGGCCTTCAGTCCGTTGACTTGAGCGCGTCGCAGAGCACGCTGTGCGAGGTTAGCGAACACATTTGAAGGTTGTCGTATCTCGCCGCCGAGATCGCCTATAGTCCTTTCCATCGTGAACTGAGATGAACATATGAGTGGCCCAATGCGTTCGAATTCGGTAGGATGATGGAGGATGGCATGCAGACACTGTGGCAAGAAGTGCATACGTGAGATCTTGCGCTGGACGTACAGCTTTTCAAATTCGTAGATGAAGTCACTAATCATCGTGTGCGCGTACTCGCGCTCTGCACGCATTGTCCGTCGCTGAAAAACAATCCGGACACCTGCAACGAGCTTGCAGAAATGTTTCCAGTAGGCCTCGGGTAGTACACCGTAAAGTAGGGCAGGGAGCATGCCATACATCCAGTGGAGAAATTCCCAGCACTTGTACCCACTGGAGATCTTCTCCGCAGGATTGCGCGGTGGACGTCCAAAGGATCCTGGGAGGTACTGGCGCGCGGTCGCAACAGCTTCGCCATGCGTCTTCCAGACATCCCCGACTAGGACAGCCCAATCCCAAGATGCTTTGTTATCCCCATTCTTCGTATCGCAATCGAGCGTGCCACGGAAGAGCTTCTGGATAAGGTCTGGTACATTGATACCACATGCATGCATGATATCGCCAGGAAAGAGCCGCGGAATTGGAAGACGACAAGATGATGGCATACCAAGGAAGATACTGGGCTTCGATAAACCCGTCTCGAGGCGTCGTGCATCGTAGTTCGTGACTGATGTGAATTCTTGTAGGTATTGGAGGTCCTCCTTGTACTGCTGCGACGAAGCAGGTGGTAAGTCCGATGGCTCGTAGTCATCGTCATCGCATCCGCGCTCATTATAGTTGTCAGGCTTGCGACAGACCGCATAATAGTGCGGAGCTCCAGGCTTCCTCCACCCCTTGCGGCCACATCCATTCCGACAGCCTTTCTTTCCATGATGTCCGACATAGCCTGTCAGATCAGGTGCACCGACTGCATCTGCCTCCACAAGGAAGATCCATGGGCGCGAGCGGAAAGACTTCTTCTGACGAGCATCCCATACAATCAAGGGGTCGCGTTGTAACGATACAACGTGATGAAGCCCAGTGAAGAGGTATGAGTCGGAATTTTTGGGTTTGTTCGGACCAGGTATGATCGCACCCATGAGAACGTACTTCTTCTTATAGCGCTTGTCGGGGGCTACGTCAACGAGGATCCATATGTATATCCAGCAATTCGATGCCTTGTGTTCATAGAGCTGTGCACCATCCATGGAGAATAGCAAACAAGTGTCCTCCGGGAGGATTTCGCCCCGCTGGTATGCATCCCAGAAGTCGGATCCGTATGGGATATCTTCGACACCATTGAGGTGTCCCGATGTCCGCAGCTCCTCCAAGATATCCGCCATGACACTTCTCCGGTACTGCATATCGTCCGCGCCTGACGGTGAGCGATACCGGGCTTGGATCTGCGGACCAATCGGAAAGGTATTAAACTGCTGGTGTGCTTTCTTGATATTGCGCGCAGCCGCCACAGCATCGTACCGAGGCTCTCCACAGTGTGGGCACGTCTCCAGGGCTGCGTAGGGCCCAGTGTACGCGAGGCAGCTATTCGGGCACATGTCCTCCAGTATCGATACGACACCCGTCAGCTCTGCAACCTTCTTCTTGACAAGATGGTGCGACAGGACATCAGCCTCGGGGAATCGCTCCGTGATTGCAGCGCGCGTCTCGTTGTAAATCTTTTCGGAGCCATCAGTGTCAGCGAGGAACAGACGTATGGAAAGTCGTTCGTCTGGTGTGAGTGTCGGCACTGTGGTAAGAGGGTCTCGTAGCCGCCGTCTCGTCTCATCGTCGAGCTTCTCGTCTGCCGCGCAAGGGTCTGAGTTTAACGAATGAATGAATTTGAGGGCTGTATCGACGACAGGCACACGAGAACTCGACATAAGGGAGGGCACGTCTGGACCGGCTTCAGCAACATAGGTACTGTCCAGATGACTCGTAGTGGCCGAGGGACCTTGCTGTCCACTCGGGCTCGCCGCGTCGGTCTGAGCTGTCATGCCAGCGATGTTTTGTGACTCCGACAGATCCTGCTGCTCAGATGGCAGCTCGGACGGCAGCTCTGCACAAACGTCCTGGGCCATGTCCAAGGATCCAGTGTCGGTAGCCCCAGGTGGAGGCTCGAGGCTATCCTCATGCCCTGCATTGCTCTAGGCAGGAGTCAGCGCAACTCACGGTGAATACATGTCAATATGTGTACCGGTATCAGTCTCGAGTCCCCCTCCCTGCTCTCCCCATCTGCCCCGGCTTCATACACGGCACCTGCGCGATGCTGTTCCGTGTCCGCCGTTGCAGTCTCTGCATCAATATCCTCGGCTTGAATCGTACTCCGCACACGCTTTCCCCTTTCATCGGCGCCCTCAAGGTCTTCGCCACGGGTGCGCTTTGCACGCGGAAATCGAGTCGGAACCCTTAGCGTAGGGTCCAGAGGTGGGATGCGCCCCGCTTGAATATCAGATTTGCGCTGTCGTTCGTGCCGGTACCAGGTCGCTCGTGTTCGCCAGCAGTTGTTCTTCCGCAAGCAGTTCGTGCAACCACAGAAGAAGCGATCTTCTTGACTCGGGTTGGTAGGTTGAGAAGCAGCAATTGCTGCAGCTGATGTTGAGCTCGACATGAGAGCAGACAGCGCGGGAGATCTGCAGACACGTAAAGAGGGAGCGTGGCAACTAGGCAGGAAGACGAGGAGGATGTTGTTACAAGACGGTAGACGCACTCGCAGCCAAAGTCTTAAGTCACGTGCCACGCTGGCCGCTGGATGCGATGAAGCTTATGGCTGCTATGTTTTGTCCTCGCACACTTCATCTGTTTCAAAGGTTTCTACAGATACTTTATACCTATAACAATCATCACATGATGTGTTTGTGAGAGGAGGATGGAGTAAACAAGGAGGATAATTGACTTTCGTTCGGGAGAGTGCATGCTTATGTAACTTACTGCCATATACGGCTGCGGCGCGCGGTAGGTTCGACCGGCAAGTGCATGTGAGTGCACGGGCACAACTTGGGCACAACCACAACGGAGTGCGATATTCGGAAGCAAACGACAGCAAACGATACCAAGAGAATGTGCATCGAACACTTCCAGCCGGAACACGCAGAGAGCAGTCGCCCACCAGTGTGGGAATCGTCCCCGCGTCTAATGTGCGCGCGCGTCGACAGCAATCGACAGCATTAGTGAGGAGAGCGACAAGATCTATATGGACCGCTCTCAAAATTCGGTGTTTTCACTGGGGTGGAGGTCGCAAAGACGGCGGGTGGAAGCGCTCGCCGCTCATTGCGGGCTTCCGGGCTTGGCCGAAACTGACGCCACGCAGCGGGCGGCGCAGGGGATCCGAGATCGTATGTGATCTCAGATGCGCTGACCCCGATGTGTGTCCAAATGGGGTAGGCTGGCATCGCGCGCCAGTGGTACCGCCCCGCCGGGGACGAAGGGGCCGGGCTGCCCCGGGGTAGCTGCCATATCAGGTAACGACCGACGGCGCCTCGTTCATACATGACGGCGCCTCGCTCATACATGAACGAGTGGTAGCTCATGGCTGCAGGTAAGCACTGGAGTTTATGTATGATCACTCTGTGCTCACTACAGGGATCTTGTACAAACTTATGCCTATATGGCCTGCCAGTGCTCGACCAGGGTGATGTGCAATGGATACGCTACACGGTTCATTCGACTCAACTCTTTGTTGTTTACTTGTAGCAGTCCTCACCCGTACTGGTCTCCGTCCCCAGCGCGTGGCCGTCTCTCATCCCTTGTGACACCATCTCGTACTACTGTGCGCAAACCCCCGCATGTACAATCTGCTTTCGAGTCTGGGTCACCTCGGATCGTACTTAGCAAAACTTCTTGCCTCGTCTCAATGTATCGTGATGCCAATACCCTTGGATCGAATCAGACGGTAGCACACGCAATACCCTATCACGCGAACATACAGAGAGGTCTCTTAGCGTAAAGGTAGCAGTCACCCCGTTCCCTGCTGCCCGAGTCGGCGCTCCGTTGATGCTCGGGCAGACGTTGACTTGCAGTAAGAGCATATCCGTCTATTTCGATATGGCTACACGGTGAGTACCGACGGCCTATCGTGACGTCGCACTGAGGCAGACGGTCTTGTTTGTCCAGCGATGACACTGCGCGTACGACCACCATCGTACCCTCGGATGACACCGGTATCTAGCCCTCCACGGACCATCCGCTCTGCAACGCGCCAAGATGCCGTTGGAGGCCTACCGGCCGTGGCTTGCACCCGATAAAAGGGACGTCCCGAGCTGGTCACTACGGCCCACCGTCCGCTGATTCGCGGATTGATTGTCTGGTTGATGCGGTACGTCGTGTCCTATGCCTTCCGGAGCCCATGCGCGAGTCCGACCACGTCGGGCGGGTAGTCCCGCGCGGCGGAGGGGAGATTTCAGGCGATGAGGGTGGGCTGACCAACGTCGTGGACCGGACCCGTACGCCTGTGCACAAGAAGCTCGATGCTCGGATCGCCGTGGCGAATCTTCTAGTTGAGATTCGACCCAGTTCGAGGTTTACCAGCTCTGTATGATACCACAGAGCCCTAGGCGGATGCGTTATCCCAGCCTCGCTGAGTGTCTGCCCGCACTAACACCCCTCGCATCGGCGCCGCCCCGGGGTGACGGACGCGTCCTTGTCATGACACGTGCGAACTGCCATCCGGACCCGCAGACCACCAGCAAGATGCTAGGGAGCGACGCGTACGATCAGCAGCACGGACGCACACAGTTCCGCCCCGCATCCACGCAGAACGGTGGGTAGCGTAGTGGCGGGAGTGTACCATGCGGTGCAGGGTCATCGCGTATCGATAGGATGTGACGAACGACTTGCGAGGCGGGGTGGCCGACATCGAAGACGCGTGGGTGGTTGGGGGCGGGAATAGCCGGAGAGAGTCGAGGGGGCGGGGACTTACCTGTAGGACGGCACAGAGCCCAGCGATGTACGTAGCAGACGCGGTTCACGCTCAGATTGCTGGGAGCGTGTCCAGAGGATGTCGTGGTCGGAGTCGCACGCGGCGGTACTGGCGAGACACCAGACGTCCAAGGCAACGGCTGACACGGGCTTGTCGAGGAGACCTGGGACGTGCTGCTGGATGGTGACCAAGTCTGGGCGCGGGAGGGACCGTGTCGTGGGCTGGAATCAGGGTGCCGGGGAAACAGCGGCAGGCGGGCCCTGACGAGGCCAGGTCCATGGTCGCGTTTATGTCGTGAGCAGTTGTGTACGCGTGAGAGACAAGCGTAGTGCGGCGTGGCAGACAGACATGGCGGTGCTGAGCCGTCAGAACGGGTGTCGTGCTTGACTAAAGGGTGCTGGTGAACAGCGAGGCGGAGGCAGAGGCCGTCGGCTATGTGCAGGCACAGCGGGGCAGCGAGGGCGGGACGTCGGCAGCGGTAGCAGCACGCTGTAGTCACAGTCAATCGCAGTGAACGTGGTGTTGAGGTCGCAGACGCGTCATGACGGAGTGGACGACGAGGAGGCAGTCTTGCAGCCTACTACCTGAGCTCGGGCGACGGTTGGGCGACGGTCGGACGCGCCTCGAAGCGCCTAACGAGACGCGACGCGCTCACGTGCCGACGCCCGCAGGCGACCGGCGAGCACAACAAACCTGACATGGTATCTGAACACGGGATATGGTACGGGATATCCAAAAATATATTTTGAATATCCCGTTCGGGGATATTGTGATCGGAGATATGGAAAGTCTGGATGCTCAAAGTATCCCGAGATGGAATACTTTGAATTTCCCCACATAGTATCACAGGCCGGGATATGGTGAGGGATGTTTAGAATATCTCTGGCCACTATGACAATGATGTCCATTTCCGTCTACCCATCGTCCTAACCACGTTGCTTGTTTTCTATTGTCCAGTGTCATGCGCGGTCACGGACATGTCACGCCGCAGGCCCGAGCTGCTACTTACCGTAAAAGGTAACTTTGGCTCCCTGCCGCCGCGGCGAGTCGCGGTACGGTGTCGCGTCGCGGTGTGGTGCATCGCGTCGCGTCGCGGTACGGTGCGTCGCGTCGCGTCGCGGTACAGTGTGTCGCGTCGTGTCATGGCATGGCATGGCGCGTCACGTCACGGTACGGCGCGTCATGTCATGTCATGGCACGGTACGGTGTGGCGTGGCATGTCACGGTACGGCGTGTCATGGCACGGCATGGCACGGCGCGGCGTGTCATGGCATGGTACGGTACGGTATGGCACGGTACGGCGTGTCATGGCACGGTACGGCGCGTCGTGTCATGGCACGGTACGGTGCGTCATGGCATGGCACGGCGCGTCGTGTCACGGTATGGCATGGCACGGCGCGTCATGTCACGGTATGGCATGGCATGGCACGGCGCGGTACGGTACGGCGTGCCGTGTCATGGCATGATGGTATGGATAATGGTACATATACTTCGCTCATGTCGCTTTATTACAATCAAATTATTCTTGCATTGTACTGTGACAGCCTGAGTTGAACAGGTATTGTATTGGCGTTAGGTACAGCCTGAGCCTCAATAATGTATGTAGGGTACAATTTACTTCAGTGGCATGACATAAGCACCATGCTCGCACTGTGCCATGACACGGCACGCCGTACCGTACCGCGCCGTGCCATGCCATGCCATACCGTGACATGACGCGCCGTGCCATGCCATACCGTGACACGACGCGCCGTGCCATGCCATGACGCACCGTACCGTGCCATGACACGACGCGCCGTACCGTGCCATGACACGCCGTACCGTGCCATACCGTACCGTACCATGCCATGACACGCCGCGCCGTGCCATGCCGTGCCATGACACGCCGTACCGTGACATGCCACGCCACACCGTACCGTGCCATGACATGACATGACGCGCCGTACCGTGACGTGACGCGCCATGCCATGCCATGACACGACGCGACACACTGTACCGCGACGCGACGCGACGCACCGTACCGCGACGCGACGCGATGCACCACACCGCGACGCGACACCGTACCGCGACTCGCCGCGGCGGCAGGGAGCCAAAGTTACCTTTTACGGTAAGTAGCAGCTCGGGCCTGCGGCGTGACATGTCCGTGACCGCGCATGACACTGGACAATAGAAAACAAGCAACGTGGTTAGGACGATGGGTAGACGGAAATGGACATCATTGTCATAGTGGCCAGAGATATTCTAAACATCCCTCACCATATCCCGGCCTGCGATACTATGTGGGGAAATTCAAAGTATTCCATCTCGGGATACTTTGAGCATCCAGACTTTCCATATCTCCGATCACAATATCCCCGAACGGGATATTCAAAATATATTTTTGGATATCCCGTACCATATCCCGTGTTCAGATACCATGTCAGGTTTGTTGTGGAGCTGGCACCTGGGTCCTGCCATCTCCCATTCGTTGCACTGAGGTTGCAGTCCAGCTGTCCGGACTCATCGACAGCGTACCTTATCTCTACTGTCTCTGTCCTCCCTCTGACGGCCCTCGAGACACTTCGTGGCGACGGATAGCGCAAGCCGGAGAAGACGACGTTGTGGGACTGGAGGCACTCAGCGGATGTGTCGTTGACGCAACAGATCCAGACAATTTGAAGGCGGCGGGGACGCGGTAGTCGGTGTTGCGCATGGTGGTCGCTGGTGAGTTAGCCATACATTCATCGAGGCCCGAGAGCTTGGGCAGCTGTACCTGGCAGCCACGATGAGACTAACTGAGGCCACACAACGACCACTGTCTCCCAGACTTTGACGCATACGTCTCAGCCTTCGGTGAGCTCGAGTACTAGCTCTTATGTTGATTCATTGGACCGTTTGCCTGACGCACGCTTGCTCGCTGTCATGTAGACTCGACGCCGAAGGAGACACAGTGATACCGTCACGCTTTGCTTCGTGAGTAACATTCACTGGTCTCGACGTATTTGCCTCAGAATGTAGGATTTTGTAGCGCACCTCTCTCCGGATACCGCGAACGGTCCCCATTGCCGCACCCGTTCCTCTCGGGTTGTTGCAGCATCCCTTCCGCCTACTTAGCTTCTCTGCGTTCGTACTCCAGCTAACGCCGTGTGGTGAGTTCCTTTCGCTCCTTGGGACTCGGTTTCTGCATCAAATCTCCGTTGCTAGTCAGACCCCGAGTCGTCTCTTGCAGGTCGGGTCAAAACTCCTACCCAGTGCCGCATACATACTGACACGGTACAGAAGCACTGTACGCGTGGGCGGGATGGATGGGTCCTTTCCAGAGCACGACAACGATTAGTGTCATGCTGTACAGCTAACATGCAATAGACGTTTGCCGCGTGTGGGTATGATGCTACGTCATTCGTTTTCGCCTTTCTATCGCATTTTCTCACCCCTTGGCTTCGAGATCTCAATACACCCGTGTATGTGCAAAAGAAATGGACCGCGGCTGTGTTCAACTGCAAGGTTTGTCCAATCAGCTTCACATTACTGGCATGCACATTCGCGGTGAGCCTGACGCAGCTCTTCTGTCTTCACGCAGACCGGGTCACATCGTATACCGTTGGTACCCCAATATCTACGTGGTCGGAATGCCATGTACATGAAGTAGGGCCCCAGGACCTGATCTCGTAACCTGGAAGTGTTCTACGCTCGGTTCGCAGTTGCGGACACCCTCGCTCCGCCCGTATCCATTGCGCTATGGACCAACGCACTGAGAAATGCGACAGGCTGATGGAGGGATAGATTCAAGTGAGACTTTGATGTTCGAGCGGGAACGAGCCGTCGTCTCGAGAGTCGTACCTGGGCACGAAGACAAATGTGAGCCAACTGCTGTGTCATGCGACGTTTCATACCTCAGATTGAACGAATAATTCCAGCAGGGCTGCTCAGAGCGAAGTGGGGAAAGGGTCTTCAGACGACCTGGAGTCGTCGATGCGGTATAGCCTCACGGGATGGCATGCGGCGAGAAGGACGAGGCTGAAGATAGGACCTCATCATCGCGCTGTGATCAGGACGTGGTGCTCGTGCGTGGGTTTTCACGCTGCTAGTACACAGGTCTTCAGGCGAATCTCGCGGACGACACCTATGACACACGGCGACGTGATGATTAACGCATCATACGTAGTCCAATAAGCATCCTCGCATGTATTGTAACTTACCTTGAATGGACACTGCTTTTCGTCCTCGCGCTCGTGTCTCGTGTTCTTCTCTCTCATACACGACCTCGGGCCACGACCGGCTACCCCCGGGTTGTACAAGGAGGTTCGTTGTCCCCTCGTTCACTTGCTGACGCCTCCGATCGCCGTCTCTCCTCCAGGAGGACACGTAACCGACCACTTGTTGCGGTCACCGGGTTTGCCCAATGAGACCGTGTCTCCTCGTGTGCGATCTGGTCGATCGGTGTCGTTCCTCATTCAGAGATGGGAATCTCTCCCCTCTGGACGCAGCGCGCCGCGACGGGGCCGTTCAGCAAGGGCGCGGGAACTGGAAAAACCTGGGAATGGGGCGTCCCATGCATGTATGACTCCCATCCTTCCAGGTCTCCTGGAGCCCTCGAAGGAGGCACTTCGACAATACCCCCTTCATCAGTTCTACGGTACCGTGTTCCACTGTTCAGACTCACGTGTTTGAACCGCAGGATTTCCCTTTGGACGACTGCGGTCAGCGGGTAATGCATGTGCCTCACTTCGATTTGATCAGGGCGCTGGACCACAGATGCACGAACGGCTAATCGGCACCTCACGGGTGTCGTACGACGATTCTGCATCTCAGCGGATGAGCTACTGTTATCGACCTTCCTGCGTCGACCAGGTTCATGCAGGTCGTCTACACCACCTTCTCGGCCGTCCCTCGGTGTGTACATGTGTCTGGGTAGCAGTCCTGTTGTGATTCCGAGCAATGATCTTGCTTGCGTGCGCCTGCAGCATCCATGGCGTAGTATGCAGTGTGGACAGTGGTATACCAACAAAATCCGGATAACTTAGAGAAGTACGGACACGCGAGCAACCCACGTCAAATACGATCACCACCGCACACTATGGCCTGTCCATACCCTCATGAGAGAGTGTTACGGCACGCATACAGGTTTGCTTAGCTACTGTAAATCAAATCAAATGCACAGTGCCTTTGTATGCGCTCTAACTCGGGGTTGCATCCCGAACCCGACTTAGCAACGTCGCCACCAGCCAGATACGCGCACGCGGACGTACGAGCCTGCAGATGATAAGACGAAAGCGTATGCGGCGACGAGCAATGAAGCGATCGCATACGCGGCGAAGACTAGGAGTGGAGGGGCCGCGGAAGACACGGATGCGCTCTCCCCCAGAGGCTGGTCTCCCTCCTGCGGCGGACACTCTGAGATGCACGATCCGTCCGGAAGCTCGAGCACCACAACTCCGCGAGCCAACCACGGCCTGAAGAGAGGCACAATGAAGGACTCGGTCGTAGCGGATGACGCGCGGAGCGTCACGTCGATACTAGCAAGGCTCAGCGGGTCGTCTTCATCCCAGTGCGAGGCGGCGACGATTCGGACGGAGACGGTCACGGCGGCAGGAGGTAGCTCGGCGAACACGGCGCGAGAGAGTACAGCACGGAAGGCGGAGACGGTTTCCGCGATGTCTGCCAACATGTGTGTGGTGGAGTCAATGCTGTGGTACGACGAGAAACCGATGTGGGCGTGCTCCAGGCGTGGGCTCTCCGTTTGCGAGAACAGGGTGAGCAGGGTCCCTAGTATCCATGCCCAGAGACGACGGCGTGGAAAAGTCCATCGTAAGACGACGTAGGCTGGTGCTGTACGTGAGCGGAGGGAGGAAAGGGCCACCATGGTCAGGCTGTGCGAAGTTCGAACATGTCAGTATCAAGGTGACTGGTGTAAATGCAATCGACGTACTCACGTCTGAGAGCATCAACACGTCGGACCAGTATCCACATAGAAACTCTTCCAGCGCATCCCCCGACTCTTGCAGAGTCTTGCTAATGGTCCTCTGCAACGCAGGAGAGGGCGCGTCCACGAGATTCACGTAGAGTTCCTTCAACGCGCAACACCGATCCGCGAACACATCGAGGAAAATTGAAGCGAAGTCGGAAGAGACCTCGGACAAGTGTACCGTCGCCCAGGCTTTGACGGTGGTCTCTCTTGCCTGCAGAGCCATTGATTTGGCGGAGAGACTCGGAGGTTCACTGCCTGCCTACGCTGGCAGCAGATCGCCCTCTATGTGCAGGGAGCGAAGCGCCGGGAATGCACAGATGAACGAGAGGAACTGGGAGGGGGACAGGAATTTGGTCAGACGAAGCGAGATGTCAAGAACGGCTGAGTACGAGCACAGCAGGTCGAGCATACTTTGAGGGAGGTGTTGTCCGCTGCACGTCCCCGCGGGGCAATCGCAGGCCGCTGCGTACCAGAGTTGAACTGCGCGCAAAGTCTGGCTGAAATGGACGGGGGAGCCGCGCAGTGTCCGGGGACTCCGGCTGGAATGCAATGGAGTCGAGAAGGAGCATACTGAGACTAGGAAGAGTATTGATCAGGGTCCGAAGTTCGTCAGCGCGGCGAAAGGAACACCCCACGAGCGACAAGCGGGTGACCGTCGAAAAGTAGGCGAGGTGCTTGAAGAAGCGCACATGTGGCCGCGCCTTCGTCCAATCGAGCTGCGAGAAGCCGAGGCCGTCCAGCCGCGACAAGAGGCTCGCCGGAACGCGGATCGGAAACGTATGCGCGAACGGCCTCGCGGGGTCGTCCTTGATCTCGAGGTCATGCAGCGCGTGCCCGTAGCCTCTGTTCTGCTTCGACATGAGGATGCGCACGAGGTCGGCGAGGTCCTTTGCGCTCTGGAGGGTCCGCCGATGGAGATGCTGCCTTGCAGAGAAGTACCACGCACGGCAGACGAGGCAGCACCGCGCGAGTTGCACGGGTTCGTCCCAGAGGTAGTCGGCGATGATGTCTATCAGCTCCTGTGCGAAGGTCGGAACTACGTTGCTGCGTCGGTACGGTCAGTGACTTGGCGCGTCGTCGAGGAGGAGGCTCGGACCTTACCTAGCATACGCAGGTTGCCTGAAGTGAATGTCAATCCATTCGGACTCATCCGCCATCGTTGCGAGAACTCGACGTCAGCACTGACCAGTTTCCGCGTCAGAGCGACATTTAGCGCGGGATATGATGTAGGTACACCTTTGAAGAAAGCGGTGAAAGCGGTGTAGGTAGTGTCGTGAGATGGATTGCCTACTGACCGACGACAAGAAGGCCCGAAGTGGAAGACAGGATCTAAGCTCCTCACCAACCTTACTCTGCACTTGAAGCTGTGTACCATCGTGGTGCAGCAACGGCGTCGCCACACAGAAGGCTTCGTGGACTACGGACACGCCTCAAGTACGCAGGCACGCAGCTTGATGTCGAGGAAGTCGTTCAGAGCAACCGGCTTGTACGCGCATGAAGAGTGTAACTTGGAACAGGCGTCCGACGAGAGGCAGTACTTGGTGATGATGATGATGAATTCTGCATTTATTAACCGCCACAAGCAAACAAAACGTGCTAAGACGCGGCGACTGCCGGTGCGTACAATAGTGGGCATTATAATGCGCCACTTACGATCCGGTAGTCCTGTCGGGTATGTGTGTTCGTAAGTCTGTGGGTATCGTTTGTATGTAGTAGATAGCGGGTTTTGGGGCGCAGGCAGTACTTGGATGATGTCGTGCCAACGCAAAGGTTGTTCGACAAACAACTCGACACTGACGAGATTGTGTGTCACTGTAAGTATGTGTGCGAAGGGCATGCGAGGCGGAGCGACCTGGACATGAGAACAAGTTGAGCGCCTTGCTCAAGCCTTGCTGGCGCCTCCGGATCCGTCCTCGTCACGCATGCGACTCGGATTTCCCGTCAAGTACGTACAGTACTTGCTGCTCCTCGACTCGGACACACCCCGACTACATGAACCTGAACGGGATCTCTGGTGTGGAACGCGCAGACGGGATGTGAAACGTGCACCTTGGAATGCTCCTCTTTCGGCACGCTCAGGCTGTTGTCTGCGGACGAGACGATAGTACAACCGTCCTCCCCTCCGTCAACGAGGTTGTACGTATGGTTTGCCTACGGGAGACCAAGACTATAGGCCGGTGGGCATTGCAGCGAGGTACTTGGTTTGAACGGCCCAATATACATGGCTGGAGTGGTACCCCTTCAGCATGTCCGTCAATGCGATATCCCAGAGAGTGTACGTGATTTGAACCCGGCGCGCCCGACCTCTCTAGCGCCGTGTGGAGGGTCTTGGTATGAGACTACCCGACCTCTAACCTTCCTCCCATGCCCTCGTACGCCAATCATGCCCTATAACAAATCAGCATGCTCACTGGTTCCTCAAGCCGTTTTGACATGCGTGTGTAGTCACCGCGTCTCTTCTCGACGGAGTCAATGACCACTCACAGAATGCCGACGTCGGCGGCTTGCTCGTGCTACCACAACCGCGGCGCCGAGTCCTTCCGTGCGAGGAGTTCATAGTTCCCCTTGCTGTACTTGTGAGTAAAATGGTCAATAATGCAGTCATCTCTTTCTCCGCGCTTCGCGACCGCCGTTCAGTACATCGGACCATGTATTGATGATTTTGTCCTAGCGTTCGTTCGGACTGGCATTCCGCATCAGAAGCCCCGCTGCTCCCCTGGCCCCTGAGCATTATGTGCGTGGGAGGGTGGATAGTCGCACTTGTTCGTAGTCTTCGCAATGGATGCGACATTTGACTGAAACTTTCATCCCTTCAAGTACTCCGCCACAGGTCTTAAACTGCCTGCGAATGTCTCCTCAAAGAAGGGCCTTCGGCGTTTGTGAGTTGATGATGGCGCTGTGGCCCATCTGTCTCACTTCCTTCCGTCTGTACGCAAGCCGATGAGTGAGACGTCACATCCGTCGCCACTCAGGTCTGTCGCGACCGGGCGTTGATCATTCGCGGTCCAGGGGCAAGGGGTTTGTTCCGTGGTCAGTACAGGGAAGTAGTCGGCACTATCTGGTACGACTCAGGGCCGCGCTAGAATTGTTGCTAAGGATGGTACGCATGTTGTCCTTGTGTGCATAGGGTATCGTACCTTCCACAGCTGGGTCGATGAATTGTCGGCCCGGCGAGCGTTTCGCCAGATGTAATGCATCGGAGCACCACCCTCATTCGGCGAAATGAGGCTGTTCGAAGACAGCGTTGGAACACGTGTACGCGGGGGCTCTGCGCGGGGACGCCGTTCTCCTTGGATCGTTCAAAGTCCTCATCTTCCGTCTCCTGCGCCCTGCCCTACCTAGCGACTACCGCCACACTGCCTGCCTTCGCCCTCTCTTGCGCTGTTTGTCAGGTCCACTACTGGTGTTGTTGTCAACCTACCAAGGTACGTGAGAATCAGCGTTGCTGAGGCATTGCAGATTGACGTTTATCCGTGTTCAGAGGACTGTCCGTAGGGATCCATAGCCAGCTCGCTGCACATCGTTCGACGGTCTTCGCCCGATCGCGCCGTAGCCACGAGGTGCGCTCTATTTCACGATACGTCTTCGCCTTGTGATTTGACCTGATACTGGTAGATATCCTTCGACTTGCACGAATAATGTCTGATGGACCCAAATACATCGTGATCAACTTCAGGTTTGCTGTCTATGCGAGGTATGGCCCCGTTTGCGTTGACCATTCTCAAGTGGTTGCTCATGCCCTCCCAGTGATGCATCTCCGACTCTGCCGCACGAGATCATCGAACTAATCGCCGACTTTCTATGGGACGAGCCCGTACAGCTCGCCAGATGCTGCCTCATCTGCTGTGCCTGGTATCACGCTGCAAAGCGTTATCTCTCTCGGAGCGTGACCATCCGAAGCACGAGAGCCCTGGGCGACCTTGGGCATATTCTTGTGTCCAAGGTCAATCGACCGTATGGCCGATCACTCCGATCACTCTACATTTATGAGAACGCCGAAGAGCCGTATGCGCATACATTTTCTATGCGTGTGTCCGGATGCCTTCTCTCGAAGGTCGAGGAACTCTGTATCTTCCGGCTAGACTGGGTTACAACGAGACCTCATACAAGCTTTTTCACCTACCTCAACTCCTTTGGGACAGTCACTTCGTTAACTCTCTATCAATGTTGCTTTCGTCATGCCGAGGTACTCCGGACTATTGTTGATGCTCTGCCTGGGCTTACAGACTTCGCCCTCGTCTCGATCACGGTCCATTCTGCACCTCAGGCTCTCGATAGTATAGGGGAGAACCTCCTGCCCTCTGCAAAGCGGAAGCTCCAATCACTGCAGCTTTCCGGATGTGTCAGCAGAGACTACGCCTCAGGGACTGCTCACATCGAGTCGTTTCACCAAAGCGTGCTCAATGTCTTGGCCTTCTACACGAACGTCAACACCCTGATCCTGGACACGACCCAATTCTTGTCGTTCTCACATTTCCTGCAGTTCTTCTGTGCTTTCCCCGAACTCCATAGGATATACTGTAGGAAAGTGCCAGAATGGGAGCCTCCGTCTGACGAAGCCGTGTTGAATGGAGTGGGAAAAGATATGAAAGCATTCACCGATGTCTTTCTTGGGGAGGTGTCTTCAGCCTTTGCTGCAGTATTCTTCAAGCTGTTCGCGAAGCGGTGCTGCGAGCTGCGGACTTTTGATATCGTTCTCGTGGACGTACCCGGACCCGAATTCCAAGCTGCCATCGACAAGGTGCTGCGACATTCTGGGGCAGTTCTTCGCGATTTCAGATGCCGATACGATCAAGAACAATCACAGGTGAGTTCCGTATATACCTACGTGCTATAGGCTACATACTAATGTGTCACAACGTACCAAGCTGGGTATTACTCCCTCGCTCGTGTACAATACCGCACTAGAACGTCTAGATGTGACCTTCACTGTCGCGTCGTCACTGCGCACATCATGGATCTACAAGACACTCCTATCTCTGTTCACGCAGCTTAGGAGCCCGTGTCTGGAGCACATGTCCATTTGTTTCTCCTTACGAGAGCCAGGCGTCGACGCTGGTGTCAACCTCGACACAGATATGGAGACCACTTCCTTGGACATCACCATTTTTCACGCTGCAATCTGTCACGAGATATTTTCCAGCCTACTCCCTGGGCGCGTACTCCTGCAATTCACCCACAGGCATCCTCGTAGCCCCTCATTGGGTACGAGCCCGTTCGATGCCAAGCCAACACCCTGTGAACTGTGCACGTCCATCCAATCGTTCGTGGTCCCCCTCTTCATCCCATGGCTATCTCGTGGGGTTATACAGATCCACCTTCCCGATGGATCACTCATCGTGGATCCACCATGCCTGGACAGCGGAACCCCGGAGGTTCGGTCGGACAACTCCCCCGAGTTCGATCGCGCTGTCGTTCGCCCTGCGTTGGATAGCATCTAGATACTCGGTGTCAGTGCGCACAGGTGAGGCTCACCATTACGCGGACGGTCAAATTCTTATTGTGTATCCTGTATAGACATCAGCCGTGCTATGAGTTTGCCGCAGCGAGAACTTGTCGGGCACGCAAAGCTCAGACAGCCTGGGCGATATAGGCTCGGAAGAGCCTCGCTCGTAGCCGTGTTAATGCCAGAGCTCGACTAGGATGTGCAGTAGATACGCTACACGGTCCGGTTCACTTGATAAGCTATGCTTGCGTTCGCTGTTGCCTTTGTTGTCCACTTGTCGCGGTCGTACCGGTTGCTGTCCATGAGTCTTAGACCATACGCGTCATCTCCGAGTCTCAACGTCCCTTGTGTTAATTCCTTGATTCTGTCACGTACTGTATTTGTGCGCAAACTGCCGTATGTACATTCTTCTTTCGAGTCTGGGTCATCTTTGATCGTACTTAGTGAACTTTGGGGTCTTTGCCGCTTGTCTCAGTGTATTGTGGTTGCCCTTATATGTATTTCGACGATAGCAGTGCACACGCAATACTCTATAACGCGAACATACAGAGAGTGCTTTCAGCATAAGGTCACCTCTGAAGCACGGACGCTTGCGCAGAGGCAAGCGACTTACTCGAGTTGTGCGACCCGTCTTCCGCTCGGAGCTACTCCTGACTTCGACTGTTCCGAGCCGGGCCTTAGGCTGCTTTGGCTGCCTTGCAGCGCCGGCCGCGTAGCGGTTCACCCCGGGTACCCCGCCGTCCCATCCAGGCCGAACGTGGAATACGCCAGCGCGGACGGTGGTGAATCCCTCGCGCTCACAACCCTGCAACATCGCCGATGAGCCCCGATGCTGCCAACGACAGAAATGCACTCACGCCCACGGCCCGCCCGTAGTCAGAACAAGCCTTGTCCCGCGAAGACGAAGCGAGGGCCGTATCGTCATGTCTTGTCCCCGTCTGTCATCACGTTCCTGGGTCACCCTTCGTTGGTCTCACCGAAGGCTTAGGCTAGGTGTCAGCTCGTCGCCCATCGACATCCACGCGCACCCTCACCATCTCCGTATATAGCCGGCCGCACCATCGCTGTATGCGTGCGTCTCGCTGGCGGTTCGCCATCCGTGTGCGTGCGCTCGACACGGGCCGCTTGCGAGCCCCGTCCCGTCCCCCCGATGTATGTGTGCCTCCTGTCCGCGCCTTCCGGCCTCGGACGTCGCACGCGGACTGATGGTCGGCGTCAGTGTTGACTGGCGGCACTAGTAGACAGAGGAGGGCGTACGAGGATCAGTCTACGTGTATCGTGAGACGTCGTTTCTACGTGTGTCGCCACACGGTGGATCGCCAGGTCGCAGCGACTCCGGGGCAGCTGCCAAGTCCTCCGCCCTCCTGCTTGGCCAGAGAGCTCCTCCGGGTCGACTCGTGGCACTGCCGAGTACGGCTGTGGTCCAGATCTGTGAGCACGATGGGACACACAACGCCCCACACCGCGATCGATCAGCTCCGAGTGGCTACTCACTGTACATAAGCCAGATGACGTATGAAGAGACAGAGCTCGTCGCGTTCGTCCCGACCCGGTGCGCCCCTCCACGTCCCGAGACATCGAGCCCCGCAACGCTTCGCGTCCTGACATGATCGGTAGATACCGTGGGCTGGGATCCATGTCTTGAGACGCGGGAGCCAGAGCCGGTGTGCAAGACACAGACAGCGCGCTGTACATCCAATCCTCGGCACACTTCGTCACGCGATGTCTTGAGTCGGCCGGAGGCCAGTACCGCGCGCTGGGATCGCCACTTGTCTGTCTTAATGCGCTCGAGTCGGTGTGTTCGAAGGCACCAGGGTAGGCATGGGGCTGTTGCAGTTCGTCGACTCGATAACTTGAGGATACACTAGCAGTGGCCACGGTTGATGCTAGTCTTGAGCGGCTAGACCAATGCTAGACACGACCAAATCCAGGTCAATGGTGACTTCAGCACGCCAGCAACACCTGCATGGTCCCAAGTTACGAACATGGTACGTGATCAGAGGCATCGTGACGTCGGACTCGGACACGTACGAATGTTACGGCGCACTGATGACACGCACCGCTATCTTCTCCCCCACGTCACTAGATCGGACCCCTACATTACCAGAATAGATGGATACTAGTAGGCGACTGGTGGCAGCCGGACTCATCCCGCTAGCAGCCTGCGTAGGTTGTTTGCTATCGAAACAGGCCGGGCGTTTGAGCCGGGGACCTGAGGGTTTATTTGCGGTTGTTTGTTTCCCTGCACATATAGCCACTTCAACAGTAAGGCCTAAGGCTTCAAGGGCTTCGGTTTAGGCGAGATGCGTATCTTGGGTAGCGGCCTGCATGCCACAAACGAAGATTTGATACTCGACATGTATAGTAGATGCAATAGATACTACATGATTGCAATATGGCTTGTAATTTCAGGCAAGGGATTGTCACAGACGTTGTGCGCAACGGTGGCTCCATAGCACATCCGAGGTGGGGGCTATGCAATGATCACTACAGTACTGAAGTACTATGGGCGGGAAGTGTCCTATTAGATGCAGTACAACGTGCTGAACGTGCGATGTGGTAGACAAGCTGAGATCGAAGACAGATGGTAGATATTGCTAGCAAGTCACGGAGGTGCCGATGCTACACAACGATGCAATGGGGGCTCGGGGCCTGAGTGAGATGACTGGGAGATGGTATCGATGCTAGTGCAGAGGTGCGCGAATAGATAGGAGAGCGTGCTATGCTGGCACAGATCGAGAGATGCGAAGGGGGGATGAGAATGCAAATGCGGCTGCAGACAGGTAAAGATATCAAAAGGGCGTGCGGAGCTTGCAGCAGATTGAGGATCGGGAGTGGGTGAGAGCGAGCCATGCGAGATTCTAGGTCATGTGGAAAGTATACTGTACAGCTTGGTTATCCGGCGACGATGACAAGGGATTCCGGTGTTCGTTCGGAGACGAGGCTTGATGACGCGGAAATAGGGTAGACCATGTCGGCAGAGCATGACGAAGCGAGGCGGCGTCCGGCCCGAGACCTGCACGCGGCCATTGTACTTGCAGTCGACGCCGGCGCCGGCACTGATCGAAAGCACCTACACGGACCCACAAGCACGGTGACTCGGCATGCTCTCTCCCATGAGATAGTCCGTGGCGAAGAGCCCAAGCCCGGCCTGGAGCGATCTTCTTCCATCATTTAATCGAATAGAATCCGACCCCAAATTCTTGCGCCACGAGCCAATCGCCAACTTGAACAGCGCACATCAGCACATGATCATCCCTCCCACATGGCCACTCCCCACGCACTCACCTCCACCGCCCCCAACTGAGCCCGACCGCACGGAAGATCGCAACTGGAACGAACCACGACATCGCATCGCCATGGAGTCTACAACTCAGACCTTCCGCCCGGGCCTCCCCCGCCCCTTGATGAATAGCGACCTCGACACCCCCATACACGCACTTCCCGCCGCCGCAACGCACTGCAATCCAAAGCATCAGAGCGGACGCGATCAGAAAACGTGACGGCAGCGGAAGGGAGAAAGCGCCGCTTACCCCAGTGAACACTAGAGCACGCCACCACGTCAGCGGCCCGCCCGTATTTGTGCCGAGCAGCGCGCCTGCGATGGGGTTCCCGATCAAATTCGCGGCAGCCACGACTGAATATGCGAGCCCCATCTTCACGCTGTGCCAAGAGAGAGCACCATCAGATCTGACGAGAGAGTGAGACGAGGACGTGGGGGCGCACCCGAGCTCTCCCATGTTCCTACACAGCTGTACGAGCAGGGTAGGAATCAGCGATATATCTGCATCACAAACACAGCGCGTCGTCAGTTGCCTGATTTCCGAATAGTACGTGCAGGGACACTCACACGCGCCCGACACGAACCCGAATATCGACCCGACGAGGACGACGCCCGGCCCGTTCGTCGCGCCGAAGATGGCGAAGATGAGCCCCGCACATGCGACCATGGCGGGGACGAGCATGTTGTACACGCCGACCTTGTCCGCGAGGAAGGTTGGGAGGAGCCGCCCGAGCGTGCTGCCTGCGTTGAGGATCGCGAGCTAGAGAACGTACATTCGAAATGATGAATGAGATGTGTAATCATACGAGGAGGGATAACGACGTACGGAGTAGGTCGTAATATGCGAGCTGACACCGTGGTCGACGGCGAACAGCTGGAGGTAGAATACTGCACGGCGAGGGCGTGCCATAAGCTTATACCCCCATATGACCATCTGCAAGACACTCACGCGGGACATAAATGCCCAAGCTCGTCAGGAATGCTCTACATCATCGAGCCCATTAGCACATCCATTTACGACCACCAATACGAAAGCACCCACCCGCATACACTCCAGAGATACGCCCCGTCCCAAACCATGCCCCGCCACGTCTCTATCCTCGCCGCGCGCTTCGACCCGCCCTTCCGGTGGACATCGCCGCGCTTCGGCGGGAGTCTCGTTCGCATGAGACAGTTCGCAACGACCAGACATCCGCCGACCACCGCGCCACTCGCACGTACCGCGTTCGCGAAGCCGACACTGGGGTCCTGCAGCAGCCTGCGGGCGAGCGCACACGTACAGTACGTGAGCCGAGGACGAACCGCCGCGAGAACGTGAAGACGCACCGATTGAGCATGATGGGAAAGACGATCCCGCCCGCGCTCGACCCGCTGATCGCGACGCCGACGGCGAGCGCACGGCGCGTGCGGAAGTGGTGTCCCACGACGGAGAGCGACGGGAGGAACGTGAGCCCGAGCCCAAGGCCCATCCCGACCGCCTGCGCGAGGAAGACCTGCGTGCGGGGCAGCGTCAGAACGTCAGAACGTCAAACGTCAGAACGCAGAGCGTGAGAAAGCGGGGAGGGGAGCGTCATGACACAGAACAAGGCCCGTGGGGACGAGAAGGGGGAGACGGGAGTCTCAACAGTGAACGAGGGACAGTCAGCAGGACATGTCAGCGGCCCGGACGACTAAAATCGAGAGGATCTCCGAACGCTCGCAGAGCCCGAGAATTCGTGTCTCACCGCGCGGGAGCCCAGAGTCAAAAACAGAACGGCGGGCATCGCGGGTGCGGAGCACCCATTGAAACGGAAGTTTGATAGAATGGAGAACCGGAAGCGCGAAGCGTGCAGGGCGGCGCGTCGCTGGGAGCCTGAGGAGCCTTTAGGCTCTGTTCGCCTCGACGATCGCACGGACCGGTGCGAAGGCGGTCGGGGACAGTTGCAGCAGACTGCGACGGTGCCAGTACAGGCATATCGTGAGAAGCGCACGGCCGTGGCAAACGCAGTGCGGCGAGCCCGCGGCAGGCTCACGCAACGTGCAAGCCCACCATAGGCGGAGGCAAGCCTCTCCAGCCCCAGGCACCCTGTGTGTGCATGCCCCAGGCGTGCACAGTAGGAACTTCGAGCCGCGCAGGGTGAACGACGAGTCGGGCGGGACGGGTCGCACCTAGAGCGACCATCGCCAGATTGTCGCCAACTATCGCCGTGCCCGAAGACATACCGACACGCGAGACCCATCGCGTGCGGGGTAGAACCTCGGGGAGCCCAGGCACCCCAGCTCGTATCACCAAGGAGTAGGGAACGGACGATGTACCATCCCCGAGAGATCCAGATGGGAAGATGCCGACTCACCTGATAGTACTCCCCCGGGCGGGCGAGGCTGAGCATGAAGATGCTGAACACGTACAGCAGCGCGCCGAGCACCTCCAGGTGGTGGCTATATGGGGCATACAGTCAGCGTGCGCCCACTAGAATAAACAGATATGCGAGTCGAGACTCCGCGAGGAAGGAAGACGATACGAAAGACCAGCGGGGTAGAGTGATACGGGCGAGAAGGGACGATGGAAACAGAAAGGAGACTCACAAGTACCCCGCGTCGAACGCGCGACCCACGAACACGCCGGGCGCGTACATCAGGCACAGCTGGAGACTCCCGATCCAGCTGTCCGTTCACCGACAATTATTGGCTGGCTGTGACGTGATCGACAGAGACATACCTGATATTTGAACTCGTTTCCGCGGGGAGATAATATGTTGCGTAGTAGTCTGCGGAAAACATGCCACTCAGGCTCTGAAGGGCAATACGTTGTGCGCGCGTAGAGCTACTCACCTTGGTATACCCCAAACGAGCTGATGTAGCTGCAAACGAAGTGAGGAAATCGTGGACGGAGACTGCATCCGCGAAGACTCACCCGAACGTCGAGAACTGGACCAGCCAGCTAATTGACAAAGGAAGCGAACGTTACAATCTGTACTCTCGCACACGCAGAAGACGAGGTAAGGAGGGAATGAAGGGACTCACGCGCCAGCGACGGTCATCCACGCTCTCGTGCCTCCATCTGGGGGCGGTGGCGGGCCACCCGCGCCGTCGTCTTGCTTGCCCTCTCCCTCCTCACGCCGGTCGTCCCTCGCGCCGTGCGACGACACGACGCGGATGACGTCGACCTCCCGCTCGCCGTCCTCGCCCTTCTCTGCGTCGCGGTCGTGTGCCGGGTTCAAACCGGATATTGAAGGCTTGCTGGCGGGGGCGGTGGCGAAGGACGCAGAGGCGGATGCCGAGGAGAGGGACATGCTGGATGTGGAGGGGAAGAGGCTGGGTTTCAGGGAGAAGTCGAGGTCGAGAGCGCTGAACTGCAGCGCGTCTGCGGGACGGAAGTCGCGTCCGAGGGGAGGTGTTGCAGACGAATTGGAAACGGAGGCGGAGCGGGGGCGGCGCGGCGAGGGCGGTGGCGGCATGTAGGTCCCCGCGAGACCCGGGGGCGGGGGCGTCGGCGTCGGCGGCAGGGGCGCGGACGAACGGGTATGCGCGTCGAGGGGAGAGGGCGCAGGAGCGAGGGGAGACGGGGGGGTGGAAGAGGCCATCGGGGCTGCTGGGAAGAGGAGTGGGCGATGCCGTAAACTCTAACGAGGGACAGATGATGCAGGGAGCGGGCGCAGCGTCGGCGAATAAAGAATGCTGGACCGCAGATGAAGAGACCGGCTGCGCGTGGGCGCGGGAGGGCGAGCTGGCACACGCCGACCTGCCACCCGCTGATGATATCCACCGCACGCCCGCGCGTCTCTGCGATCCGCACATGCCCTGGCTGCACACGCCGCCCCGAGCAGCGCACGCCACGACAGCGCCACCGTCGTCGCCCGCCTTCTTCCCCGTCCCCCAGCGGTGGCGCGTTCGCACAGGAAGCGTGGACTGGGAGCGCGCCTCGTGAAATGCCAATTCCGCGCTGCCCCCTGGGAAGACGCACGTCAGCCCCTTCCCCTTTCGCTCCCCCGCGAACCACTTCTCTGATCACGCACCTCGCTTCCATCCCACCTGCCACGCTCGAGACTGCTCATTTGCCGTTCTCAGTCGCCCTCACGCGCACCCGGTCCGGGTCGCACGCGCACGACAAGGTTCGACTGCGAGCGAGGGTCCGGCGGGTGCATTCGCAGCCCAGCTCCAGCGAGGCCGCGCTCATCAGCAGAGTGTCATAGAAAGCAAATGGGCGCACGCCACAGGACCCGCCGGCAACTCACCGGTGAGACACCGCCCGGCCAATTCCCGGCGTCCAGATCTACGCAGATTGAGTTGGTCGCCCGTTTGCGCAGCGCGTTGCTCGCTTACGGCGCGCGCTCGCCCGCCGTGCTGTTACGACGGCTGCATGCGCCTTCCTCACGTCGACCGAGCGACGCACTAATGGCGAGATGCCCTGTCGTCTAAGCTACGTGGCTCGTGTGCTCTGTACGCACGGATGCAACCAGAGTCGCGGCGATCATGCATCGAGATCGCGCGCGCGCCACAACGCCCTCGCCCCTGCTCTAACCCGGTCAGGTCCTTCCGTCCACTCTATCAACCTCTGCGCCAAGCTCCGGGATCGCTTGACGCAGCACCCAGAGTAAGTGCTTGGTCGTACTCGTGAGCATGCGCTGTTATGAATCGCTGCCTGCCCTCGCTGACCCGGTGCCTTCTGCTCGCTTCGGCGAACAACAGGCTCGTCTCCATCTTTCGACCGCGATTCATTGCCGGCAAATGACGCTGCTGCCCCGGTCTGTCGTCGCGTTCCTTGCCTTTCTCCTCCTCCAGTGATGGGTTCTTCGCTGGCGTCTCCGACGTCGCCTACCTCTCCCGATCCCGCATCTCCGCTGCTGTAGTACACACTTGTGCGGGGTCCGGCGACTACGGTGAGTGCAGTCAGTTAATCTATCACTTATATCAATGCATCCACCACCGCTCACGGTCTGCCACAATTGCAGCGCACAGTACATCACGCCCAGGCCTGCGCCTGCATCAGCTTTCAGTATGTACTCGACCTCGAACCGGCGGCCTCGACCTCGATCGACCCTGATCAAACACACTCGCGCCACAACGCCCTCGTCCGGCGCAACCCGATCCATTCTCCGTCCTCCGCCTCTACGCCACGGTCTCTACTCGTTTGGTATCAACTCGTTACTCGGTATCATATATCACCCACCGTCGGTCTGTTCGCTCCGGCTAACAAGCCCTCGTCCCCCTTACGCCCCCGATTCATTCCCGTCGTCCTGCACACCGCGTGACGCAGAACGCGTGGTGGCCGGCTGGAAGCCCCCTTCAAGACGCAGGCGCCGCACGACGCGCTTGTTCGCTTCGGCGACTTACTTACCTCTAAGACACCGGATCGGGGACCTACGTCCTCGCCTTCTGCACGGGTCCCCGTCTGATTCAATCAAGACGACCGCCGGCCGGTGAGTCATGCTCATTCGGCTGCTTGCCAGGACATGCACTACCTCGCGGACCTCGCAGAACCTCGCGACCCCGCGACCCCGGGCAACGCTGTAATAGGGGGTTCCACCCATCCCTGCTCACCATCAAATCCCTCCTGCCTCGGATGCGTTCTCGCGCGCGGGACGCACAAACGTAACCCACCGCAGCGCATTGTCCGGCCTGAAGGCCCGGGATCAAGGTCGCGTATGTGCGTGCTGCAGGTGCCGGCGCCGTCCGTAACTACCAGCGAGCGCCTTCGTCCGCCGCTCCCTCCCCCTCTGTAGGCCCAGAGTCCGTAGAGGCACAGGACCTACACCTCGAGGTGAGCCGCGTCTTTGGCTTTCGAGTCGAGTGATGATAGGAACAGTGCGATTGCCTTGGATGCCGTGTCAGGCCCCGATGATCGTGGTGCATGCGAGGGAGATTGGTCGATACATGAGGCCTTCACGGCTCTCGTGTACTCGTCTTGACGCGCGAATGAGGACCCGCGCCCATTCATAGGACGTAGCTGGCACTCATCGTGAAGTGTAGCGCTAAACTCACTGCCGTTGTCAGAGCTACGGTACACTGGGTACCCTTCGTACGATGTCAGGCGCCCGCAGGCCGCGCCTGACCAATCGGGCTTACCGTCGACAACTGTCAACAGGGCATAGTGGAGATGAAATCCGGGTAGCAAGATTCTCGCGGCAGCCGCGTACAATATAATATTGGCAGTGGCGGGCGTTGCGCATGGCCACAATATACGGATCGCGGACTCACGTTCCTAGCTGCCCCAAAATCTTCGCAATACATCGAGATGACTGGAAGCCCGTGATGCTGATACAACCAGACTTGGCGAATTGACCATGTCTGTCTCCACGCGGTGAGCCGTACTCGTCAAGACTTCAACTACTCGCTGACTTGCAGCATCCGGTGACCCTGGGGTCTCCCGTGAATGGCTTACGCTGCAGGTATCCCTCCTACTCCTGGTCACCAACGGACCGTGATCGAAATGCTCTTCTGTAATGGTTCACGCGATACATAGAGAAGTATAGCCACGTCTGTCAGTCTCGGCTCGTCGAGCTTCGATGGCCCCACTGTGCGCTCTCGATCTCATCCGGCGTGCAGTTTTTGTCCACACACGACAATCTCCTGTATTGATGAAGAATTTATCCTTCCGTTTTGTCGCTTCTGTCGAATCGACGCGAAGATCGACCCTAACGTTGCCGTGACGCATGATGTCTCACCCTTAACTTGAGCCCACTGCGCTGACCGATTTGAATCCCTGCTGCTCCAAGTTGTCTCGACGTGTTTTTGTCGATCGCTGAAGACCCAGTACGGTGCATTCCAGCCTGCACCGCTGGATCATAGACGTGATCGTGCTGAACTTGAAGCGCGTTTCTCCCGCAGCATCGACGTGTCTCGTTGGCTTCGGACGCCCTTTTCAAGACACGGATCGTTGAGAACCGCAAATACAAGTTGCAAGATCGTCATCATCTACCTACGGCGCTGGGTCTTCGCCAACTCGAGTCGACTTGGGCTTGAACCGACACTGCACCGCGCGTCAGGAAACGTACACGCTCTCCGTTTATCTGTGCGACTGGATAGTGGGTTGCCTGCTCAGCAGCGAAAGCTAAGTTCTGCAGGCTGATGATGCACGAGTGACTGAAAGCGACTCAGACTGTCCATTAAGCTCGCAAGTATCTCCGAGTCGGGCTATTATGCCAGCGCTCAGTGTAATACGAGGGCGGGTCGCTGAACAGGCTTTGTCAGCACGAACTACTACGCCTGCCTTGTATGGCTAGTTCGGTGACGATCGCGGGGATGTTCGCGCATGAATGTTCTTCCTTGGGGCCACAGATTGCGATCGATGACGTTTTAGGATGTTGACTAATGTCCCGAATGTGTGCTCTTTAGATCGCCACACAATCAGAGTTGCCCATCTGCATCCGCACTCTGCTAAAGGTGAGTTCGCGTAGATGGGTCTGCGATGTCTCGCGCTGATGGTGCCATGCATGAACCTTTCGAGCGTACAGTAGCTCATCGCGAATCACTGAGCCTATCCGCATAGTTGAATATGACAAAATACGTACTGACGGGTGCGACTGGTGGGCTTGGCTCGCAAGTGCTCCTGTTCCTTCTGCATCTCGTGCCTGGTACGTCCACCCGCACATGTATCAACTACTGCTTGAGCATGAACAATTTTTACGGCGTCCCCATTAGCTTCCGATATCATCGTCTCGCTACACAACCCTGCCGGCGCATCGCCCACGATCGTCGCGTCTGGCGTCGACATCCGACAAGGCGACTACGCCGATCCAGCTTCCCTGCACAAGGCCTTCTCAGGTGCCGACAAGCTCCTGCTCGTCTCCTACCCCTCCATCGCGTACGAGCTCCGCGTGCGCATGCACAAGACCGCGATCGACGCTGCCAAAGCCGCCGGGATCAAGCACATCTACTACACCAGCCTCGCGTTTGGGTACGGCGCACATCGCGACCTCGTGCCCTCCGGAGAGCGCGAGAGTGTTGCGGAGGTGATGCAGGCGCACCTCGACACAGAGGCGTACCTCAAGCAGAGCGGAATAACGTACACGATCATCCGGGAGGGCATCTACAGCGAGAGCTACCCGCTCTACTTTGGGTTCTGGAGCCCGACCGAGGGCATGGGCGAGGTCGTCGTCCCGTATGGAGACGGCGGGATCGCATGGGTGAACCGCCCGGATTTGGGCGAGGGAACGGCGAGGATCATCTCTGCAGTGCGCACCGTCTGGGTCATTCTTACTGCGACGGTCATAAGTGCTGATGTTTACAGGAGAACGGATACGAAAACCGCACGCTCCTCCTCTCCGGCACCCGCGTCGTCACCCTGTCCACCCTCGCCTCCACCATCTCTTCCCTCCTCGGACGGACCATCCGTCTCAAGGTCGTCTCCGAAGAGAATATGTCGCCACGCACACAGGCCGTCCTGGCCCTCGCGGCGAGGCCGACTTCCTCAGGAAATGGGCGACACCTACCGCGCGTTGATACGTGGCGAGTGTGCCGTTGCGGACCCAACGCTAAGGAGATCATCGGGAGGGAACCGACATCGTTTGAGGAGACGGTCCGGGGTATGCTAGGCGTCCGCGGGGAGGGCGTGGTGGAGCAGTACGCGAAGTGATTACCAGACGTGTAAGGTTCTTACGTTGTCGGAGAACGCTACGTGTTGTTGGTACATGTACTACTATGTTACCCTTCTTCACGCCGACCTCCTAGCCGCTGATGAGCTCACCGCAATCCTGACCCGACCAGAGCTTTGCAATTTGGGATAAAGGCCAGCTACGAGGTGTCCCACATCGCACCCAGCCCAGCACCAGGTCGCGGTAACCACTGGACTCCTCGACGTCGGCGAGCCCCCATTCTCTCGCACTATTGCTTCCTCAGAGCCCGAACAGGAGATGCACCGCGAGGAATGTCACGAGTCCAAGGGCGAGCTGCACGTCCGTCGCCAGGGCTTCCTCGGTGTCAGGCATAGGGTCGCCACTTGGTGGGATAATGCTCTGAATATATCTTTCTGATTGTCCGTACTTTCATGGGATGAATGTCGATGAACACGTACCGCGCTCATCATCGTACCACGAGTCACGCACTGTATTAGTAGACATTAGCACAAACGCGATCAAAGCCATATTATAACGTCGACCAATAAATAGATACCCAGTAGACCACCCTAGTACGCAATGTGGGCCCGCTTCCCCTCCCACTGGTCCCAATGCGACAATAGCCCCTCGACCAGGAAATGCGCGGTATCCTCTCTGGAGACGGTATACCCGTCTCCGAGCTCGCAGTCCTTGACCCTATACGGCTCCTTCCCACTCTTCTTATCCGCCTTGCACGCCCCGCTCGTAGCAACGCCGGCCGGACCGCAACGACGTGCTGCAGCTCGCCTAACGCAGGCAGGCCGGGCAGACTCGTCCAGTCCGTGGGGAGAGCCTCCGCGTCGGGCGTCTCGTGCGCCCACTCCCACCCTGCACAGTGAGCGATGACGCGCTCCATCGCGAGCTTGTCCGTGTGCGGCCCGCGGAGGAAGTAGCCGTAGAACGGCTTGAGGAGGAGCGGGAGCTCGGCGTGCGAGGCGCGCGAGAGCCCGATGGAGGAGATGGCGATGAAGCGCGGCTGGGCGGAGGGTGCGCGCAGGGAGGCGGGCATGGTGGTGACGAGGTTGAGGAAGGACTGCGTGCAAAGGTTGGGCGGGGTGATGATGAAGCCCTTCGTCGCGTGGAATGAGGGTGTCCCACCTATATCAACATTGTATGCTCAGTTATTGACGACGCAAGGAGGTAGGGACACAACCCACCGACACTGAAAAGGACGATATCGACGGTACCATCATTGGCACTCTGTGCCGCTTCCCAACCACGCTTCACATCTTCTGCCTTCAAAGCATCACCCTTGACGAGGCGTGCGGTTCTGGAACAGATGTGTGGTTGAATCTCGTCGTCGTCGTCGAAGACGGAGGTCGAGCGCAGGAGGAACGTCACTGTTGCGCCTTTGGCTGCAGCAAGAACGATGGTTAGCTAATCTGCTGGATAATGAAACATGACGACGAATGAACTCACCGAGCAATCGACGCGCTGCGTGGTAGCCGATGTTGCGAGACGCACCGATGGCGAAGACGTTCATTGTACGATGCTAGTAGACAAGTAGAGAGGTATACCGTAACTGCTCGAAAGAGGATGCTATATCGGCGTCACTCCTGCCGTCTTTTATACTAACTCTCGAAGGCGCATGTCCGAGTGACCGGAACCCCTGACGCAGAAGTCGACACGCCGCTGCTCGGCGCACGGAAGCGCAGTACGTTAATTTGCGGTACTCTCTGCGTGGGTCGGCATGCACAGCCAGCCGAATGATACACCGACAGCTGCCGCTGTCAACTGCCAGTGGACGCAGTGATAGCTCATGCACTCATGTATCGAGTCACTAACTGGCGCAGCATCTGAAGCCACTACGTGGCTCGGCCTAAGCCAGAGTCACCGAGCTCGTACGCAGTCCGCTGCTTACTTGCCGTGACTTGCGCAGCATCCGAATGGGTCACTACCTCGCGCCCCCCGAGCCTGCACAGCACCGAACTCGGACGTAGTCCGCCAATCACTGAGAAAATGAGGAGACATCGCCGCCTGATATACAAGCCACATGGGATATGCGAGGCAATACGGCAAGAATACTAAACAAAGCGGTAGCCTAAGCCTCAATGACGCCACTGACACGCCGGAAACGCAGCACCATAGTAGTTCCTGAGTCGGAGGGCGCTACACGTCGAGTTACTATTTCAAAACGGACGATTCAAACGACAAAGGTATTGTACACGCACATGCACCATGCAATATCGAAATCGCTCTCCAACAGCTCCTGCGGATACTCCTAATGATGAGCCTCCTTTGCAATTTGCGCAGCATACGGGTTGCGCGGGTCGTTGCGCCAGGTCTCGGCTGCGGACATTGCATGAGATGAGCGACACGTGGTAGGACACGAACAAGACAGACGCACACTTGACACCCATGTCCTGCGCCTTCGAGACGAGGAAGAAAGTGACCGCGCTAGCGGCAACGAAAGGCCACATAGGCTTGGCGACCTAGAGCGCAGACGAGTCAGACGGGTGGTGTTGAATGTAGATGGGTAGACGTGCAGGAGTCGGCCACTTGCGGAGACCGAGGAAGCTCATGTTGGGATCTGGTCTGCAGAAAACGGTGAAGAGGAGGAGGAGGAGGAGAAGGAGGAAGCGCTTGCACAGTCGACGAGTCGGTGGCGGCGATGGTCACGTTGCCTGCCGGAACCACGTCAAGAGGCGCTTGTCGGTACGGCCTCGCTGCTTTCACGTTGCATCGAGCTGGTGCTCGCTGTGAGTCTACTTGTCTTCTACACCCATCTCTCGTGTTTTTCTCGTGCGCGCAGCGCCATGTCTGCCTAATTGCGGACGGAAGATCGCTGTGCAATCAATATTGTGATAGATACCACTGGTATGACGTTCACCATCTTCGTTTCTATCTCTCTCCTCGCCCTCGTCGTCACTGCAAGACCCTACCCTCTCGCGGATCCGGAGCATGGCGATGGAAGCAATACCACGCAATTGTGAGTACCGCGTCTCCTCACCAGCGAAAGACCGTTGACGTGTGAACGCCACGACGCCCAGGAACGCTGACGGCCGAAAGGCAAATGCCATTACGACCAGGACCCTGCGGGATGCGGTACAGGCCGTCTTTAAGAGCCGGGCAGGGTACGTACTTGTTAGCTGCTGTTCGCGTTTGCGTTCTGACGTGTCACAGCTATCCCCTACCGGGACTGCCGTCTTCTCTTTCAGACACCGACATCCGCGTCCATCTCACGTCGCCGTCCGTTCTAACCTCCCACCTCGCAGCCCTCGAGGGTCTCGATGCCGTCAAAGCCGTCCTCCCATTGCCCTTCTCCGCTCTCGGTGCAGACGCCGGGCACGGTATCGGGGCAGATGGCGCAGAGCTGAGCGAGCTCACGGACGAGGAGAAGCAGCTCTACGAGCTCCTTCGCAACTCTCCCCCGAACGGCAGCCTGGAGGATATCGACGGTGGCGTACGACCAGTGCCCGAGCTCGCGCACCTACAGACGTCAGACACGTCGCCGTCCGAGCACTCACTTGCAGCCACTGCCGACGCCGATGACGAGTCATCTGTGACCGACGCGTCGACTGGCAGCTCCACGCCTCCCACATCCTCACCCGCATCGCCCGCCCTTCTCGTATTGGCGGTCTCTGCTGTCGCCTCTCTCCTCGTCGTCATAGGCCTCTCGCTGTCGATCTACACCGTCTCGTACTTCCGCAGACACGTCCTCCGGAGCAACATTGCTTGGGACGCCGTCCCTCGGATCGAGAAAGGTGCGCCAACTGATGCCCAGGACGGCGACGCTGGAGGGGATTCCGGCGAGGGAGGAGAGGTAGATGCTACCTGTGAGGAGGTTGTCGTAGAGAAGCCTCAAGACCTCATCGATTTCGAGGGTCCGATTGCCACTGCTCCGCGCTCCGAAGACGACGTGACGCCACCACCGGAGTACAGCGAGAAGAATGGGATCATCGAGCTCGACGGCGACGAGGTACGTGCCGCCGGCGCCGGGGACTCTGATCTGAACGAGAAGTCTGCGTTCTACGACGCGACCGACTCCCCGCTGCTCTTTGTGCACGAACCCCTCCCGTCTCCTCATCCCGACCCCGATTTCCTGCCTCTCCCATCCGACACTTCAACCCCCACCACGAGTCCCTACGCTACGCCTCGCACTGCTTCGCCCGCGCTGCGCGTCGAGCCACTCGCCGTCCCGCCATCCCTCAAGCGCCTGCCCTCGCAGACGCAGATGCGTGAGCGCGAGGGCGAGGCCACCACGCCCGTCTCGAAGCCTGCGTGGTCTGTGCGCGCCGCCTCGTCGCCCGCACTGGGTCTCCCCGCCTCGTCTACGCTCACCCCGACGACGTCCCCGCTTCCGTTCTCCTCGCCTGCCCGTGCGTACAACCACACTCGCACGCCGTCCCCGCCGACGACCATGCCCGGGGCGCTCTTCTCCGAGCCCGAGGCCGACGCGCAGGAGATGGCCGAGGTGGAGCGACCGGCGCGTGCGCGTGCGTATCGTGCACCGATGCCAGAGCTCGACATCGCATTCGCGCTGCAGCTCCGACCCGGACTCGGCTTGGGCGCGGAGGGCGCGTGGTTGGTTCGGTTCTTGATGGCGATGTTCGGTTGGCTCGGGGTCGTCGTCGGCGGCGGGAACCCGGGGCAGACGGAGGGGCGGAGGGCGTTGATGGCGTGAGGGAGGGTGAGAGCGTACGGTGCAGGCGGACGGTGGTGTGTCGTTTGAAGGGAAGTTCTCCGTTTACTCATGTCATCCGGGACTCGTTTCTGGATCTGGATCTGTTTTGTCGCATATGCTCGCATCTTTCCCCATCTTCCTTCTGTCTCGTCTCCTCCACACATCATATCTCTACCACAAAGCTTCCTATTTAATTTCCCCGTTCTTCTTACATATACGCACTCCCGTTCTCGAAACGGCGCGGCCCCGACGCTGCTGTACCCCGTGATATGGTGTCGAGCGTAGTGAGTCTTTGAGTCGTCTACGTCGGTCTGGTCTGTTAACCATGGCTTCGTTGCATACATTTGTATGTTGGCCCACCAGCAGACACTGCCGTTCACGTACATATGCTCGTTATCTCCCCACACCCTCGCTGTTCCATCGTACTCAAACCGTCAGCATCAGGAATGGAATGAAATGGATTGTTTGTCGCAGTCGAATCTGCAGCCGCTGTCACTGACTCGTCAAGATGCTGAGGCATTCATGACACATTGTACGTATCACCGTGGGATCCATTTCTTGCTGCACATTGCCGACAGCCCTTCGCGTCAGTCGTCAACTGCGGACACTCTTGCCTGTGGGATGTCATGCGGAAACCATCGAGATTGCGGTAGGCTATGGATATAGGTGAGTCTCTCCATTTGTGGCGTTCCGGGAATCAGATCCATTGTTTTCTCTCTACCTGACTGCTCACTCACCGCTGGCTTCGATCCGTCCCCAAGGTACGCCAGTCTTTCCATTGACCCCTGCTGCTACTCACCTCCTTCATTATGCCCGTCAGTGCTCTCCGTCGCAGCCCTTCTGCTTCAGCGAATCCCATGCACGACTCGGAGTGATGAGTAGCACTCCAAGTCGTCGCGCTCGGACCCCGCCCCCGTTCCTGTGGTTGTCCGGAGACAAGAACATGGCGGAAATTTTGCTGAACGGGAGAGTGCTAGAGGCCGGATGCCGGAGGGTGTACACCCCGAACGAGTGAGTGGTAGTCCAGCATGTGGTGGACGACGATGACTGACGACTGATAGATGCGTCCAGTGGCCCAGTCTCTGCCCTTTGTGCTCGCCACCGCCGCAATCTGCTCGGGCGATTCATCAGATGCGAGTCCGGTATCATCAGGAAATCCCCCCCATGCGAATTCGGGCTAATTCGCGTGAATTTTCCCAAAATTCGGTGAGGACCCATTTACCACCTGCGCTTCCCACACTATGCCATCAATTAGGCTTGACACATGATAGCATGTGATCGCCCTAGTTAGGCTTCGTCCACACCGATTGCCTTACACTGCGTTAAATCTGGGACTTATCAAACAAGTCCCTGGGCCCTCCGGCTATTCCAGGTACAGTGCCGGACAGCCAAAGACGACAAATCATGTAGCGCTCGATCGGAATTAAGTTTGGGCAAACTGACTGCAGGAATGGACTCAGGGAGGCAAAATACACACAAAAATGGCCTTCCAAAGTTTTTCCCACAACAAATCGGGGGTGGCCAATATTTTGAGGTCGTTCATTGGCATGTTAAGTGCCCTACTGGGTGCCATATCACGATGTTGACCATGCAGCAAGGTATGTAAGCGACACGAAACCACATATCCTGTGTAGATATCTTAGTCAACAATACCGGTAACATGTATCAAGGGGTCAGTAAGTCTGGAACAGTGTAGATCGGTCTGGAGCGAGTCACAAGATGAGTCCAGACAGAATCCGTCAAAAGAATGTATGTAATACTACATCGCAGAACACAAGTCCATATATGTATGTAACTGATAAGATAAGATAACACTGGAAAGTCGGAAGTTCAACAATTATTCTAATACATGGCTATATTTCATTTTCTTTGTCATGTTACTGATGAACTGTATACCTATTATAGTGACTTTCGATAAACATGGCAGGCTTAGGGTGGGGTTATGGTGCCCAATATAGTAATTACTATATATGGTCATAACCATATAAGGAAAGTGTTGACATTTCTCCCCTGTGTGTATGGTGCATGTGCACAAAAACATGCCTCAAAGGTGATCGCGCGCGACCGCGCGCGATCACCTAAACCATATGCTGAAGGTGTCTTGACAAGGTACCCTCAAGGTGATCGCGCGCGATCACCTAAACACTACTATTGTGTACCCGGTATACATACCATTTAGGTGATCGTGCGCGATCGCGCGCGATCACCTTGACGCACCTATATCGGCGTCTATTTCAGTGGACCTGTACTGCACATGTCAGTTCAAATTGTGCCATTTAGGTGATCGCGCGCGACCACGCGCGATCACCTTGAGAGCGGTGTTTGGACATGACTGACCGGGGTGCGTGCACATATGATGGTCAAGGTGATCGCGCGCGATCACCTAAATGGTATGTAGACCAGCGTCTATTCTCTCGACGTGCAACATGTATGTCCACTCAAGACATGCCATTTAGGTGATCGCGCGCGATAGCGCGCGATCACCTTGAGAGTGGTGTTTGGACGTGCATGACATGGTGCGCGCACCCCAGACCCATGGTCAAGGTGTGAACGTGCACGACCGCGCGCGTCCACCTTGTCACGTGCAATATTATTTGACACATGTGACTGGTGTGGCTGCACGATGGCGTGACCAGTCCCTTCCCTTTGATCCTCAGGCC